CCACCAAAAGCTTAATCCATTTGAAGGTTTAGCACATGGTGAAAATTAATTTTATTCACGAAGTATTTTTACTGAAGAGAAATGCATGCTTTCGAAATTAAATTATTTTAAGCGCAAAGAAGAGCGCAATGTTTACAAAAATCATTTTGTGAGGTCTTATGAGATCGAAAAAGAAGATTTGAGTGTTTAAAAGACGAAATAGTGATTCGTTTTTGCACGCGAAGCCCTCAAACTCGTGCAATAATTTGCTGCTAAAAATGACGATTTTAACAGAATTTCGTTATTCGTATTTTTCTTTGAAATAAAAAGATATTTTGCCAAAAAAAGTATCCAGTGATTTTAGTTATAGTCTAGCCTATCTAACATTAAAATAAGAAAGAAATCGAATTTTCCACCCTTGCCGCGATATGTTTGATTTTTACAGACAAACGCTCCTAAGACTTCTTTCTAAAGCTGACGTTTTGAGGTTAGGCAGTTCGTCGATCTTCGTGGTCGTCCAAGAATTTTTTTCCACCCCAGTAAAGTTAGCAAAGAATGATTCTTTTGACGGGGTATTTAAGCAAAATAGGCAAGCGAATCACCATTTTTTCGAAGCGTATCTTCAATGTCATAAAATTGTTGTCATAGAGAAACTTTAGACCGAACCTGCATACCCCATTCTTAACCGTTAAGAGTTTCTAAGACTTCTTTCTAAAGCCATCGTAGTATCCTTACAACTTCATAGGCTAATTGTTCCGTACTTAACCCTAAACTTGTAATGTCGCGGTTTTTATGTCTCAGGAATTGCAGCCAACTCCTCCTAATACAGATGTACTATTGCTTCTACCAGCTGAAGAAGTTTTCTATTTGTTGCTTTTCTCAGCTTGTCTAAAAGCGACAGAAACAACAACAACAGCAACAACTTTATTTGTTTATACTAAATTAAAAATGGAGAGAATACAGGCTGCCTATAATAACCATTGGGAGCTATAAAGATAGGGCAACCTTACTTAGGTTATAATAATTGACTATATTAAAGGGCCAGGTACCACACACGCGCACACACTACACAAAACACAAAACAAAATAAAGCTAGTAGAAAAATAAAGACAGCAAAAGAAAGCTAACTGTGCCAGTATTAAACAACGGAGGGCCAGAAGAAATATAGTTTTGGTAAATCTGCAATTAGTATTTAGCAATAAGAATTGATTTAAACTTTTTCCTAAAACGTCTGAGAGAGAGAAGCTTTAGGTCATCACTTACATCATTCCAAACTTTATCACCTGAAAGCTTATGCTGTAAATTCCATCATTTTTTTCTGGCCTTTAGGATAACAAAAGTCATCCTAGAGAACAACCGAATGTTATATCTATGTATGTTCCTAGCAGGATTAAAAAAGGGTATCAAAGACTTAAGGTAAAAGTTGGTAATGGAACTAACACTGCAAGTTGAAGGGCAATGATGAAACACAGCTTGATCACATTTAAGTCTTTATATAAAGGACTTAAGTGTTCAGTGAAGCTGGAAAAGATGATTATTCTTATAGCTTTCATTTGTAATGTAAATAGAGGTTGCAAAGTTGACTGATATACATATCCCATACTGCTTACGTAGTCTTCATTGCTGCCAAGATCGCTTTCATATTCATGTCTTTATCCGCAGTTCAGATATATGACTTTCATATATTCACAGCCGTTTATTCACCACTTCGCGGGTTTATTTGGAACCAACACAGTGACCAGCTCCCAGTTGGCTCGTTAGCTCGGTTGGTCGAGCACTGCACCGGTATCGCAGAGGTCATGGGTTCAAATCACGTACAGGCCTGAATTTTTTTCAGGCCTTCTTTTCACTACTGCTTAAGTAGTGTTCATTGTTGCGATGATCGCTTTTATATTCACGTCTTTAACTGCAGTTCAGATATATGACTTTCATATATTCACAGCCGTTTTAACGATACTGTTTTCAAAGATTGGTGACATAAACCTCAACCATTCTTGTCGAATGGCAGAGGAACCTGATTTTAAATGGGTCTTCTGAACGTTTTGCCGTATTTTACTCCTCCTAACACAGAGATCGGTTATATTTCCCAGAGATGGATCGTTCAACTGATTAAACACTGCCGCTGCCACCACATAATTTTTTTTTTCTTTGACGAAACCAATATTCTCCGATATATCTATTATTACACATATTACTCGAAAGCCAAAGGTGCATTTACTCTGATATATGGTTTGTTTTGTTTTGTTTTGTTTTGTTTTTTTTCTTCACTAGGATATTCAGCTTTCTTGAGATTTGGATGAGCCGTATTTAAGATAGAAGGCAAAATAAAAGAAGATAAAAGTGAAGGAATATTGAATATAGGAATACTTCGTAATCCAAAAAAAACTTTTTGGAAATACTGCTGGTCACCTCTTGAAGTTCCGTCTTGGTAGTATCCTTATTACAGTCACTGGCTAATTTGTGTGAGCGTAACCCTAAACTTGTCGAGGTTTTCATGCCTCAGGAATTGGAGCCAACTTCTCCTTGTGCAGATGTACTATTGCTTTTTCCAGTTGGAGAAGTCTCCGGTGATAGCATCCGTTCGAAACAAATTTCTTTTGGTTCTTTTTGCTCATCTTGTCGAAAAGCTTTGATTAAAGCTGCAAAAAAAGACGCAACGAAATAATTACAGAAATTAATATTCAAAGTATTTAGGATTAGAATAAGAAAATCACGCAAAATTTCGTGTTAGAATTTTCCATTCACCATTTTGCGTAATGGCATTGTTGACCATGGAGTCCGTGCCTTAGTGATAGAGCACTGGAGCACAAGTTTGGGGACTCATGAGGACTCTTTATCCCACGCTCGAAACAAAGAAAAAATCTTCCACTATTTCGTTACTAAGCTCAAAAATTTAACATCTCTCTAATTCTAAAAAATTTTTTCCCTTTGTTAGGCCTCTTCACCAGAGCACCTCTAACAAGAAAGAAGCGTATGTCCCCTCATGGGTTGTGCCAGTGATGGCGAAAGATGATATGATAAAAAAGACATGCTAAATTCAATCTCAGTTTGAGAGTCGATGCCAAGAGAGGTGGTTGCTCCGCAAAACTTTGGTCCAAGATTTGCATCCTGAGTTCCAAACCTGTACACTGCTAAACGTGTTATTCGTCGGAAGCCCTATTCGTGCCACTTGCGAAAATGGCGCTGCATTTTCGAGTCAAAACGACCACTTTTATAAAAAAACGGGATTGCTTTGATTATTTTTGGACTTTATCTCCAGGTAACTCATTACTTCAAGCTACAGAAGACGGATAAACAGGATAGTCAGTACCTTACCACTTTTGCTGAGTAGGGCCTAGTTAAATAGAAGACGGATTACGCTATCCAACGAATAAATCACCATCCAGCGGATGTGATACCAAAACGTACTGCGCTATCTGACGGATAAAGATTTATCCAACAGAACGCTGGCCCCAACAATTGGGGCCAGATTCTTGCGAGGAAAGATGAAGGTGCAGACATTTCTGCTCTTTGAAACAAAACAGTTTTTCTGCAAGGTATTCATTCAAAACTTTACACACAGTAACTGAATCGCTGTCGAGTATTAAAAGTGAAAATTTTCAGTGGCTTCTTGAAAATCTAAAATTAGCAACACTATTTTTATTAAAGTGGAACTTGCATGTGGAACTTATAAAAATTTGAAAACCTGACAATGAAATCTTGAACAACTAACAAAAATTTGCCGGTAACCAGACAAACAGCCTTTTTGATTAGTCCAACTTATTTGTTAAGGCTACTGTGGATAGTTTATGATTCAAAAGATAGAATTTTTGAAATTTCATTTTTTTAGTATCAGATAATGTAATTATTCTATCGCTGATTCTCTTTCGTAGAGTGGTACGGTTAAGTAGTTTGTTAATTCTCCTAGGAGGCTCTCCTGAGTAAATTACAATTAATAATAGTAAAAAAAAAACAAATTACAACAATGATAAATAAAGAATAGAAATTGTATCTTCATATACACAGTCAAAACTTTCAAACTTTCATTTTCAATGCATCATTTCCCAAGGTAATAAAAATGTCATTTTAATTTTGGAAATGCCTTTATTCCTGTCTTAGTCTTTTGTCCGATGTTCACAGCAGAAGTAAATGATTGATGCGCCGCCGCATGTCCTGCATATCGGAAAATTTTCATTAACGTGATAAATACAAAAATATGACTTGATAGAACTAAGAAAACACCTGAGAATGGCAACGCTCGCTCTTCAGTCGTGAACAAATTTCATATATTAATCGTCCAAGTCTTAGCCCCTTTTTCTATTCAGTGAATACAGGAAGAAGTTGGCTCGCAGCAAAAAAAGATAAAAAAAATTGAAGTTTGTGACGATTTCTCACAAAGACTTGCATAGACAATTCACCATACCTAATGAATGTGAAATATAAAGAGAACGTGATCTCTTGATCAGTTACAGCTGGCTTTCCAGAGAATGCTAAGGAGAAACATCAAAATAAAACTGATCATGACCAAACATAGCGATGATGTGAAGAACGGAGAAATATGTAGAGTTCGCCAAATTCCGGTGAATTGTAGGGCACAAATTCTAAAATTTAGCCGCAGTCCGGAGGGGGAGGAGGAGAAGGGAGGAAAGTTATCATGGGATGGGGGGGAGGGTACCAAGGGAGCTCTCACCTTTTTACGATCAATTTCATATGTGTAGTTTGTGAGGAAATAGAAAGAGAAAGACCTGATCCATCTCCTTCTCTAATTACTATTGAGTGTCAAAGAAACTAATTAAAAGGTGATCAATTTAAGGAAGCCACCTGCGTATGTTAACTTGTCCATAGCTCAAGTTTTTTAGAGTTCACATTTTCTTGTCTTATATGCATCATTTCTCAAAGTAATTAAAAATTGTGTCTGTAATTTCATAATTTCAAGTGGCTACCAGCATTTTCATTCAACAAGGTTTATGACCCCTAAATTATTAGGGTATGTCGAAGGTCTTAAAAGAAACGTGCAAAGCATTCGCCTTTTGAACTGAAGAGGCGAATCCACAGAGAATAGAGAACAGTGCTGGTGAAGATTTCTCCCAATCATCTGAGCATCAAGAGTGGTGGGTGAATAACTAGTTCGTTCAAACCTCATGTTGCCGCTCACCCCATTTCTGTCAATCATTAGTAGATATTTTTGTGTGGTTCGTGCGGTTGTCAAATTAAGATAAATAGACTTTAATTGTGCTTTTGTCGCAAACTTTAAATTGCTTTTTGGCTGACCTGCAGACCTTTTTACTGCCTGAATATAGACTAGTTGCCAGTTTTTTCGTTGTTGTTATTCTTGTAGCCAATTTTTTTTGTTGGACTGCTGAAGGTTCCAGTTATCTACAACTGTTTGTTTACAACGGTTCGAGTGAGCTTTTTTTCTCAAAAACGCATTTCAAAATACGGTGTTACACGCGCTAAAGCTGAGAAAATAATTAAAAGTAAACACCAGAAGCAGATGATTGCCTCTTGCTCCCTAATGGAAAAATATCTATAAAGGGTGGAAACTGCATTTTTAAGTAAGAAAGACGAAGTTGAGAGTAGCAGAGAAATTAGACTATGAAATGAATTCCGTAATTCTTGCTGTTTGTTACTTTTGCTAAATTTTGTCAATAGAAGATTGATAAAGGAATTTGTAGGGTTTGAATATGTATACTTAAGGCTATTGAACTTTGAAGTTTGAAGCAAATGTCGTTTACGAATTCTTTGATATCCATAATTTTCATCAATCACTTAAGTTCTTAATTCAATCTTATTTGCCGACTTTTTCAGTAGCGAAAATAGGACCAGAATGGTTGAAATCGTCACAGTTGGACACGTCTTCCTCCTGGGTTTACAGGTGTTGGTGTCTTCCAACGTGGTCAGTTCAAAGTCTTATGAGTAAGTTCTTTCAGTCTCATTACCAAAGCTAGTTGGGAAACGATTAGATCAGATTGCAAAGTAAAAATGTATTAGAACTGTTTTATAAAGCGTACAACGAAATCTGTTCAGATTGATCGATTTCAAAGCAATATGAGGGGGTAGAAAACAGATGTAACGGAAGCCTCATTGGCGCATAAGGGGAATGAAATTAGCGTTATGCTGCGAAGATCGCTTTCATATTCGCTTTGTAACTCTCAGTTTACACAAAAATGGTTTCAAATATTCACAGACATTCATTCATCACTTTCGCCATAAACCCGTAAGTTACGCGTTTATGGCGAATCAACATCATGACCAGCTCCCAGTTGGCTTGTCAGCATCGGTATCACACACGTAATGGTTTCAAGTCCCGTACAGGCCTGAACGTTTTTCTGGCCTTATTTTCATTATTGCTTTAGTAGTGTTCACTACTACAAGATTCGCTTTTACATTCATTTCCTAATTAGCAGTTCACATATATGATCTTTATATATTCGCAGTCACATAAAATATTATATTAAGTTAAGAATTAGGACATTTTAAATAGTTTCGCTGTAAGTATGTTAGTGTTTTAAGGTCAATGCCCTCCTTTCACGACTATTATCACAATTTCTTTAATGTCACAGCGCGCAACTGAAATTGTCTTAGGATATGGCACATTTATTTGTTCCCTCCTCCAGAACATTCTTTTGATGGAATGATTGTAATTCCAGGTGCTTTGAGGGAAACTGTGCCATGACAGGCTCTTGCCGGTCGGCTCCTGGAGCTGGTTTTAGCCCTTACTGCTGGATAGCATCCGACTCGTGGGGGCATAAGCTAAAGTGTGGGACTAAAAGTGATTGCAGAGACGCTGCTCTTAATTGGGGAAATTGTGTCTTCGCCTCATGTGCTTTTGATCGCGGTAGCGGAAGATCCTGTGACCGGATGAACAGGGAGAAACTTGGAGAGCTTAAAAAGGAATGTGGTAGTGAAGGTTTCAGTTTTAATTCTTGGGCCAACAGGTACGAGAAAGCTCGTAAACTGTACGACAAGTTTAGCCCCTGCGTCGGTGGTGCCATTGAGGATGAAACCAAAAAGGTTATAAAATATTGTCACTGCTTCAACTCCTGTGGAAAAGATCAGACTGAAGATGGCACCTGCACAGTCCAAGGTTTGGATAGGAGATTGGATATGGAGTTGGACGTCAAAACTCCTTACACAGCGGTGTAAGTTTTTTCGGTTTTCATCTTTTTTATTAGTAGTTTTACAAAACTGCATTCTCTAATTTTTCACTGATCAGTGACTTTTCCATTATTCTGGTGACGTTTTGCGTTCCGTAAGCATCATGTAAATCATTACATTAGTCACTAATCTCTTACAGTTTAGGCCATAAACATTAACTTTTTATCATTTATCTCCTCTTTCTCCTTTTTCCTGAAATAAAGATGCGCCTTAGATTGTGAACCGGAAGAAAAGGTATGTTAAAGTTTCTAGTAAGTCAATTGTTATGGTTTGTTTTCTTTGCTCAGAGGCAAAAACGATCCTCGAAAAACTGAAGCAGATCTTCATCCTTCTCCTTAAAACCAATTATTTGTACCTTTCTCAAATATGCACGATTCTCCGCCTGGTTGGTTTGCCTCTGCCTACTCATTAGATTAATTTTCTCTGTCCAACAAGTCTATCAAAACCTCACCATGTTGTTGGTTGAAGTGCACTTGGTTGCGCCGGCTCTTTTATCCGCGCTCAATTCAAATAACCTATAACAAGTGATCAAAATTAAATGCAACAAGTTTAAGTAATTTCTGACGGGATTGGAGTTAGACAATTTTCCTCAGTGTTTACAGGCATGATAGAAAAACATTCAAACTCGGAACTATCAAGAGAGAAATCTGGCCGATAGTCAAAGCGGTGCTGCGAGTCTGCTGCGATCACCACTATCCCACAAGGTTTTCTTTGAAGAAAAAATCAAGAAAACGTGCACAAAATGTTACAAATGAATGGGGTTTTTTCCCCTTTATGATCCTTCTCTGCGTCATTAAGTTTGTCTTTTGATCTTTGGGTATTATAATTATGGGAGCAAAAATTAGAGGCAAGGCAAGGGAGAAGCACTAAGGCTATGCAATAAAAAAATTTGAATTAATGTATAACCGTATTTTTCCACAGCTTGTCTTCTTGCAGAAAGTGAAAAACGAGCATCCCACTGAAAAAGCTACTAAAAAGGTCATCATAACGAAAGGAATGTCTTCTTCCAAGTCTACGTCCAGTGGTGGAAGTTCAAGTGCAACTGTGTCTGGGGAAGTCGGATTTAAAGTGATGGAAATTTTTGACGTAAAGATCGGCGCATCAGGAACATTGGAACATAACTGGAGTTTGTCTACAACTAGGACAGAAATTCAGCAAGTAACCAGTGAGATATCCATTGGTGTTGAGCCAGGAGACGAAGTATCGGTGTTTCAGGTTGTTGGCGAGTGTAAAAACAGTGACGGCACTGTTTACACAGTGAAAACACCCACTTATGTTATCAGAGGCAAAGATGGCTCATCCGAAACCAAGAAGGCAGATTTCTCTAAGGCCGAAAAAGGATTGGCGTAGAGAAGATTCAAGACATTAAGTTTTATGCCTTGTCATCAAATAGTTGAATTTCAACCAAATAAAATCATCTTCTAATGTAAAGCGTGGTGTTTTTATTTTCGTTGATCTATTTACTCATGTTATTCTCGTCAGTTCGCTATATATGGAAAAATGCGTTTCTCGGCACTAATTGCAAATACTATCTCTAATACCATGTGCTTTTAGAATAATTCTGACTTATTCAACTTTTGCTTTGATTATACCAGCCAGTATAAATCACATTTACATGAGCATTCAGAGTAATAAAGGACCATAAAGAAGATCTGGTAAAATTCAGACGAAGGAACTTTTTATCAACCTCAGGGGCACCTCTCACCATCTGCGCAGGGAGAAAAAAAGATTGAGAAAGCATTAAATTTTCTTTAAATTTGGTTATCTGTGCGATTAGACACATCTCTAGAACTCATGTTTTTGAAAAAATCCCTTTTTATTTACATGATTTCTTCATAACTATTTCCTTAATGGTTTCTTTCAAGTACAGTCTCACATTTGAAGGCGATAAGGCTGCGCAGGCTGCACAAATGTTCAAAATTCCACAGAAACTTTAACCCGTGGAAACCACCTGAGTTAAAACCTTTCATAGAAAAATAGGCAACCTATTGTGTATGAACCACAATCATTTTGGGAAAACCTTTTATAAACTTCTGTCAGCAATATCGTTGCATGCATTCACGTCACTGAGGATGTCTGTCAAGTAATTAGAATTGTGCGACCCATGACTCACGCTGTAAGCCGTTAGCTTGTAATATCTTAGAGTTCCTGACGTTCACAACAGGCGATTTGGTGCATTGCAGGAAAGTGGTAGCTTCCAAGTCACGTTTTCTTCAGTTGGGGCCGAGCTGCACTGGCAAAAACGATTGTTCCTTTTGACAAATTTTCTGTCATCACTGGCACTTAACATGTGCGGATGATTTGTCGCGACAAAAATTTTGGCCGAAGAGGACAAACCTTCTAACGCACCACCGACAAAATTTGTTGTTTTTGATTTTTTTAAAAGAAAGGCAAGTAGGCAGCAATGCACGCACGAACTAAAATAATCTTTTACGCGTTTCATTTGAGACGATAGTATTCACAGGGCATGTTAAGGTGTTGAACACATACTACTTTTGTGATCAGACCATTTACAAATTTTACGCTTCTTTGGTTCTGGCTTTACTTGGTTTCATTTACGGACTTTTTCTTCTTTCAATTAATGGTTTTATTACCAGAGATTAACTCGTCTACATCCGAACATGTCGAAAAAACAGCATTAAAAGGCGAGTATTGACAAAGGCGAGTGTTCAACCAAAGGCAATAGGATCTCCGGATCCTTGCGGAACTGGTTACCGCGGAAAGATCGCTCGCAAGATTTGTGACAACCTGATAGCTGCTGAGCTTTTTAACGAGATAACTTTTCCAGATAACTCAACTGCTTTTCAGGATTTTTAAAAATTTTTTTTTTTTTGAAAAAATAAATTTAACAAATCGACTTGAATTTGATCGAAAAAACAAGGTTTGGAGAAACCTCGAGCATGAAAAGAAGGCAGTCTTCTGAAAAGAAGGCCCTGCTCCTTTATTCATTTTTCCAAAGTCCGTTGTCAGACCTAGAGAATATTCGGATGAGGCATCATAATTCAAAGTTCGCCTCAAATACACTCTTGGAAGCTTCAAAATGAAGTTTCAAATTACTTTCAATTGCTTTGGGTGATCCTTGTCTCCAGGATAACTTTATTTAAAGATAAAAGTGTAGAAAAAAAAAACCTCTTTGGAAATACCGCTGGTCGCTTCTTGAAATTCCGCCATGGTAATTTTCTTCTTACAGTCATTGGCTAATTGTTGTCTGCATAACCCTAAACTTGTTTTTCATGTCTCAAGAATTGGAGCGAACTCCTCCTAATACAGATGTACTACTGATTTTACTAGCTGGAAAAGTTTCTAGTGATAGGGGTCCTTTCCAAACAAATTTCTGTTTGTTGATTTTGTTCATCTTGTCTAAAAGCTTTGAATAAAGCCACGAAATGGATGCAAAGAAACAATTACACAAATTCATATCCAAAGTATTTAAGAATAGAATTATATATCACACGAAATTACATGTTAGAATTTTCCATTCATGGTGTCGGTATCTCAGGGGTAGAGCATCGGAGCGCAAATTCGGAGGCGTGATGTACGAATCCTTACATGGACTCAGAATATTTTCTTTGTCTCACGCTCGTGAAAAGAATAAAAAACATCTTTCACTATTTCGTTAACAAGCTCAAAAATTTACCTCCTCGAAGTCAAGTCGATGTCGATGCCAAGGGAGGGAGTTGCTCCGCAAAACTTTGTTCCAGGTTTTCATCCTGAGTTGCAAATCTTTAATGTCTTATTCATCAGAATTGTGCTACTTGCGAACGAGCGCCGCATTTTAAAGTCGAAACTACTATTTTGGGGGCAAAAACGGCATTGATGTGATTGTTATTGGACTTTACTTCCAGTGAACTCATCACCTCAGTTTATAGAAGAAGGATAAACTGATAAACAGCAGTTATAGGAACGTTTGCTTAATACTTTACTATTTTTTTACTAGAACCTAGTTAAATAGAAGACGGATTACGCTATCCAACGAATAAATAACCATCGAGCGGATGTGATAGCAAAACGTATTGCGTACCACTAGGGCTCAGTTGTTTAAAGGGCGAATAACACTATCCAACGGATAAATTGCTATCCAGCGGACAAGTGTTAACATAACGTACTGCACTATCCACTGGATGTAAATTTTTCCAATGGATAACGTTATCCACGTTTCGAAAATCTGGGTCTGATAGACATTTATCCAACAGAACGCTTTGTCTTACAATTGGGGCCTGATTCGTACGAGAAAAGGTGAAGGTGCACACATTTCTACTCTTTGAAAGAAAACAGTTTTTCTGCTAAGTATTCATTCAAAACTTTATACACAGTAACCGAATCACTTTCGAGTGTCGTGATTATTGAAAGTGAAAATTGTCGATTGAAAATCTAAAACTAGCAACACAATTTTCAGTTAAGTGGGAATGATATATGGAACTTATAAATATTTTAAAACTGGACAATAAAAAGGATTTTCTGGTAGCCAAAAAAACACAGCCTTTCTGATCAGAGTTGATCAGTCCAACTTATTTTTTAAGGCTTCTGTGGATGGTTCATGATTCAAACGCCTCAATTTTTTAAATTTCATTTTTCTAGTATCAGATCATGTAATTACCCTACCGTTGATTGTCTTTCACAGCACAGTAAGGTGCAGTAGTTTATTAACTCTCCTAGATGGCTATTCTGAGTAAATTTACAGTTACTGATAAAAAGCAACAACAACAACAAATTACAACAATGGTGAATTAAGAATAGACTACTTCGCCCATAAAAGTGTATCTTTAAATACCTAATTCATAGCTCAAACTTTCAAACTTTCATTTTAAATGCATCATTTCCCAAAGTAATAAAAAATGTCATTTCAATTTTAGAAATGACTTTATTCCTTTCTTGTTCTTTATTCACAGCACCTGTACATGATTGATGCGCCGTCGCAAGTCCTGCTTATCGGAAAGTTTTCATTACCGTAATAAGTACGCTAAGAGAGGGAAATAAAGTAAAGTGATTAAGGTGTCTCCTATATGTTCATAACAAAAAAAATTGCACAAAATTACCGAAAAGTGACGATTTTAGAGCTATTGATGTAAACACCGATATTCATTGACTTGCGAGAAATAAGAAAACACCTGAGAATGGCAACGCTTGCTCTTCAGTCGTCAATAAATTTCATACATTGACCTTCCAAGTCTTAGCCCCTTTTTCCATTCAGTGAAGAAAAGAAGACTTTGGCTCGCAGCGAAAAAAAAATTGAAGTTTGTAACCGTTTCTTGCAAAGGCTTGCATAGGCAATTCGCCATACCTGAGTTATTGTTTATCGTATGAACAATGTCAAGAAAATTGATGAATGTGAAATAACGAATGACCTGATCTCTTGATCAGTTACAGCTGGCTTTTCAGAGAATGCCAAAGAGAAACTTGAAAATGAAACTGATCAAAGGAGGAGCAAAATATGTAGAGCTCGCCAAATTCCGGTTAAGCTGCAAGGCATAAATTCTAGAGAGAAAAGTTATCATGGGGTTGGGGGTAACACGAGAGCCCTCACGTTATAATGATCAATTTCATAGGTGTGCTTTGTGAGGAAATAGAAAGAAAAAGAACTGATTCATCTTCTCCTCGAAGTAACATAACGTCCATCAATTGACAGAGAAAAGAATTAAAAGGTGATCTATTAACTACGAAAGGTTAAAAGTCTGTCGGCTATAAACTTCAGGAAGCCACCCGCACATGTTAATTTTTTCATGGCTCAAGTTTTCGGAGTTTTAACATTTTCTCTTGTTTTATATGCATCATTTCTCAAAGTAATCACAAATTGCGTCTGTAATTTCATAATTTCAAGTGGCTACCAGCATTTCATTCAACAAGTTTTATGACCCTTAAATTATTGGGGAATGTCGTAAGTCTTAAAAGTCTTTTAAAATGAAGAAGCAATTGCACAGAGAATAGAGGACAGTGCTGGTGAAGATTTTCTCCCAATCATCTGAGCATCAAGATTGGTGGGTGAATAACCAGTTAGTTTAAGCCTCGTGTTGCCGCCTATCCCATTTCTGTTAAGCATTAGTAGGCCTTTTTGTGTGGTTTATTCAGTTGTCAAATAAGATCAATATACTTTACTCGTTTGTTTTGTCACAAATTTTACATTGCTTTTTGGCTGATCTGTAGATCCTTTTACTGCCTGATTATAGACTAGTTGGCAGTTTTGTTTTTTTTTTGTTGTTGTCGTTGTTGTCCAGTTTTTTTTTTTTGTTGTACTGCTGAAAGTTCTAGTTATCTTCAATTATAAGCGGTTCCGGGGTTTTTTTTTTCTCAAAAACTTATTCGAAAAATACGGCATTACACGTGCTAAAGACAAGAGTATAATTAAAAGCAAACACAAGTATAAAAGAAGATGATCACCTTTTAGCGCCTCGTGTAAAAAAAAAAAATTCCATAGAGCATGGAAAATTGCATTTGTAAATGAGAAAGCCGTGTCTAAGAGTATCAGAGAAATTAAGTTATAAAATGAACTGAGTATAATAGTACCAGAATGGTTGAAATCATCAAAACTGGGTACGTTCTCCTCCTGGGTATACTGGTGTTGTTGTCCTGCAACTTGGTCAGGTCAAAATCTTATGAGTAAGTTCTTTCAGTCTCATTACCAAAAGCTAGTTAGGTAACAGTTAGATCAGATTGCGAAGTAAAAATATATTAGAACTGTTTTATAAAGCATACAACGAAATCTGTTCAGATTGATCGGTTTCAAAGTATCTTGAGAGGGTAGAAAACAGATGTAACAGAAAACTCATTAGCGTATAGAGGGAATGAAAGTAGTTAAGCCACGAAGATCGCTCTCATTTTTATTTTATTAATCAGCAGTACACATATATGATTTCAAATATTCACAGTCATTAAGTTATCACTCCACGGGTTTATGGCGAATCAACATAATGCCTAGCTCCTAGTTAGCTTGTTATTATCGGTATCGCAGACGAAATGGGTTCAAATCTTATACAGGCTTAAACTTTCTTCAGGCCCTATTTTCAGTACTGGTTATATTAGTAGTTTTCATTGCCACGAAGGTCGCTTTTATATCCATCAGCAATTGACAAGTGTGATCTTTATATATTCACAGTCATATAAACTATTGATTTAAGAATAAGCATATTTTTTCATTGTAAGCTGTTAGTATGGTAGTGTTCTAGGGTCAATGCCCTCCTTTCATGACTATTATCACAATTTCATTAATATCATAATCCACCACTAAAACCGTCTTTGGATATGGCATATTTATTCGTTCTCTCCTCCAGAGCAGGCTTTTGATTAAATGATCGTAATTCCAGGTGCTTTGAGGGAAATTGTGCCATGACAGGCTCTTGCCGGTCGGCTCCTGGGGCTGGTTTTAGCCCTTACTGCTGGATAGCATCCGACTCGTGGGGGCATAAGCTAAAGTGTGGGACTAAAAGTGATTGCAGAGACGCTGCTCTTAATTGGGGAAATTGTGTCTTCGCCTCGTGTGCTTTTGATCGCGGTAGCGGAAGATCCTGTGACCGGATGAACAGGGAGAAACGTGGAGAGCTGAAGAAAGAATGTGGTGGCAAAGGTTTCAGTTTTGACTCTTGGGCCAACAGGTACGAAAAAGCTCGTAAACTGTACGACAAGTTTAGCTCCTGCGTCGGTGGTGTCATTGAGGAACAAACCAAAAAGGTTATAAAATACTGTCACTGCCTCAACTCCTGTGGAAAAGATCAGACTGAAGATGGCACCTGTACAGTCCAAGGTTTGGATAGGAGATTGGATATGGAGTTGGACGTCAAATCACCCTACACAGCGATGTAAGGCTCTTTTCATCTTTTTTATTAGTAGTTTTACAAAACTGTATTCTTTAATTTTCCCTCAGTGGCTGTTCTATTATTCTGGTAACGTTTGGGGTTCCGTAAGCATGATGTAAATCATTGCATTAGTCACCAATCCCTAAGAGATAGGGCCATAAACATTTAACTTTTAATCATTTAACTCATCTTTCTTTTTTTTCCTAAAAAATAAAGATGCGCCATAGATTGTTAACCAGAGGAAAAGGTATGCTAAAGTGTCTACTGAGTCAGTTATTATGGTCTGTCTTCTTTGCTCAGAGGCATAAGTGGTCTTTGAAAAAGCAGATAAACAACCAGAAAGAGCAGCTTCTTCATACTTCTCCTTAAAGTCAATTATTTGTTTCCTTTTTGATTTGCATGATTCTCCGCCTAGTTGGTTTGCCCCTGGCTAATCATTAGTTTTAAGGTCAAGTAATTTCTTTCTGATAGGATTGGAGTAAGACAATTTGCCTCATTATCTACTAGCATGATAGAAAAACATTCAAACTCGGAACTGCCTAGATCTGGCCGACACTCAAGGTGGGTCTGCGCGTCTGCTGCGATCACCAATCTCTCCCACACGGTTTTCTTTGAAGAAAAAACTAAGTGTTAGGAAAAAGTGCACAAATAAACGGGATTTTGTCCTCTTTCTGATCCTTCTCTGCGTCATTTAGTTTGCCTTATAATCATCTGATATGGTAATTATGGGAGCAAAAAGTAGAGGCTACACAAGGGAGAAGCACCAAGGCTAAGTAATGCAAATCAATGTATGAACATTTTTTCCACAGCTTGTCTTCTTGCAAAAAGTGATAAACAGGCATCCCACTGAAAAAGCTACTAAAACGATCAGCATAACTAAAGGAATGACTTCTTCCAAGTCTACGTCCAGTGGTGGAAGTTCAAGTGCAACTGTGTCAGGGGAAGTCGGATTTAAAGTAATGAAACTTTTTGACGTAAAGATCGGCGCATCAGGAACATTGAAGCATAACTGGAGTTTGTCTACTACTAAGACGGAATTTCAGAAAGTGACCAGTAAAATATCCATCGGTGTTAAGCCAGAAGACGAAGTATCAGTGTTTCAGGTTGTTGGCGAATGTAAAAACAGTGATGGCACTGTTTACACTGTGAAAACACCCACTTATGTTATCAAAGGCAAAGACGGTTCATCCGAAACCAAGAAGGCAGATTTCTCTGAGGCCGAAAATAACTTGTCGTAGAGAAGATTTCAGACATTCGGTTCTATGCCTTGTAATCAAATAGTTGAGTTTCAACCAAATAAAATCATCCTATAATGCAAAGCGTGAGTGATGTGTGGCGCCCAAACTTGTGTAGCATAGCCTAGATGTGGTCTAACGATGGTTAAATAAACTGATCTTTTTACAATGGTACTTTGTTTATGACGCGTGCTTCGTTTAACAAACCCAAGCAACTTGTTTGCGCGAGCATTGCTCTGAGACGAGAGGTTAATTGCATTCGGAGTATGACGTAGACCAGCCAATCGGCTTTGGATGTGGATATTCGTTGGTGCTTTAACCGTGGCCATGAGATCAAAAGACAGGATGTTGTGGTCAGTGAAGATTCCTGCATTTTGCGCGGATAATACTTCAGTCGTTGTCACACTTTGTGGGTTACTTGAAATAACAAGGTTCAAGACGTTATTTTCCCGCATAGGCAACTTGTTTGTTTGAGTTAGAAAATGATCTTTGAGTAGATCGACAAAGCGTTCCTCACTGACACCACTGGAGTTACATGGAGAGTCCCTTGGGATTTTAGGTAAATTAAAATCACATAAAATCAGCATAGAGTCATAACAATTACAAATTTGGTTAAGAAAAATATTAAATTTATCCATCCAATCATCCTCACTGTTCGGTGTCGATAGCAGCAGCAAAAACGTAGTTTTTGGTTAGTTTGTAATGTTATTTCAGCAGAAACGATCTCCGGGTCTTGTTGAGAGTCGAGTTTTATTTTCCTGATAGATTTAAAAGAATCACACTGTATGGCAGTAGGAACACCCCACTAACTTTGTTAATTCGATCTCTCCTGAATATGTTGTAACAAGAGTGAAGAAATTCTAGATCTTCAATGTTATCATTGAGCAATGTCTCGCAGACCTCAACTAAATCAGCGTTTTCCGAATATACTAGATCTTGAAAGCAGTTCAGGTTAGAGATGATTGTGTTATTCTTTGTATGATGATTCATCAAACTTCGTGCGTTTAAGGAGAGACATTCTGAATTTCTTGTGCTCGTAGAGAAAGGACTTTTTCTGCTATGACATGTGCGAGTCCAACCAGGGTTTGGAGAAATATCGCTAGCCATGATTATTAGGGCAGCGTAGAATATTGCAGAAGATAGCAGGTCTTTGTCAATTGCGAAAATGAATAGACCATACTTTGTTTCGCTTTAATCGGGATAGATGATGTTATTTCGGCTTGAATAAGTCGTTTTCCTTTGAAAAAAGAGCTGGAGATAGATGCTGATCCAAGGGATGTTTCTGAAGGAGAAAGCCCTCGTAGTGTGATGTAACAAAGATAGAAAATTGACATTGTTTGTAGAGCGTATTTGAAGCGTGTGGACGAAGGTGTGAGGTTCGAATCCTCATGGGGACTCAGAATATTTTCTTTGTCCCACACTCGTGACAAGAAAAAAAAACATCTCTCACTACTTCGTTAGCAAGCTGGGAAATTTACCATCTCTTTCATTCAATCTAGAATTTTTCCGTTGTTAGACCTCTTTACCAGGGCTTATCTAACAAGAAAGAATTATATGTCCCCCTCATGGGTTGTAGCAGTGAGGGCGAAAGATTATGTGATGAAATGGCATGCTAAAATCAATCTCAATTGAGAGTCGATGCCAGGGGAGGGAGTTGCTCCGCTAAACTTTGTTACAGATTTTCATCCTGAGTTCCTAATATTTACACTAAGCGTCTTATTCATCAGGATTGTACAGCTTGCGAATGGGCGCCGCATTTTCAAGTCAAAACGACCATTTTTGAGCAAAAATGAAGTTGATGTAATTGTTTTGGACTTTATCTCCAGGTAACTCATCACCTTAAGCTACAAAAGATGAATAGACAGGATAAACCGCAACTATAGGAACGTTCGCTTATTACCTTACCACTTTTTTTGATTAGGGCCCAGTTAAATAGAAGACGGATCATGCTGTCCAACGAATAAATCACCATCCAACGGGTGTGATAGAAAAAAGTACTGCGTACTACCAGAGCCCAATTGTTCAAAGGGTGGATAAAAACTGCACTATCCACCAGATAGAATTTTATTTTATGGATAGCATTTTCCACCCTTAGAACAACCGAGGCCTGATAGAGATTTATCCCGCAACAGAACGCGTTGTCTAACAAGTGAGGCTAGATTCTTACGAGAAGAGGTGAAGGTGCTAACACTTCTGCTTTTTGAAAGATAACTGTTTTTCTGCAAGGCATTCCATCAAAACTTTACACACAGTAACCGAATCACTTTTAAGCGTCGTGAGTATTGAAAGTGAAAATTGTCAGTGGCTTGTTGAAAATCTAAAACTAGCGGCACGATTTTCAGTTAAGTGGAAATGATATATGAAAGTTATAAATATTTTAAAGCCGGACAATAACAAAGATTTTTTCTGGTAGCCCAAAAAACATAGCCTTTCTGATCAGTCCGACTTATCTGTTAAGGCTTCTGTGGATAGTTTATGATTCAAACGCCTCAACTTTTGAAATTTCATTTTTTTAGCATCAGATAATGTAATTATTTTGTTGTTGATTCTCTTTTGTCGCAGCACAGTACGGTGTAGTAGTCTATTAACTCTCCTAGATGGCTATTCTTAGAAAAGTTATAATTATTGATAAAAATGAAAAAACATATTACAGCAATGATAAATAAAGAAAAGATTACTTTACCCATATAATTGTATCTTTATATACCTAACTCATAGTTCAAACTTTTAAACTTTCATTTTGAATGCATCACTTCCCAAAATAATAAAAAAATGTCATTTCAGGTTTGGAAATGCTTTTATTCTTTTCTTAGTCTTTTGTCCAATGTTTACAGCACTTGTAAATGATTGATGCACCGCCGCGTGTCTTTCATATCGGAAAGTTTTCATTACCGTGATAATTACGCTAAGAGAAAAAAATCAAGCAAAGCAATTAAGGTGTCTCCTAGATGGTCATAACAAGCCAAATTCGCACAAAACTACGGAAAACTGACGATTGTAGAGCTATTGATCTAAACAGCGATGGACAACTGCAAAATACATTGAATTGCGAGAACTAGGAAAGCACGTGCGAATGGCACCTCGCGCTCACCAGTCCAACAAATTTCATACTTTTACCTTCAAAGTCTTAGCTCGCAGCAAAATAAAAATTGAATTTTGTGACGATTTCTAACAGAGGTTTGCATAGAAAATTCGCCATACCTAAGTTGTTGTTTATCGTATGAACAATGCCAAGAAAATTGGCGAATGTGAAATAACGAATGACCTGATCTCTTGATCAGTTGCAGCTGGCTTTTCAGAGAATGCCAAAGAGAAACTTGAAAATGAAACTGATCATAATCAAACATAGCAATAACGTGGAAAAAGAAGCAAATATGTAAACGTCGCCAAATTCCGGTTAAGCTTCTGGGCATAAGTTCTAAAATTTAGCCACAATCCGAGTAAGAGGGGTGTGAGAGGAAGGTTATCACGGTGTTGGGAGCACCAAGGGAGCCCTCACGTTATAATAATCAATTTGATATGTGTGCTTTGTGAGGAAATGGAAAGAAAAATAACTGATCCATCTTCTCCTCGAAGCTACATAACTATTACCAATTGACAAAGAAAAGAATTAAAAGGTGATCTATTAACTACTATAGGTTAAAAGAAGTCTGTCGGCTGTAAATTTCAGGAAGCCACTTAGGTATGTTAATTTGTTCATGGCTCAAGTTTTCAAAGCTAACATTTTCTTGTTTTATATGCATCATTTCTCAATGTAATCACAAATTGTGTCTGTAATTTCATAATTTCAAGTGGCTACCAGCATTTTCATTCAACAAGTTTTATGACCCTTAAACTACTGGGGCATGACGTAAGTCTTAAAAGAAACGTGCAAGCACTCGCCTTTAAAACTGAAGAAGTGAATCGACAGAGAATAGAGAACAGTGCTGGTGAAGATTTTCTCCCAAACATCTGAGCATCAAGAGTGGTGGGTGAATAACGAGTTAGTTTAAACCTCGTGTTGCCGTCTATCCCATTTCTGTCAAGCATTAGTAGGCCTTTTTGCATAGTTCATGCAGTTGTCAAAGTAAGATCAAAAGACTTTAATCGTTTTTTTTGTTACAAATATTATATTGCTTTTTGGCCGACCTGTAGATCCTTTTACTGCCTGATTATAGACTAGTTGCCAGTTTTTTTTTCTTTGTTGTTGTCGTTCAATTTTTTGTTTTGTTGGACTGCTTAAAGTTCCAGTTATCCACAATTATAAGAGGTTCGTGAGAGTTTCATTTTCCTCAAAAACACATTTGAAAAATACGGCATTACACGTGCTAAAGCCAAGAATATAATTAAAAGGAAACACAATTATAAAAGAAGATGATCGCCTTTAGGCGCCTCATGTAAAAAGAAATTCTATGGAGCATGGAAAACTGCGTTTGTAAATGAAAAAGCCGTAGCTAAGAGTACCAGAGAAATTAAGATATAAAATGATTTCCATAATTCTTGATGTTGGTAACTTTTGTGAAATTTTGTCCGTTGAGGACTGAAAAAAATATTGACGTTGTGGATTTGAACATGTAAACTACTGGCACTTGTACAATACTCAAGCCTACTGAACTTTGAAGCCAATGTCATTCATTAATTCTTTGCTATCCATAATTTTCATCAATCACTTAAGTTATTTGATTCAATCTTATATGCTGATTTTTTATAGCGAAAATAGTACCATAATGGTTGAAATCGTCAAATTTGGATACATTCTCCTCCTGGGTATACAGTTGTTGTTGTCTTGCAACGTGGTCAGTTCAAAGTCTTATGAGTAAGTTCCTTTCAGTCTCAATACAAAATACTAGTTGGGCAACAATGAGATCAGGTTGCAAAGTAGAAATATATCAGAACCTTTTTTACAAAGCATACAACTAAATCTGTTCAGATTGATCGATTTTAAAGTATCTTGATATCTTGAGAGGGCAGAAAACAGATGTAACAGACGATTAACGCTCAATAGTATATGTGGGGATTGTAAGTAGCGTTCATTACTGCAGAGATCGCTTTCATTTTCATTTCTTAATCCGCAGTTCACATATATGATTTCAAATATTTGCAGTCATTCATTCATCTCTTCACGGGTTTATGGCGAATAAACATAACAACCAGCTCCCAATTAGCTTGTTAGCATCGATATTGCAAACGTAATGGGTCAAAATCTCGCAAAGAACTGAATTTTTTTTCGGGCCTTATTTCCACTACTGCTTTAGTAGTGTTCGTTAAACCAAAGGTCGCTTTTATATTCATTTCTTAATCCGTGGTTCACATCTCTGATCTTTATTCATTCATTCTTCATTCATAGTCATATAAAATATTATAACTGAATTTGTCTTTAGATATGGCATATTTATTCGTTCTCTCCTACAGAACATTCTTTTGATGGAATGATTGTAATTCCAGGTGCTTTGAGGGAAATTGTGCCATGACAGGCTCTTGCCGGTCGGCTCCCGGAGCTGGTTTTAGCCCTTACTGCTGGATAGCATCCGACTCGTGGGGGCATAAGCTAAAGTGTGGAACTAAAAGTGATTGCAGAGGCGCCGCTCTTTCTTGGGGAAATTGTGTCTTCGCCTCATGTAACGTTGATCTCGCTGACGGTAGATCATGTGACGAGATGAACAGCGAGAAACTTGGAGAGCTGAAGAAAGAATGTGGTAGCGAAGGTTTCAGTTTTGACTCTTGGGCCAACAGGTACGAGAAAGCTCGTGAACTGTACGAAAAGTTTAGCCCCTGCGTTGGTGGTGCCATTGAGGATGAAACCAAAAAGGTGATAAAATACTGTCACTGCTTCAACTCCTGTGGAAAAGATCAGACTGAAGATGGAACCTGCACAGTCCAAGGTTTGGATAGGAGATTGGATATGGATTTGGACGTCAAAACACCCTACACAGCGGTGTAAGGTTTTTTTTTATAATTTTTATCAGTAGCTTTACAAAACTGTATTTCCTATCAGTGGCTGTTCCATCATTCTGGTGACGTTTTGGGTAATGTAAGTATCATGTAAATCATTACATTAGTCACCAATACCTTAAAGTTAGGGCCACAAACATTTAACTTTTAATCATTTAACTCCTCTTTCTTTTTTTTCCTTAAATAAGATGCGCCATAGATTGTGAACCGGAAGAAAAGGTATGCTAAAGTTTCCAGTAAGTCAGTTATTATGGTCTGTCTTCTTTGCTTAGTGGCAAAAATGATCCTCGAAAAAGCAGATAAACAACAAGAAAGAGCAGTTTCTTCATACTTCTCATTAAAATTAATTACTTGTTTCTTCTCGATTTGCGTGATTCTCCAGTTGTTTGGTTTGCCCCTGGCTGGTCATCAGTTTGATTTTCTCTGTTTAACAAGTCTACCAAAACCTCACCATGTTGTTGGTTGAAATGCTCTTGGCTGCACCGGCTCGTTTATCCGCGCTCAATTCAAATAACCTGCAACAAATGATCAAAATCAAACATTACAACGTCAAGCAATTTATTTTTGACAAGACTGGAGTCAGAAAACTTGGTTCAGTATTTACAATCGCGATAAAAACAATTCAAACTTGGAACTATCGAGAGAGAAATCTGGTCGATAGTCGAAGCGGGTCTGCGAGTCTGCTGTGACCACCACTCTCCTACATTGTTTTTTTGCTTTTCCGGAGAAAAAACCAAGCCTTAAGAAAACTTGCACAAAAAATTGCAAATAAATGGGAGTTTGTCCTCTTTCTGATCCTCCTTTACGTCATTCAGTTTGTCTTGTGATCTTTGGGCATGGTAGTCATGGGAGCAAAAATAAGTAGCGAGGCAAGGAAGAAGCACCAAATGTTGTGCAATAAAATAGCGAATTTATGTATAACCATTTTTTTCCACAGCTTGTCTTCTTGCAGAAAGTGATAAACAAGCATCCCACTGAAAAAGCTACTAAAAAGGTCATCATAACGAAAGGAATGACTTCTTCCAAGTCTACGTCCAGTGGTGGAAGCGCAAGTGCATCTGTGTCAGGAGAAGTCGGATTTAACGTGATGAAACTTTTTGATGTAAAGATCGGCGCATCAGGAACATTGGAGCATAACTGGAGTTTGTCTACAACTAGGACGGAATTTCAGCAGGTAACCAGTGAAATATCCATCGGTGTCAAACCGGAAGACGAAGTATCAGTGTTTCAGGTTGTTGGCGAGTGTAAAAACAGTGATGGCACTGTTTACACCGTCAAAACACCCACTTATGTTATCAAAGGCAAAGGTGGCTCATCCGAAACCAAGAAGGCAGATTTCTCTGAGGCCGAAAAAAAGTTGTCGTAAAAAAAAACATTGAGTTTCAACCAAATAAAATCGTCTTATGATGCAAATTTCTTAATTTTCGTTTATCTATTTACTCATGTTCTTCTCGTCAGTTCGCTATGTATGGAAAAATGCGTTTCTCGGCACTCATGACAAATAATATCTCTAACCCATGTGCTTGAAAAAAGTTAAATGTTCTGACTTATTTAACTTTTGCTTTACTCATAAATCGTATTTTACATGAGCATTCACTGTAATAAAGAACCATAAAGCAAATCTGGTAACATTCAGACGAGAGGAACTTTGTATCAAGCTCAGGTGGCACCTCTCACCATCTGCGTAAGGAGATGGAGAAAGTATTAAATAAGGTTTAGATTTGGCTAACTGTGCGATAAGATACATCTCTTGTTTTTGAAAATATCCCTTTTAATTCACACGATTTCTTTACAACGATTTACTTATTGGTTTCTTTCAAGTGCAATCTCATATTTGCAAGCGACAACGTTGCACAAGCTGCACAAATGTTCCTAATTCCCAAGAAACCTTTGCTCGTGTAAACCATTTTAGTCGAAACCTTTCATAGAAAAAAAGGCAACCTCTTGAGTATGAACCACGATCATTTTGGGGAAACCTTTTATAAACTTCTGTCAGTGATATCGTCGCATGCTCTCACGTCACTGAGGACGTCTGTCAAGTAATTATAATTGTGTGTCCCATGACCCACGCTATGAGCCGCCAGCCTGTAATATCGTAGAGTTCCTAACGTTTACAACAGGCAAGTTGGTGCATCGCGGGAAATTGGTAACTTTCCAGTCACGTTTTCTTCAGTTAGGGCCAATCTTCACTAGCAAAAGCGATTCCTCCTTTTGACAAATTTTCTGTCAACACCAACACATGTGCGAATGATTTGTCGCGACAAATATTTTGGCCGAAGAGGACAAACCTTCTAATGCAACACCGACAAAATTTGTTGCTGTTTCTTTTTTTTAATGAAAAACTAGTGAGCAGAAATGCCCGAACTAAAATAATCTTCTACACGTTTGGTATGAAACAACAACAGCAGTAATATTTATTAAACACGATAAAAAAAATTACAGCGGAGCTGATGTGGTCGTGTATTTAAAAGTTAAAACATAGTTTACAAATGAATAAAAAGCTTTAAAAATGATTAAAATTTAAAAAAGATCTAACCTATTTTAAAAAATACATAACATATCTGTAAATTAATCTATTCGCATGAAGTTCTGCGTTTAAGAAAATTTTTAAATAAGCTTTTGCTTGAGATTGCACGCGTATGATTGTCAAGAGAATTCCATAGAGATGAGGCTTTGTAACAAGTAGACTTGCAAAGAATTTCGGTGTTTGGTTTTGGTAACAAAAAGGTCAATTTTCTTCGAAAGTTATAGTTGCACTCATATTTCGTAGACAGCTTCATAGTTGGAACGGAGAAGCAGTTATAAAAACAGTCGTATGCTAACATAAGTAATCTATATTCGTATAAATCGTTAACAGTGGGCCACTTGCTTTGGCCTAAGACCTGATCGCTGGGTGTGTACCAATCCAGGCCATAGATGATCTTCCTTTGAATCCTCTCCAGCTCATCAAAGAGCGATTTGCTGCAGGAACCCCATACAACAAACCCATAGGTAACAGATGGTAAAATTACTTTGAAATAAAAATCAGCTCTCGCTGTTGTTGGTAAGAAATACAAAGACCTGGGAAGGTTCAATTTTTATGAAAAGGACTTAATTAACTCTTTTACAAGAACTTTCCAATTAAGATCGCTGTCAATTTCGACACCTAAACACCTAGTTGACTTGACTTGAGTGACAACATTGTTCCCTAATGACACTGCGTGCAGTGGCCTAACAAACTGGCCACGCATTAAAATCATTTACTCGGTTTTACCGGGGTGGGGTATGAGGCGGTTAAGGCAGCACCAGTCATACAACTTCTGAGGATGACGTTCAAGACAACAGCAACCATATCGGGAGAAGATGCAGTCATGTAAACCTTAGTGTCGTCAGCATACATGTGAATTTCTCCATCATAATCCATGGTGCGGTTGGACAAACTGTGTTTGTGCGAGTCGAGAGTGGTGCATGGAAATCCAATATGCTTAATCTTCCACAAGATCAACTTTTAACAATGAAGATTTTTCAATGCTCTCTTGAAACGCGTTAGAATTGATCGATTTAACGTTACGGCGCGAGATAGTTTTCCTCTCATGACACGGCCTTGTAATATTAAGTGAAACATCAAAGTAAAGTCATCAGAAATCATGGAATCATGATCGTCAACAGAATGCACAAAGTCTTCATCATCATTCCGATCAATAATCAGATCTAAGACATTACCAGCACGATGGGTTTCTTGAGTAGCATGCAGTCTCAAATTGGACGCTTCCAGCAGAATGATAAAATTAGTCGTGGAGATGTCAGAAGATATGAAAATTGAAACCGCCGGCAGTAATTAAGGATCCAGACTTGGCAAAATAATCCTCAAGAAGCGAACTATCTTCCATTAAGCAACTCATTGAATTATTCCCAGATGATGAAGGAGGGTGATAGATGACTACAATGTTAAAAACCTTTGAAAGTACCCTCATTTGTATTCCTATAGCTTCGAAGGATCTGTAATTGGTAAAATATTCAGTAGAGGAGCATGATAAAAACAATAAACCATTTTGAACCAAATTCCTTATTGTAATTCGATCAATATTTCCAGGGCGAAACTAGGTCTCAGTAATCGCAAATATATCAAAGTTCCTTTCAACAATATAATCCTTCAACATAATAGCATTGTTGCACACAGAACGACAATTTAAGGGTCCCAAGCAAGAGCTTTTAACATTGAAATTCTCTCGCGATGATTATACGCACTGGCATCGCTCTCGACAGGCATTAGATTGGCCAAACTTATCGATCTTCTTTTGTTATTTACTGAACGACTGTTCACAAATTTTCTTCGGCAGACAATTGATGGAATATTCATAGCTCCGTTGGCTTTTTTCACCTAAGAAAGTTTATCAACTCTTTTTCCACGATATTTCCAATTCCGAGGTCGATTCCGTACACAAATCCAAATAGGAAGGGCACAAACGCACAACATCGTTACGATTATACACAAGACGATTAACAGGAAATACGGATGAAATGTTGTCAAGTGTGACATTAGTTTGGCTCAATTTCGCTGAGCAATATGCTTGAGACAGCGACAAATAATACGCAGAGCGCGAGGGGTAACGGGACCCGGGTTAAGTTCAACAACCATATAGATGATGCCCGTAGTCGAAGGAAGACAGCTACATTTGTGGCCATGTTTGCTCAAGGAAAATAACAAACGCGTGGGAAGGAACCAACTTAATGACAAGCTCCACCAGTATCGCAGAGGTCATGGGTTCAAATCCTGTACCTGCCTGAATTTTTTTTTTCCAGGCCTTATTTTTCACTACTGCTTAAGTAGTGTTCATAACTGCGAGGATCGCTTCCATATTCGTTTCTTCAGCCGCAGTTCACATAAATGATTTTCATATATTTACAGTCACTTCTAAACGTCTTCTCCATCAGAATCTCATTTCAAAGATTTAACCGTTTGCGAATGGGCGCTGCATTTCCAAGTCAAAACGACCATCTTTTGAGCAAACAAGGCATTGTTTGATTGTTTTTTTGACTTTATCTTCAAGTAACCCCTTACCTCAAGAATAGAAAAAGGATTAGCAAGGGCCAGATGCTTGCGAGAAAAGGTGAAAGTGCAGAAATTTCTGCTCTTTGAGAGAAAACAGTCTTTTGCAAGGTATTCATTCAAAACCTTCTACACAGTTACCGAATCACTTTCGAGTGTCATGAGTGTTGAAAGTAAAGATTATCGGTGGCTTCTTGGAAATCTGAAACTAGCAACACAATTTTCACTAATGTGAAACTGATATATGGAACATAAAAATTTTAAAACCTGACAATAAAATCTTGAACAAAAGACAAAAATTTGCTGGTAACCAAACAAACAGAGCCTTTCTGATCAGTCTGACTTATTTGTTAGGGCTTCTGTAGATAGTTTGTGAATCAAACGCCGCCATTCTAACAATTTCACCTTTTTGGTATCAGAGAAAGGAACTGTTTTATTGGTCAATTATCGTTCGCAACACAACAGTACAGTAGAACGCAGCAGAGTGCAGCATTTGCAATAACTGAAGCAAAAAAGTTAATTACAATGACTATAAAGAGAGAATAAAATAAACTGTTATATATCTTAGAATACTCTACTTGACACATAAAATTGTATCTTGAAATACCAATGTATGAGTTTATTTACTGTTGTTGAAACTAAAATTTTCAGGTAAAAATATGGTAGTCTTCGATGATTTAATTAGACGACGTGACACAGCTCCCGTTTAGCGCTTGCGCTTAAGACAGGTAAACGTTTTGCTTGCTCTGGTATTGAGACTAAGAGAGTTCCACGCACTTACAAATATATGATAAAACAATCGTTACGCGATAGGAACGTTCAAGGAAAGTCTACACAGGTCGCCTACATGTATGGGTGAGTCGATCCAAGTAGTACACAACACCTGCCACATATGTAGAAACTTAGGATACGACCTATGGGGCCCAGCTATTCGATGAAAACTTTGGGCCGCGGATTCAGATGTTTTCTTTTTAACGCACCTGAAACATCTTTTATCTTTGTCATAAGTCATTTGGAATTTTTCTCCTCTGGTTAATTTATCCACAAGCAACAGTGTGAAAACCTTGATCAGAAAGTAATTAGTGATTTAGCACCGAGAAATGTCAGAAGAGAAGTGTTTGTAACGAGCAAACAAGTGGCCTTTTATGTAATTTTGTTCTTAGTTTAAACTCTAAAAGTTTTAATTAGTATCCTTTCATTTTGTATGCATCATTTCCCAAAACAATAAAAAATGTCATTTCATTTTTTGAAATTCTTTTATCTTTTCTTGGTCTTTTGTCTAAGTTTCACAGCACTTGTAAATGATTAATGCGCCGCCGCATTTCCTACCTATGCATGTTAATTTGTTCATGGCTTAAGTTTTCAGGGTTAACATTTTCTTCTTTTACATGCCTCATTTCTCAAAGTAATTACAAATTATGTTTGTAATATTATAATTTCAAGTGGCTACCAGCATTTTTATTCCACAAGTCTCATGACCCTTAAATTATTGGGGTATGTCGTAAGTCTAAAAAGAAACGAGAAAGCGCTCGCCTTTTAAACTGAAGAAGCAAATCCACCGAGAATATAGGACAGGGCTGGTGAAGATTTTCCCTCAAACATCTGGGCATCAGGAGTGGTAGGTGAATAACCAGTTCGTTTAAACCTCTTGTTGCCGCCTATCCCATTTCTGTCAAGCATTAGTAGGCAAACACAAGTATAAAAGAAGATAGCTGTCTTTTAGCGCCTCATGGAACAAAAATGTCTTCTAGAGAAGCTGGAAAACTGCATTTGCAAATTAGAAAGAGGAAGCTAAAAGTATCTGAGGAAATAAGTTACAAGATGCATCCCGTAATCCTTGATGTTTATAATTTTAACTTTAACTTATAACGAAATTTTGTCAATAGGAGATTGAAAAAATTTGACTCCAAAAGAATTTATAGGATTTGAACATATAACCTTACGGCACTTGTACAATACTCAAGCCTACTGAACTTTGAAGTTTGAAGCCAATGTCATTACGAATTCTTCGCTTTCCAAAATTTTCATCCATCGCTTCAGTTAATTCATCTAATTGTATTTGCCGATCTTTTTACTAGCGTAAATAGTACCAGAATGATTGAAATCGTCACAATTGGAAACCTCCTCTTCCTGAGTATACAGCTGCTGTTGTCTTGCAACGTGGTCAGTTCAAAGTCTTTTGAGTAAGTTCCTTTCAGTCGCATTACCAAAAGCTAGTTGGGCAACAATTAGATCAGATTACGAAGTAGAGATATGTTAGAACTGCATATAAAAGAAAACAACAAAATTTGTTTAAATTGATCCATTTTGAAGTATCTTGAGAGTGCAGAAAACAGATGTAACAGAAGATTGATACTTATTAGCATATAAAGGGATCGTAAGTAGTGTCATACTGCGGAGATCGCTTTCGTATTCACGTCTTAATCCTCAGCTCACATATATGGTTTCCAATATTCACAGTCATCCATTCATTACTCCAAGGGTTTATGGCAAATCAACATAATGATCAGTTCCCACTTGGCTTGTTTGCTCAGTTGATAGAGCACTGCACCGGTTTCGTCGAGGTAATGGGTTCAAATCCCGCACAGGCCTGAATTTGTTTCAGGCCTTATTTTCAATACTGCTTCAGTTTCATTACTGCGAAGATCGCTTTTATATTCCTTTCTTAATTAGCGGTTCACATATATGATCTTTAAATATTCACAGACGTGTAGATCGTTAAGTTGTCTTTGGACAACTTTATTTGTTCTCTCTTCCAGAGTAGGGTTTTGATGGAATGATTGTAATTCCAGGTGCTTTGAGGGAAACTGTGCTATGACAGGCTCTTGCCGGTCGTCTCCCGGAGCTGGTTTCAGCCCTTTCTGCTGGATAGCATCCGACTCGTGGGGGCATAAGCTAAAGTGTGGAACTAGAAGTGATTGCAGAAGCGCTGCTCTTTCTTGGGGAAATTGTGTCTTCCTTTCATGTGCTTTTGATCGCGGTAGTGGAAGATCCTGTGACCGGATGAACAGGGAGAAACTTGGAGAGCTGAAGAAAGAATGTGGTAGCGAAGGTTTCAGTTTTGATTCTTGGGCTAACAGGTACGAGAAAGCTCGTAAACTGTACGACAAGTTTAGCCCCTGCGTCGGTGATGCCATTGAGGATGAAACCAAAAAGGTTATAAAATACTGTCACTGCTTCAACTCCTGTGGAAAAGATCAGACTGAAGATGGCACCTGCACAGTTCAAGGTTTGGATAGGAGATTGGATATGGAGTTGGACGTCAAATCACCCTACACAGCGGTGTAAGTTTTTTATTTTCTCTTTTTTATCAGTAGCTTAACAAAACTGCATTCTCTAATTTTCCATCAGTAGCTGTTCCATCGTTTAGGTGACGTTTTGGGTTCCGTAAGCATCATGTAAATCATTACATTAGTCACCAATCCCTTGGAGGTGGGGCCATAAACATTTAGCTTTTGATCATTGAATTCCTCTTTCTTCTTTTTCCTAAAATAAAGATGCGCCATAGATTGTGAACCGGAAGAAAAGGTATGTTAATTGTCTGTCTTCTTTACTCAGAGGTAAAAATGATCCTGACGATCAACCAGAAAGAGACGTTTCTTCATACTTCTCCTTAAAATCAATTATCTGTGCCTTTCTCAATTTGCAAGATTCTACGCCTTGTTGGTTTGCCCCTGGCTCGCATTAGGCTCACCATTTACCATGTTGTTGGTTGAAGTGTACTTGGCTGTACTGGCTCTTTTATCCGCGCTCAATTCAAATAATTTATAACAAATAATCAAAATCAAACATAACAACTTCGAGTAATTTTTTCCTTACAGGATTGGAGTAAGACAATTTGTCTCGGTATTTACAAGCATAATAGAAAAACATTCAAACTATCGGGAGGGAAATCTGGCCAATACCCAATCGGTTCTGCGAGTCTGCTGAAATCACCCCTCTCCCACACGGTTTTCTTTAAAGAAAAACCAAACGTTAAGAAATGTGCACAAAGCGTTTCAAATTGATAGGAGTTTGTCCTCTTTCTGATCCTCCCTTGCGTCATTCAATTTTTCTTACAATCTTTGGGCATGGTAGTCATGGGAGCAAAAATAAATAACAAGGCAAGGAAGAAGCACCAAAGAATATACAATAAAAATGCGAATGAACGTATAACCATGTTTTTCCACAGCTTGTCTTCTTGCAGAAAGTGATAAACAGGCATCCCACTGAAAAAGCTACTAAAAAGGTCATCATAACGAAGGGAATGTCTTCTTCCAAGTCTACGTCCAGTGGTGGAAGTGCAAGTGCAACTGTGTCAGGGGAAGTTGGATTTAACGTGATGAAACTTTTTGACGTAAAGATCGGCGCATCAGGAACATTAGAGCATAATTGGAGTTTGTCTACTACTAGGACGGAATTTCAGCAAGTGACCAGTGAAATATCCATCGGTGTTAAGCCAGGAGACGAAGTATCAGTGTTTCAGGTTGTTGGCGAGTGTAAAAACAGTGATGGCACTGTTTACACAGTGAAAACACCCACTTATGTTATCAAAGGCAAAGATGGCTCATCCGAAACCAAGGAGGCAGATTTCTCTGAGGCCGAAAAAAGGTTGTCGAAAAGAAGATTTAAGACATTCTATGTCTCATAATCAAACAACTGAGTTTCAACCAAATAAAATCATCTTATAATGCAAATTTTATCATTTTCGTTTATATATTTGCTCATGTTCTCTCTCCAGTTCGCTATGTAAGGAAAAATGCGTTTCTCGGCACTCATGACAAATACTATCGCTAATACCACGTACTTGAAAATAGTTTTGACTTATTTAACTTTTGCTTTGCCTATACCACGCAGTATAAATCGCATTTTACATAAGCATTCAGTGTAATAAAGGACCATAAAGCAGATTCGGTAATATTCAGACGAAAGGAACTTTGTATCAACCTCTGGTGGCACTTGTCACCTTCTGGGCAAGGAGAAAACAACTTTAGAAAGTATAAAATAAGGTTTGAATTTGGCTAACTGTGCGATAAAATACATCTCTAGAACTTATATTTTTGAAAAAAATCCCTTTTTATTCACTCGATTTCTTTATTATATGGAAATAACTTATTGCCTCCATTGCTTCTAAATCTTTTTGTAACGGCGCCGGAATAGCCAAATTCACAACTATGGTACCAGAACAGCCAGTAATTATCGAACGCATTTGTGCCGTACAAATCTCAAGCAATTTACAATTCTCTACCAAGGTCCTAAAATTTGGAACTCTCTTCCTGTTTCAGTCACTCGTTCGTGAAACCTTCTTAGCTTTAAGACGAAAATCCAAGAGTTTTTACTTAAGTAATCACTGAACTGGCTTAGCGCACATTCGCAGCACTTTTTCTTCACTTTATTCATTAATATAAAAAAGGCGGCCTCACATAAGCTCGGTGGCTTCCTAGGTCCTCTCTCCTTCTAGCTAGAAGGACGTCTGTCAAGAAGTTAGAGTTGTGTGAACCATGACTCACGCTGTGAACCGCCAGCTTGTAGTATCCATAGATTTCCTGACGTTCACAACAGGCAAGTTGGTGCATCGCAGTAAAGTGGTAGCTTCCCGGTCACGTTTTCTTCCACGCGTTTCGTTTGAGGCTAAGGTGTTGAACATGAATGACATCACTCGTTCGTTACACACAATTATGGGCAAATCACAAACCCCTCGATAGCTCGATATCTACTTTTATCATCAGAACATTTATTTAAGGACTTTTTCCTCTTTCTAAGCATGGTTTAATGACGAGAGGTTAATTCGTCTACATTCGAAAAAAAGCAGCATCAAAAGGCGAGTGACGACAAAGGCGAGCGTTCAACTAAAGGCAATAGGATCTCCGGATCCCGGGGGATCTGATGACCGCGAAAAGGTCGCTTGGGAGATTTCTGACAACCCGATAGTTTGTGAGCTTAACGAAATACCTTTTCTAAAAAACTCGACTGCTCGGCAGGATTCTGCTGAATTCGTTTTTGTGGGAAATCTAAGTTTAAGTAATTGACTTGTGAAGATTTGGAGAAACCTTGAGTTTGAAATTTAGGCAGTCTTCTTCAAATGAAGGCCCTGTTACATTTATTCATTTTTTTTTTAATTCCGTTGTCAAACCTGGAGAAAATTCGGATGATGCATTATTATGCAAAGTTCGCCTCACATTCACACTTGCTTTCGTAAGCTTCAAATTAAGCTTCAAACTACTAACAATTGATTTGGGTGACCCTACATGGGTTTAAAGTGTCATAGGGAGCAATTGAAAGTCATCAATCCCGTGTGAGTCAATTAAACGAAGGATAGGTGGCAAGGCGGGTGGCAAGGCGATTTCGAAGTACTTCGAGAGAGCAGAAAACAGAACAGAAGATTAAGACTCATCAGGGTTTATTGCGAACCAACATAATGACTAGCTCCCACTTGGCTTATTAGCTCAGTTGGTAGGGCACTGCACCGGTTTCAAATGGGTTCAAATCCCGTACAGGCCTGAACTTATATTAGGCCTTATTTTCACTACTGCTTCAGTAGTGTTCATAAATCCGAAGATCGCTTATATTCCTTTCTTAATCAGCGGTTCACACATATGATCTATATTTATTTCTTCCTCAGAGGGCACGTCAATCTTGCAATCTGATCGGTTCTTCACGCGGTCCGTGTTTTTCCTATCTCTGCCCACGGGCAACGGTAACAGTTTCGTGAGTCGCCGAGTACATCCCCACATCCCTACCGTTGCTATTTTTCATAAATATACCTCATTTTTCCAGCTGGGCAGTATTTTTACGCAAAAAGAGTCGGTCACCACCTCAAGGCGATAAATAACTTATTAATCCTTTTTTTTTCTCTCTCAAATCACTTTGGTTGACAGAAAAATGTTGGTTTCAAAATGAATTTGTATTAACAAAAAAGTTATTGAATTGGTTGACGAGCGGCCTAAAAAGCGTTTGCAATTAATTTTAATCCTTCACAAAAAGTACCTGGAGAATTAAAGAGTGAGGTATTTGTTTGCAATTGAATTAATCGATGGAACCTTCATTCATTAAATATCTGAATTCTCTCAAACAATTTGTCCGTAGTGAAAGGACGAGCGAAGTTTTCAGTTCCACTACAAATACGCTCTCGGTGAGTCTTTCCAAGTCCGTTCAATTTGAACATTTGTATCATAAATTGCACAACAGAAACTGGAGGAATTCAAAGAGAAAAAGCCGCATTAAATCCCCTTGTGTCTAGTTGAAGTGCCTCATTCGAATTTAGTTTTTGTGGAGGAAAGACCAGATTTACACACGCCGTTACAATAAACAAACGAGCAAACTCTCATAACTTCATAATAGAAAATTTGAATTTACTTACAATTACTTTCCTTGCCATTTACTTACTGAACAGAGGTAAATCTTCGTACATTAATTAACCGTCGATGAGAGTGAACAATACTTTCCGTAAGATCATTGACTGCTTTTGAAGAAAACATTGCCGTGACAGTCCTTGCCAAACTAGTTCCGTTGTTTTTTCAAAAATGTACTTGCGTTTTTTTTTTCTTACGCGCTCTCTAATTGTTCAATCACCTTTATCATTACGCAAATGAAAATGTTTAGGTGAGGCATCTCTCTCTAATTTGCATTTCTCTATTTTAACAACCAGTTACTCGCTCAAACATCGTTCGGTTTATGGAGAATCTTACAGTTAATTACTCAAGACCTCCGGCACAGTTTTTCCCAATACGGACGTCCCGGCAGGCGAATACCATGTATATATTCATAGTGATACAAATTGTTACGTTGCCTTCGGACAGTTTTATTCCGTTTCTTCTCCAGAGTAGGCTTTTGATGGAATGATTGTAATTGCAGGTGCTTTGAGGGTTATTGTGCTATGACAGGCTATTGCCAGTCGTCTCCCGGATCTCGTTTAAGCCGTTACTGCTGGATAGCAGCCGACTCGTGGGGGTATGGGCTAAGGTGTGGAACTAAAAGCGATTGCGCAAAGGCTGCTCTTAACTGGGGAAGATGCATCTTCGGCTCATGTACTTTTGATCGCGTTAGCGGAAGAACCTGCGACGAGATGAACAGGAGGAATCTGGGAGAGCTGAAGAAAGAATGTGATACCAGAGGTTTCAGTTTTGATTCTTGGGCCAACAGGTACGAGAAAGCTCGTAAACTGTACGACAAGTTTAGCCCCGGTGTCGGTGATACCATTGAGGACCAAACCAAAAAGGTGATAAAATACTGTCACTGCTTGAACTCCTGTGGAAAAGATCAGATTGAAGATGGCTCCTGCACAGTCAGTGGCTTGGATAGGAGATTGGATACGGAGTTGGACGTCAAATCACCCTACACAGCGGTGTAAGTTTTTTTATTTTAACAAAACTGCACTCTCTGAATTTTCCATCAGTAGCTGTTCCATTATTCTGGTGACGTTTTGCAATTGGGTTCCGTAAGCATCATGTAGATCATTGCATTAGTCACCAATCCCTAAGCGTTAGGGCCATAAACATTTATCTTTTAATCAGTTAACTCCTCTTTCTTTTTTTTCCTTAATAAAGGTGCGCCATAGATTGTAAACCGAACGAAAAGGTATGCTAATGATCTGTCTTCTTTGCTCAGAGGCAAAGATGATCCTCGAAAAAGCAGATAAACAACCAGAAAGAGCATTTTCTTCATACTTCTACGTAAAATCAACTACTTGTTTCTTTCTCAATTTGCATGATTCTACGCCTGGTTGGTTTGCCCCTGGCTAGTCATTAGTTTGAGTTTCTCTGTACAACATATCTACCAAAACCTTACCATGTTGTTTGTTGAAGTGCACTTGGCTGCACTGGCTCGTTTATCCGCGCTCAATTCAAATAACCCATAACAATTGATCAAAATCAAACGTAACAAGGTCAATTATTTTCTCTCCGACAGGATTAGATCAGACAATTTCACTCAGTATTTACAAAAACATTCAAACTCGGAACTATCGATAGAGAAATCTGGCCGATACCCAAAGCGGTTCTGCGAGTCTGCTGCGATCGCCACTTCGCTACACGGTTTTCTTTGAAGAAAAAACCAAGCGTTAAGAAAACTTGCACAAAAAGTTACTAATAAACGGGATTTTGTCTTCTTTCAGATCCTTCTTTGCGTCATTCAGTTTGCCTTGTGATTTTGGGCATAGTAGGCATGGGAGCAAAACTAAATAGCAAGGAAAGGGAGAAGTAACAAAGGTTATATAATAAAAATGCAAATTTATGTAGGACATCTTTTCTTTTCACAGCTTGTCTTCTTGCAAAAAGTAATAAACAAGCATCGCACTGAAAAAGCTACTAAAAAGATCACCATAACTAAAGGAATGTCTTCTTCCAAGTCTACGTCCAGTGGTGGAAGTTCAAGTGCAACTGTGTCAGGGGAAGTCGGATTTAACGTGATGAAACTTTTTGACGTAAAGATCGGCGCATCAGTAACATTGGAGCATAACTGGAGTTTGTCTACTACTGGGACGGAATATCAGGAAGTGACTTATGAAATATCCATCGGTATTGAGCCAGAAGACGAAGTATCAGTGTTTCAGGTTGTTGGCGAGTGTAAAAACAGTGATGGCACTGTTTACACTATAAAAACACCCACTTATGTTATCAAAGGCAAAGATGGTTCATCCGAAACCAAGGAGGCAGATTTCTCTGAGGCCGGAAAAATGTTGTCGTAGAGAAGATTTAAGACATTCGTCAGTTCGCATTGTAGGGAAAAATGCGTTTCTCGGCACTTATTGCAAATACTATCTCTAATACCATGTGCTTGAAAATAGTTGTGACTCATTTAAATCTTGCTTTACTCATACCACGCAGTATAAATGGCATTGTACATAAGCATTCAGTGTAATAAAGGACCATAGAGCAGATCCGGTAATATTCAGACAAAGGAAACTTTGTGTCAACCTCCGATGGCACCTCTCTCCATCTGCGTGAGGAGAAAACAACTTTGGAAAGCATGAAATAAGGTTTGAATTTGGCTAACTGTGCGATAAGACACATCTCTAGAACTCATTCATGTTTTTGAAAAAACCCCTTTTTATTCACGCGATTTCCTTAGAAATCTTTCCTTAATGGTTTCTTTCAAGCAGTCTCACATTTGCAGGTGATAACTTTGCACAACCCGCACAAATGTTTTAAATTCCCTTGAAACTTTTGCTCGTGGAAACCACTTTAGTAAAAAACCTTTCACAGAAAAAAAGGCAACCTCTTGTGTATGAACCACAATTATTTTGGAAAAACCTTTTATAAACTTCTGTCAGTGATATCGTTGCATGCTCTTACGTCACTTAGGACGTCTGTCAAGTAATTAGAATTGTGTGACCCATGACTCTCGCTGTAAGCCGCCAATCTGTACTATCGTAGAGTTACTGACGTTGACAACAAGCAAGTTGGTGCATCGCCGTAAAGTGGTAGCTTCTCAGTCACAATTTTTTCAGTTAGGGCCTAGCTGCATTGGCAAAAACGATTCTTCCTTTTGACAATTTTTCTGTCATATCCGATACTTAACATGTGCGAATGATTTGTGGCGACAAACAGTTTGGCCAAAGGGGACAAACCTTCTAACGCACCACCGACAAAATCTGTTTTTGTTGTTGCTGTTGTTGTTGTTGTTGTTTTAGTGAGCAACAATGAACAACGAACTAAAATAATCTTCCACGCGTTTCGTTTGAGACGAAAGTATTCACAGGGCTTGCTAAGGTATTGAACATGAATGACATCACTCGTACGTTACATGTACGATTATAGGGAAACCACAAGCCCATGTAACTCTGAACCCTCGGCACCATGTCTAGTTTTGTCATCAGAACGTTTCCAAATTCTGCTCGTGTTCGATCCTGGCTTTACTTGGTTTTATACAAGGACTTTATCTTCTTTTTAATCATGGTTTCATGAAGAGAAGTTAACTCGTCTACATTCGAAAAAAGCAGCATTTAAAAGCGAGTGTCGACAAAGGCGAGCGTTCAACCAAAGGCAATAGGATCTCCGGATCCCGGTGGAACTGGTTACCGCGGAAAGGTCTCTCGCGAGATCTCTAACAACCTGATAGTTTGTGAGCTCAACGAAATACCTTTCCTGAATAATTCGACTGCTCGGCAGGATTTTCCTGAAAATTTTTTTTTGGGAAAACTAAGTTTAAGTGATTGACTTGGATTTGATCGAGAAAACAAAAAATCATTTTCGAACAAATTTGACTTGTGAAGGTTTGGAGAAACGTCGAGTTTTTTAATTAAGGCAGTCTTCTTCAAATGAAGACCCTGCTCAAACCTTGAGAAAATTCAGATGAGGCATTATTATGCAAAGTTCGCCTACCATACACTCTTGTAAGCTTCAAATTAAGTTTCAAATTACCTACAATCGATTTGTGTGACCCTACACGGGGTTAAAATGTCATAGGGAGCAATTCACAGTCACGAATCCCGTGTGTGAGTCATTTGAACGAAGGTCTGGTGGCAAAGCAGCCATTTTAACGACTCTAACGAAACTTTTTTCAGGGATTGTTGAAATTAAAACTGTCCATTCTTTTTGAATGGCAGAAGAACCTGGCTATAAATTGGTCTTCTGTACCTTTTGCCGTCTTATATTTCTTCTTTCATAGAAACGGGCTATATTTCGTAAAGACGGATAGTGTCAAGATGATCGTTCAACTGATTTCACACTGCTGCTGCAACTGCACATTTTTTTTTTCTCTGACGATTGTTTTTTTGTGTGTGTCTCCAGGATATTCTGCTTTCTTGAGATTCAGATGGGTCGTACTTTACTTCGTTCGAAGATAAAAGTGTAGGAATACTGAATGTAGGAATATTTTGTGATCCAACAAATTCTCTTTGGAAATACTGTTGGTCACTTCTTGAAATTCTGCCGCATTACAAACCATATTACAGTCAAATTTTAACTTAAACTTTGTCCCATGTCTCAGGAATTGGAGCCAACTCCTCCTGATACAGATGTATGAGCACTGTTGACAAGGAGGAAAAACTTTTTGTTTCTTTCCTCATTTTCTAAAATAAAATATACCAGAAGTTCATATCAAATTCTAAGGAATACTCCATCTTGAATTTTTTCTGTTGTCAGGCTCAGTGGTAGAACATCGGAGCGCGGAATTCAAAGGTTTACGGTTGGAATCCTCATCTAACAAAAAAAGTTGTGACAAGGAGAAAGATTTTTTTCATTTCACTCCATCTTGAATTTTTCTGTTGAGCTTGGGACAAAGTGTAGAGAAAAGTTTTTCTGAGTCCCCTTGAGAAAAGTTCTGAGTCCCCTTGAGGAATCGAGCCTCAGGCCTTCGTATTCCGCGCTCTGATATCTACCACTGAGCCGCAGAGACTCCACGGTGAGCCAGGTCTATTACGAAGTTCATATGACACGCGTCCTTCATACTGCTAAGATCAGCAATGTCGATAGCGTCATGTTTGTAAATAGAATAAGAGAGATGGTAAGTTTTGAGCTCGGTAAAGTAATAGAGAAAGATGTTGTTCGCTTTGTCACGAGCGCTATATGTCCCCTCATGGGTTGTAATCAGAAGCCCATTTCAAAGATTATACCGTTTGCGAATGGGCGCCACATTTTCGTGTAAAAATGTTTGGTTTTTTCGACTTTATCTCTAAGTAAATCCTCACCTCAAATACAGAAAAATAATAAACACAGGTCGGATGCTTGCGTGAAAAGGTGAAGGTGATGAGATTTCTTCTCTTTGAAAAACAAAAGTTTTTCTGCAAGGTATTCATTCAAAACTTTACACACAGTTACCAAATCGCTTTCGAGCGTCGTGAGTGTTGAAAGTGAAGATTGTCAGTGGCTTCTTGAAAATCTGAAACTAGCGACGCGATTTTCATTAAAGTGGAACTGATATATGGAACTAACAAAAATTTTAAAACCTGACCGTAGAGTCTTGAACAACGGACAAAAATTTGCTGGTAGCCAAACCAACAACCCCTTTGATCAGTCCAACTTATTTGTTAAGGCTTCTGCAGATAGTTTGTGATGCAAACGCTGCAATTCTAGCAAATTCACGACTTTGGTATCAGAGGATGGTGAGGATGGAACTGTTTTATTTGTTAACTCTCGTTCGCTACAAAACAGCACAGTTAAGCGCATGCATGCGCAGTAGAGTGCAGCATTTACAATAGCTGAAGAAAAAAGTGAATTACAATAATTATAAAGAAAGAATAGAATAGACTTTTATTTGTAATAGACTACTTTACACATAAAATTGTATCTTTAAATACTTATATATATATAGGTATATATACTCTTGTTGACACTAAAATGTTTAGGTAAAATTATGGCAGTCTTCGATTTTCTTCGATGTGGCACAGCTCCCGTTAAGCGCTTGCGCTCAAAACAGGTGAACGTTTTACTTGCTCTGGTATTGAGACTAAGAGAGTTCCACGAAGTTACAAATAGATGATAAAAAAAAAACGTTGCGCAATAGGAACAGTTAGGGAAAATCTACACAGCTCACTTACACAGGAGATCTAAATTTATTGCTGAGTCGATCCAAGTAGCACACAACACCTGTCACACAAGTAGAAACTCAGTTTTGAATCTGTGGGGCCCAGCCGTTCGATGAAAACTTTGGGCCGCAGATTCAGATGTTTTCATTTAAACGCATCCGCAACATCTTGTATCTTTGTCCTAAGTCATTTGTAATTTTTCTCTTCTGGTCAATTTATCCACAAGAAACTGTGTGAAAACCTTGATCAGAAATTAATTAGTAACTTAATTTAGAAATGTCAGAAGAGACGTGTTTGTAACGAGCAAACAAGAGGCCCAATTTTGTTCTTAGTTTAAACTTTCAAAGTTTTAATTGGTATCCTTTCATTTTGCATGCATCATCTCCCAATACATGATAAAAATGCCAATTCAATTTTTGAAATTCCTCTATCTTTTCTTAGTCTTTTTGTCCAAGTTTCACAGCACATAATTGTCTTTTGACGCCTCATGGAACAAAAAAGTTTTCTAGAGAAACTGGAAAACTGCATTTGCAAATGAGAAAGAAGAAGCTGATATTATCTGAGAAAAAAAATACAAGATGCATTTTGTAATGCTTGATGTTTGTAACTTTTGCGACATTTTGTCAATAGGAGACTGAAAAATACTTTTGACTCCGAAAGAATTTGAACATGTAACCTAATGGCACTTGTACAATACTTAAGCCTACTGAACTTTGAAGTTTAAAGCCATTGTTTTTATGAATTCTTTGCTATCCATAATCTTTATCAATTGGTTAAGTTATTTCATTTAATGTAATTTGCCGATTTTTTAACTGGCGAAAGTAGTACCAGAATGGTTGCATGAAATCGTCAAAATTCGACAGGTCCTTCTCCTAGTATGCAGCTGTTATAGTCTTGCAAAGTGGTCAGGTCAAAGTCTTATGAGTAAGTTCCTTTCAGTCTCATTACCAAAAGCCAGTTGGGCAACAATTAGATCAGATTGCGAAGCAGAAATATTTTACAAATACACTTTCGCTCTGGCGGAAAATCTTGTGACGAGATGAAGAGCGAGAAACTTAGAGAGCTTAAGAAAGAATGTGGTAGCAAAGGTCTCAGTTTTGATTCTTGGGCCAAAAGGTACGACAAAGCTCGTAAACTGTACGACAAGTTTAGCCCCTGCGTCGGTGGTGCCATTGAGGGAGAAACCAAAAAGGTTAAAAAATGCTCTCACTGCTTTAACTCCTGTGGAAAAGATCAGACTGAAGATGGCTCCTGCACAGTTCAAGATTTGAATAGGAGATCGGAACTAGAACTGGACGTTAAATCACCCTACACAGCGATGTAAGGCTTTTTTTTCCTTTTATATTAGTAGTTTTACAAAACTGGCTTCTCTTATTTTCTATCAGTTGGTGTTCTATCATAATGGTGACGCTTTGGGTTCCGTAAGCATCATGTAAATCATGGTATTAGTCACCAATCCTTTAGAGTTGGGGCCATCAGTGTTTAATTTTAAAGTGGCGATCTCTTTAAGAGCGGTCCGAGGCGTTTCGCATCGGAAAAATGTATTACCTCAAACTTTTCCGCATAAACTATCTTAGGAAGTAAGTAAATAAAACCCCATTAGTTTCTGGAAATACGTTTAAACAAAATTTTGAGAGGTCTCAATAATCAAGGCTGCAAAAGGTCCTTTTTTGACCTCTTGCGACATCGAAAATTTCAAAAGTTGACAAGCTCGCTGCTCGTAACACGCTACATACAGCAAGGAATCGTTTGTATTCCTATATTTTGTGATATATAAGGGGTTTGGAAAGCATTTCAATTTTGATATTCAGAGACTCAACATAATTTATTCAGAAACACCGGTCAGACAGCTTTCTGAAATAGGCCAAAAGTACTCTTTCTTTCCTGGGTGATATTTCTTACGTCCAGACCATTGAAAAATCCGGTTTATCTCTTCTAAGAAGATGTTCGAAAGCTCAGAAATGTAAAAACATCTTGCACTTATTAATTTCCTTCGCCAAAGTGACTTCAAACGTTTGGTCATAGCGTGACAGCAGAATATGCAAATTGGTCTGTTGATAAAACTCCAACCGTTTATAGTAGCTTCATAAATGTTAGACTTTAACCATTTTAAAAAGAATAGATAGGAGGGAAAAGCTTTTAAAACACAATGATTGATTCTCTAAACATTTTAAACGGCTAAATCCTGGCAAATGATTCTGTCTAGTGACGAAAAAGGCGAATAACACGTATCGAATATCATATTTATTCGCGCTCAGTCAACGTGATAATAAGAAACCCATTTTAAAAAAATTGGTTTCTATTCTTTAAACATGTATCAACATTTCAGAACCAAACTAGCATTACGACTAGAGGCAGTCCCTTCTTTGCGGGGAGGTCCGCGGCGCAGGTCGCAAAAAAGCTATGAGGAAAAAATTTATGTTAGTGCCTCAGTCCAAGAGCTCCCGGCTAAAATTATAAAATGATAATTTCGCCATGACCGGTTATTTCGTAAGATGATCATCTCACAGTTGGAGCTTGGGCCGCCTGTAGTCACGGTGAATCTGAATCTGTTATAATACTTAGATAACAATCCTTTAAAATAATAGCCTTGTTGCACATAGAACGTCAATTAAAGAGTCCAACATAAGAGCTCTTAACATTGAAATCCTTCTCGCGATGATTATACGCACTAGTATCACTCCCGACAGGTATTAGATTGGCCAAATTTACCGATCTTCTGTTCTTATTTAACGAACGACTGTTCACAAATGTTCTTCGGCGGACGATTGATGGAATATTCATAGTTCCGTTGGCTTCTTTCACCTTCGAAAGTTTACCAGCTCTTTTTTCACGATATTTCCAATTCCGAGGTCGATTCCGTACACACAAATCCAAAAGGGCACAAACGCACAAGATCGTAACAAAGTAAGCTGGGTTGTCTAAGATAAGCTAGCGTGTTAAAGAACAAAGGAACTTGGCGTGTTAAAAAAAAAATCTAGCGTGTTATCGAAACAAAGCCCTACCGTGTTAGCCAGATATAGACAACAATATTTTTATAAGCGAAAAACGTGTCATGCCATTAGCGTGCGGGCGTATCATAACGTGCCGTATGGAGAGTCACATAGACAAAACGACGAACAGGAGATACGGACGAAATGTTGCCATGTGTGACATCAGTATGGCTCAGTTTCGCTGAACAATCTGCTCGAGGCAGCGACAAATAATGTGCAAAACGCGGAGAAATAACGGGACCCGGGTTAAGTTCAACATCCATATAGATGGTGATGTCCGTAGTCAAAGGAAGATAGATACATGTTTAGCCATGTTTGCTCATGGAAAATAATGGACGCGTGGAATGGTTATCAGGTTTGAAAGATCCTCTTCCAAATCGAATAAGACTCCGAAAAACAGCTTGTCTATCAGCAACAGCATAAGATACAAAGCAGTGGCCATCAAAGGTTAAAATAGGTTAAATAGGTTAAAATAGGTTAAAATAGGTTAAAATAGGTTAAAATAGGTTAAAATAGGTTAAAATAGGTTAAAATAGGTTAAAATAGGTTAAAATAGGTTAAAATAGGTTAAAATAGGTTAAAATAGGTTAAAATAGGTTAAAATAGGTTAAAATAGGTTAAAATAGGTTAAAATAGGTTAAAATAGGTTAAAATAGGTTAAAATAGGTTAAAATAGGTTAAAATAGGTTAAAATAGGTTAAAATGGGTTAAAAAAGGTTAAAATAGGTTAAAATAGGTTAAAATAGGTTAAAATAGGTTAAAATAGGTTAAAATAGGTTAAAATGGGTTAAAATAGGTTAAAATGGGTTAAAATGGGTTAAAATAGGTTAAAATAGGTTAAAATGGGTTAAAATGGGTTAAAATGGGTTAAAATGGGTTAAAATGGGTTAAAATGGGTTAAAATGGGTTAAAATGGGTTAAAATAGGTTAAAATGGGTTAAAATGGGTTAAAATGGGTTAAAATAGGTTAAAATAGGTTAAAATAGGTTAAAATAGGTTAAAAACGTGGCAGCCGTGATGGCCCGCATGCATTAAATAACAACTAAGCGACATTGTTCAGTGAACCTTAACCGATCGAAGAAAAAACATAGTTCACTATTTCTTTACCGTGCTCCAAAATTTACCATCCCTCATCTCTCTTAGTCCATCTCGAGTATTTCCGTTGTTAGGCCTCTTAAGTAGGGCACATCTGACAAAAAAAAGTAGAGAAAGATGTTCTTCGTTCTGTCAAGAGCGTGGGAAAAAGGAAAAAATTCTGAGTTCCCATGAATAATCGAACCTCAGACCTTCGGATACCGTGCTCCGATGCTCTACCACTGAGTCAGAGACTTTACGGTGCAAAATCTATTACGAAGTTTATATAACACGCTTCCTTCATACTGCTAGGACCAGCAATGTCGATAGCGTCATTTTTGTAAATAGAATAAGGGAGATGGTAAGTTTTGAGCTCGGCAAAGAAATAGAGGAAAATGCTTTACGTCTTGTCACGAGTGTTACATGTCTACTCATGGTTGCGTCTGTGATGGCTAGGGACGATTTGATAAAAATGGCATGCTAAAATCAGTCTAAGATTTGGAGTCGATGCTAATAGAAGGAGTTGCTCTAATAAATTTAAAGCTGCTGAGATTTTTACTCTTTGAAAGAAAACAGTTTTTCTGCAAGGTACTCATTTAAAATTTTACACATAGTAACCGAATTACTTTCGAGCGTCGTGAGTGTTGAAAGTGACAATTGTCGGTGGCTTCTTGAAAATCTGGAAACTAACAACACGAATTTTACCAATGTGGAACTGATATATAGAACTTATAAAAAATTTAAAACCTGACATTAAAATCTTGAGCTGACAAAAATTTGCTGGTAGCCAAACAAACACAGCCGTTTTGATAAGTCCGACTTTATTTGTTAAGGCTTCTGTAGATAGTTTGGGATTCAAACGCCGAAATTCTAGCAATTTCACTTTTTCGGTATCAGAAAATGGAACTGTTTTATTTGTTAATACAACCATACAGTAGAGTGTTAATACAACAATACAGTAGAGTGCAGCATTTACAATAGCTGAAGAAAAAAGTTAACTACAATAATTAAGAAGAAAGAACAGAATAAACTTTTATATATTTTAAAATAGATTACGCATAAAATTTTATCTTTAAACGCCTATATATAAGTATATATATTGTTATTAACTCTAAAATGTTTAGGTAAAATTATGGCAGTCTTCGATGATTTTATTGGACGACATGACACAGCTCCAGTTTAGTGCTTGCGCTTAAAACAGGTGAACGTTTTGCTTGCTCTGGTATTGAGACTAAGAGAGTTTCATGTATTTAAAAATATATGATAAAACAAACTTTGCGTAATAGGAACGTCTAAGGAAAGTCTACACAGGTCACCGACACAGGTCACCTATACATGGATGGGTGAGTCGATCCAAGTAGTACACAACACCCGTTACATATGTAGAAACTTAGGTTAGGACGTATAGAGCCCAGATTTCCAATGAAAACTCAGATGTTTTCTTTTTAATGCACTCGCAACATCTTTTAACTTTGTCATTATTCATTTGGAATTTTTCTCTTCTGGTCAAAATATCCTCAAGAAACTATGTGAAATCCTTGATCAGAAAATAATCAGTGATTTAGCACCGAGAAATGTCAGAAGAAACGTGTTTGTAACGAGCGAACAAGTGGCCTTTTATATAATTTTGTTCTTTGTTTAATCGTTCAAAGTTTTAATTAATATCCTTTCTTTTCGCTTTTATCATTTCCCAAAGTGATAAAAAGTTCAATTTTAGAAATTCCGTTGTCTTTTCTTGGTCTTTTGTCCAAGTTCGCAGCACTTATAAATGATTAATGCGCCGCCGCAGTTTTCAGAGTTAACATTTTCTTGTTTTATATGCATCACTTCTCGATGTGATCACAAATTCTGTCTGGAATGTCATAATTTCAAGTGGCTACCAGCATTTTCATTCCACAAGTCTTATGATCCTTAAACTACTGGGGCATGACGTAAGTCTTAAAAGAAACGTGCAAGCACTCGCCTTTTAAACTGAAGAAGCAAATCACAAAGACTAGAGGACAGTGCTGGTGAAGATTCTCTTCCAAATATCTGGGCATCAAGAGTGGTAGGTGAATTACCAGTTCGTTTAAACCTCGTGTTGCCGCCTATCTGATTTCTGTCAATCATTAGTAGGCAAACACAAGTATAAAAGAAGACAATTGTCTTTTGGCGCCTCATGAAATAAAAAAAAAGTTTTCTAGAGAAGCTGGAAAACTGTACTTGCAAATGACAAAGAAGAAACAAAGAGTATCTGATAAAATAAGTTACAAGATGCTTCCCGTAATGCTCGATGTTTATAACTTTTGCGAAATTTTGTCAATAGGAGACTGAAAAAAACCTGACTCCAAAGGAATTTATAGGATTTGAACATGTAACTTAATGACACTTGTACAATACTCAAGCCTACTGAACTTTGACGTTTGAAGCCATTGTCGTTTACGAATTCTTTGCCATCCATCAAGTGCTTAAGTTAATTCATTTAATCGTATTTGCCGATCTTTTTACTAGCGTAAATAGCAGCAGAATGGTTGAAATCGTCACAATAGGAAACGTTCTCCTCCTGGGTATACAGCTGTTGTTGTCTTGCAACGTGGTCAGCTCAAAGGATTATGAGTAAGTTCCTTTCAGTCTCATTACCAAAAGCTAGTTGGGCAACAATTAGATCAGATTACGAAGTAGAGATATGTTAGAACTGCATATAAAGGAAACAACAAAATTTGTTTAAATTGATCCATTTTAAAGTATCTTGAGAGTGCAGAAAACAGATGTAACAGAAGATTAATACTTATTAGCATATAAGGGGATCGTAAGTAGTGTTATACTGTGGAGATCGCTTTCATATTCACGTCTTAATCCTTAGCTCACATAAATGGTTTCCAATATTCACAGTCATCCATTCATCACTTCAAGGGTTTATGGCAAATCAACATAATGATCAGTTCCCACTTGGCTTGTTTGCTCAGTTGGTAGAGCACTGCACCGGTTTCGTCGAGGTAATGGTTCAATTCCCGTACAGGCCTGAATTTATTTCAGGCCTTATTTTCACTACTGCTTCAGTTTCATTACTGCGAAGATCGCTTTTATATTCCTTTCTTAATTAGCGGTTCACATATATGATCTTTAAATATTCACAGACATGTAAATCGTTAAGTTGTCTTTGGACAATTTTATTCGTTCTCTCTTCCAGAGTAGGGTTTTGATGGAATGATTGTAATTCCAGGTGCTTTGAGGGAAATTGTGCCATGACAGGCTCTTGCCGGTCGCGTTCCGGAGCTAGTTTTAGCCGCTTCTGCTGGATAGCATCCAACTCGTGGGGGCATAAGCTAAAGTGTGGAACTAGAAGTGATTGCAGAAGCGCTGCTCTTTCTTGGGGAAATTGTGTCTTCGCCTCATGTGCTTTTGATCGCGGTAGTGGAAGATCCTGTGACCGGACGAACAGGGAGAAACTTGGAGAGCTGAAGAAAGAATGTGGTAGCGAAGGTTTCAGTTTTGATTCTTGGGCCAACAGGTACGAGAAAGCTCGTAAACTGTACGACAAGTTTAGCCCCTGCGTCGGTGATGCCATTGAGGATGAAACCAAAAAGGTTATAAAATACTGTCACTGCTTCAACTCCTGTGGAAAAGATCAGACTGAAGATGGCACCTGCACAGTTCAAGGTTTGGATAGGAGATTGGATATGGAGTTGGACGTCAAATCACCCTACACAGCGTAGTAAGTTTTTTATTTTCTCTTTTTTATCATTAGCTTAACAAAACTGCATTCTCTAATTTTCCATCAGTAGCTGTTCCATCGTTTAGGTGACGTTTTGGGTTCCGTAAGCATCATGTAAATCATTACATTAGTCACCAATCCCTTGGAGGTGGGGCCATAAACATTTAGCTTTTGATCATTGAACTCCTCTTTCTTCTTTTTCCTAAAATAAAGATGCGCCATAGATTGTGAACCGGAAGAAAAGGTATGCTAATTGTCTGTCTTCTTTACTCAGAGGTAAAAATGATCCTGATGATCAACCAGAGAGAGAAGTTTCTTTATACTTCTCCTTAAAATCAATCATCTGTGCCTTTCTCAATTTGCAAGATTCTACGCCTAGTTGGTTTGCCCCTGGCTAGCATTAGGCTCACCATTCAACATGTTGTTGGTTAAAGCGTACTTGGCAGCACTGGCTCGTTTATCCGCGCTCAATTCAAATAATTTATAACAAATAATCAAAATCAAACATAACAACTTCAAGTAATTTTTTCCTGACAGGACTGGAGTAAGACAATTTGTCTCGGTATTTACAAGCATGATAGAAAAACCTTCAAACTATCGGGAGGGAAATCTGGCCAATACTCAAAGCGGTTCTGCGAGTCTGCTGAAATCACCCCTCTCCCGCACGGTTTTCTTTGAAGAAAAACCAAACGTTAAGAAATGTGCACAAAGCGTTACAAATTGATAGGAGTCCTTTTTCTGATCCTCCCTTGCCTCACTCAGTTTGTCTTGTAATCTTTGGGCATGGTAGTCATGGGAGCAAAAATAAATAGCAAGGCAAAGGAAGAGCACCAAAGAATATGCAATAAAAATGCGAATGAACGTATAACCATGTTTTTCCACAGCTTGTCTTCTTGCAGAAAGTGATAAACAGGCATCCCAAAGAAAAAGCTACTAAAAAGGTCATCATAACTAAGGGAATGTCTTCTTCCAAGTCTACGTCCAGTGGTGGAAGTTCAAGTGCAACTGTGTCAGGGGAAGTTGGATTTAACGTGATGAAACTTTTTGACGTAAAGATCGGCGCGTCAGGAACATTAGAGCATAACTGGAGTTTGTCTACTACTAGGACGGAATTTCAGCAAGTGACCAGTGAAATATCCATCGGTGTTAAGCCAGGAGACGAAGTATCAGTGTTTCAGGTTGTTGGCGAGTGTAAAAACAGTGATGGCACTGTTTACACCGTGAAAACACCCACTTATGTTATCAGAGGCAAAGATGGCTCATCCGAAACCAAGGAGGCAGATTTCTCTGAGGCCGAAAAAAGGTTGTCGTAAAGAAGATTTGACATTCTATGTCTTATCATCAAACAACTGAGTTTCAATCAAATAAAAGCATCTTATAATGCAAATTTTATCATTTTCGTTTATATATTTCCTTCTCTTCAGTTCGCTATGTAAGGAAAAATGCGTTTCTCGGCGCTCATGGCAAATACTATTGCTAATACCACGTGCTTGAAAATAGTTCTGACTTATTTAACTTTTGCTTTGCCCATACCACGCAGTATAAATCGCATTTTACATGAGCATTTAGTGTAATAAAGGACTATAAAGCAGGTTCGGTAATATTCAGACGAAAGGAACTTTGTATCAACCCTTTGGTGGCACTTGTCACCTTCTAGGCAAGGAGAAAACAACTTTAGAAAGTATAAAATAAGGTTTGAATTTGGCTAACTGTGCGATAAAATACATCTCTAGAACTTATATTTTTGAAAAAAATCCCTTTTTATTCACGCGATTTCTTTATTATATGGAAATAACTTATTGCCTCCATTGCTTCTAAATCTTTTTGTACCAGCGCCGGAATAGCCAAATTCACAACCATGGTACCAGAACAGCCAGTAATTATCGAACGCATTTGTGCTGTACAAATCTCAAGCAATTTACAATTCTCTACCAAGGTCCTAAAATTTGGAACTCTCTTCCTGTTTCAGTCACTCGTTCGTGAAACCTTCTTAGCTTTAAGACGAAAATCCAAGAGTTTTTACTTAAGTAATCACTGAATTGGCTTAGCGCACATTCGCAGCACTTTTTCTTTACTTTATTAATTAATATAAAAGAGGCGGCCTCACATAAGCCCGGTGGCTTCCTAGGTTCTCTCGCCTTCTAGCTATAAGGACGTCTGTCAAGAAGTTAGAGTTGTGTGAACAATGACTCATGCTGTGAACTGCCAGCTTGTAGTATCCGTAGAGTTCTTGACATTCACAACAGGCAAGTTGGTGCATTGCGGTAAAGTGGTAGCTTCCCGGTCACGTTTTCTTCAGTAAGGGCCTAACTGCACTGGCAAAAACGATTGTTCCTTTTGACATATTTTCTGTCATCACCGATTCTTAACGTGTGCGAATGATTTGTCGCGACAAACATTTTGGCCGAAGATGACAAACCTACAAAATCGACAAAATCTGTTGTTGTTGGTTTTTTTTTAATGAAAAACTAACGAGCGGCAATAAACAACGAACTAAATAATCTTCCACGCGTTTCGTTTGAGGCTAAGGTGTTGAAAATGAATGACATCACTCGTTCGTTACACACAATTATGGGCAAATCACAAACTTTTGACCCTCGGCTCGATATCTACTTTTATCATCAGAACATTTACAAATTTTGCGCTTCTTTGATGCGGGCTTTACTTGGTTCTATTTCAGGACTTTTTCTTCTTTCTAAGCATGGTTTCATGACGAGAGGTTAATTCGTCTACATTCGAAAAAAAGCAGCATCAAAAGGCGAGTGTCGACAAAGGCGAGCGTTCAACTAAAGGCAATAGGATCTCCGGATCCCGGGGGATCTGATGACCGCGAAAAGGTCGCTTGGGAGATTTCTGACAACCTGATAGTTTGTGAGCTTAACGAAATACCTTTTCTAAAAACCTCGACTGCTCGGCAGGATTCTGCTGAATTCGTTTTTGGGGGAAATCTAAGTTTAAGTAATTGACTTGTGAAGGTTTGGAGAAACCTTGAGTTTGAAATTTAGGCAGTCTTCTTCAAATGTAGGCCCTGTTACATTTATTCAATTTTTTTAAATTCCGTTGTCAAACCTGGAGAAAATTCGGATGATGCATTATTATGCAAAGTTCGCCTCACATTCACACTTGCTTTTGTAAGCTTCAAATTAAGCTTCAAACTACTTACAATTGATTTGGGTGACCCTACATGGGTTTAAAGTGTCATAGGGAGCAATTCAAAGTCATCAATCCTGCGTGAGTCAATTAAACGAAGGATAGGTGGCAAGGCGGCCATTTTAACGGCTCTAACGAAACTTTTATCAGGGATTGGTGACGTCAAAGTGGTCAGCTCAAAGTCTTGTGAGTAAGTTCTTTTCAGTCTCATTTTCAAAAGTCAGTTGGGAAACAATTAGATCACATTGCGAAGTAGAAACATGTTAGAAGTGCTTTATAAAGCACACATTAAAATCTGTGGAGATTGATCAATTTCGAAGTACTTCGAGAGAGCAGAAAACAGAACAGAAGATTAAGACTCATCAGGGTTTATTGCGAACCAACATAATGACCAGCTCCCACTTGGCTTATTAGCTCAGTTGGTAGGGCACTGCACCGGTTTCAAATGGGTTCAAATCCCGTACAGGCCTGAACTTATTTCAGGCCTTATTTTCACTACTGCTTCAGTAGTGTTCATAAATCTGAAGATCGCTTATATTCCTTTCTTAATCAGCGGTTCACATATATGATCTATATTTATTTCTTTCTCAGAGGGCACGTCAATCTTGCAATCTGATTGGTTCTTAACGCGGTCCGTGTTTTTCCTATCTCTGCCCACGGGCAACAGTAACAGTCTAGTGAGTCGCCGAGTACATCCCTACCGTTGCTATTTTTCATAAACATACCTCATTTTTCCGGCTGGGCAGTATTTTTACGCAAAGAAAGTCGGTCACCACCTCAAGGCGATAAATAACTTATTAATCCTTTTTTTTTCCAACAGGTACGAGAAAGCTCGCAAACTGTACGACAAGTTTAGCCCCGGTGTCGGTGATACCATTGAGGACCAAACCAAAAAGGTGATAAAATACTGTCACTGCTTGGACTCCTGTGGAAAAGATCAGACTGAAGATGGCTCCTGCACAGTCCAAGGTTTGGATAGGAGATTGGATACGGAGTTGGACGTCAAATCACCTTACACAGCGGTGTAAGTTTTTTATTTTAACAAAACTGCACTCTCTGAATTTTCCATCAGTAGCTGTTCCATTATTCTGGTGACGTTTTACAATTGGGTTCCGTAAGCATCATGTAGATCATTGGATTAGTCACCAATCCCTAAGCGTTAGGGCCATAAACATTTATCTTTTAATCAGTTAACTCCTCTTTATTTTTTTCCTAAATAAAGGTGCGCCATAGATTGTAAACCGAAAGAAAAGGTATGCTGATGATCTGTCTTCTTTGCTCAGAGGCAAAGATGATCCTCGAAAAAGCAGATAAACAACCAGAAAGAGCATTTTCTTCATACTTCTCCGTAAAATCAACTACTTGTTTCTTTCTCAATTTGCCTGATTCTACGCCTGGTTGGTTTGCCCCTGGCTAGTCATTAGTTTGATTTTCTCTGTACAACATATCTACCAAAACCTTACCATGTTGTTTGTTGAAGTGCACTTGGCTGCACTGGCTCGTTTATCCTCGCTCAATTCAAATAACACATAACAAATGATCAAAATTAAAAGTAACAAGATCAATTATTTTATCTCTGACAGGACTAGAGTCAGACAATTTCACTCAGTATTTACAAAAACATTCAAACTCGGAACTATCGATAGAGAAATCTGGCCGATACCCAAAGCGGTTCGGCGAGTCTGCTGCGATCACCACTCCCCTACATGGTCTTCTTTGAAGATAAAAATAAGCGTTAAGAAAACTTGCACAAAAAGTTACAAATAAATGGGATTTTGTCTTCTTTAAGATCCTTCTTTGTGTCATTTAGTTTACCTTGTGATTTTGGGCAAGGTAGGCATGGGAGCAAAACTAAATAGCAAGGAAAAGGAGAAGCAACAAAGGTTATGTAATAAAAATGCAAATTTATATATAACATCTTCTTTTCACAGCTTGTCTTCTTGCAAAAAGTAATAAACAAGCATCGCACTGAAAAAGCTACCAAAACGATCACCATAACTAAAAGAATGTCTTCTTCCAAGTCTACGTCCAGTGGTGGAAGTACAAGTGTATCTGTATCAGGGGAAGTCGGATTAAGTGTGATGAAACTTTTTGAGGCAATGATCGGTGCATCAGGAACATTTGAGCATAACTGGAGTTTGTCTACTACTGGGACGGAATATCAGGAAGTGACCAGTAAAAAATATCCATCGGTGTTAAGCCAGGAAGCGAAGTATCAGTGTCTCAGGTTGTTGGCGAGTGTAAAAACAGTGATGATACTGTTTACACAGTGAAAACACCCACTTATGTTATCAGAGGCAAAGATGGCTCATCCGAAACCAAGGAGGCAGATTTCTCTGAGGCCGAAAAAAGGTTGTCGTAGAGAAGATTTAAGACATTCGGTTCTATGCCTTGTCATCAAATAATTGTGTTTCAACCAGATGAAATCATCTTATGATGCAAATTTTATAATTTTCGTTTACATATTTACTTACTGGTGTCTTTGAAAAAATCTCTTTTTAGTCACACGATTTCTTTATAAATATTTCCTTAACGGTTTCTTTCAAGTACAGTCTCATATTTTCAAGCAAAATGAACAATGCACAAACTGCACAAATGTTCCAAATTCCCCAGAAACGTTTGCTTGTGGAAGACAAAGTTTTTAGTTAAAACCTTACATAGACAAAAAGGCAACCTCTTGTTTATGAACCACGATCATTTGTGAAAACCTTTTATAAACTTTTGTCAGTGATATTATCCCATGCTCTCACGTCATTGAGGAAGTCTGTCAAGTAGTTAGAATTGTGTGACCCATGACTTTGCTACCTAGAGACGGAAATAGAAGAACTAAAAGAGCTGCTTGTTGGTGTTTAAGATCCACACGTGTTATTAGCGTTGTGATATAATAAACAGACTGAATTGTTTTAATTATTATCTTTCGGCCTCGAATGACGTCTTTACACCATTACGCAAGAGAATTTGGGATAAAGTTAGCAGGCGGGCGTAAAGAGAAGAAAGATCAAGAAAGGATTATAGGTCTTTGTCTGTTTTTAAGTCCCCATTGTTTTGGTTTGGCCAAATGGGCTGCCATTGTATGGGGTGATATTGGCACGTAGCACCTAATTGATTGCAACACAACTGAAGCACATCTTTGGAAAAAAAAAAAGTAAACAAAAAAAGATCTTAGTATTTGAAACTGCGCAGCCGTACTTTGAACTATTATTGTTAACTTCCTTCGCTAAATAGGCAGTTTATTTAGTTAGAGTTGCATAATAACCTAGTCTCAGTTAAATAACAATCACAAAACTATTACAGAAAACTCATCTCGTTCACGAACAAGGTAAAGACACTAATCTGTCTGACATGAGTGAATTGATTCAACATGATCTTCACATTTGGGCGAGGAAGACGCCTGCTAAATGGAAAACGAAGTCAAGGAGGGCATCCTTGCAATGCAATCATTATACAGATAGAATCGAACAGCAAAGACCACACACAACAGGTGCCTTGCTGGGCCAGATTTGGAAAGTGGATGGAGCCCCTGTTCTTCCCTCTTGGACAGCCACCGTCCCATTTTCGCCGTCTTCGTTCTGCCACTTTCCCAGTTCGTCAACATGCTACCACTGCTTATTTGACAAAACGAACGGACGAGAGTTCTGCGAAATTATGGGACGCGGATACTGTACAACGTGTATCAAAACAAACAGACGCAAAGAGAATGACGGAGAAGTGATTAACGCCCTTGGTACTTCAGTAACTGAGAGATTTGCATCTTTATTTGGAGACACCATCCTTCGAATCAAGCGAAGTCCTACTTTGGCCTCCTCAACCGGTAGAGAGTTATTTAACCGTCTGAATAACTTTAACTCTAATTCAGAATATTATGTCAATCCTACTAATGGTATTCGATCAGAAACGTTGCAAGTTATGTCTGATGACAGAGATTATGAAAGGCAATTACCTGGCCAAAGTAAATCTAGTGTTCTCCAAGTAACTGGATCTGAAAGCCCAAACTATGCAAGTTCGCAGGGAGTTCTAGGAACGGTAAGCAAGAAACGGAGGAGGAAAGGTGTGAGCGGCAAGACCAGGCGACAATTTAGAACATTCAATGGATTGCCTATCGAGCCACCTTTGATAACTGTTGACTTATCAAACCAGATAATGAATCACCTTGTTATCAACGATTCTTAGCCCTTCGCCCCCTCTTAGAGTGACAAAAATGGAGTTTCTCTTTCCCTGCCATGTCGTGAATGATATTGCCAAAAGGTCTGGATAGTAGCACATACGTAACGAACTTAAGAAGCATTCTGTTCACACTTTACACAGAAAGATGACAGAAGAACTGCCGAAACTGACATGTTTTTTACTTTTAAAAGTGTCGTTATTTTCTTAAGTTTCTCTTTACATATCAATACATTTTTAAGCAGATGGCTAATTATGGGAGGGAAACCCCTAAAGTAAGTGTTATTGCTTGATTCAACGCGAAATTCTTGGAGATAAAATTGGAAGACAAGTCAGGAGACAGTGGACAATCTTGGGAGTGAAAATGTTGCGCTCTTAAACTTAATGAATTACATCCATTTCTTTTGTTTGTGATTCCATTTACTGATTTGGTTGAAGATGAAGAAGACTGCAAACGACCCATTTTCATCTAAAAGTTTCGGAGACGTACAAACTCTCAGGCAACTGCTGGACATATTATCGAGTTGTAACCAGGCACGTAAAGCCTAATTGTAGTTACAGGTTTGTTATGTTGATGTTTCGCTCTTGCCTTTGTTGCTTTCAGCTGAGATTTCCTCGTTTATGATGTCGCAATGTTACTCTGAGAGATCGTGTAGGATCCAGAATTTTATTACATGATTAGTTGTGGAACCATTTGAGCCAGAAGGGTCTCACTGATTTCCACAGTCGTAGGTTTATCTACAATTCATTGAAAATGTTTGTGTGAAGACTGATTTTAAATTAAAAAGGATGCCGGAATTTTTTTATAACTGAAGATTTTTCGAACATTGAAACACTTTTTATCGATATAGAGACTTATTTTCGCCACGAAATTTCATTTCCGCTGGTTCTCTTCAAAGAACAAAGAGCAAACGCGATTAGTGAGTCAAAACGTGAATGAAATTATAAACACGTTAACACAGTTTCAAAGCCTCACATCAATTAGATTATTAACTTTGTTATAAAAAGAAACCAGACAGTACACTTTAAAAAAGTGGGACTTAAAGACTGGAGGAAAAGTAAATTAAAAAAATTCCAGCCCTAATGGCTTCTAAAGGACGCCTGATGCGAGAAATCTGCTTCGGTTCCAAGATGGCGGGAGAAGAATCGGCGGGAGGGCATGAGCTTTTCAAAGATAATCATACAGGAACTACTTACCACGTTTCTCGGGAAAAAAACCAAGTTTTGTTAGCAGTTCCTTGGCTTCTTCCTTAAAAAAAAAACCAAAATGAGTTTAAAAAAAACATGTTTTATTCTTAATCGACGTAATAGAGTTGTGCAGTTCAGCTTGGCGATCACTTCGACGTGGAAAGTTCAAAACAAAGTGATGTGATAATGATTGAGTATTGAGGACAAGGTAAATAACCGACACACTTTGTTTCATAGTAACAGAGTTAAGAAATCGAATGAGATGAAGTCAAGTTCTCCTATATTTAGATTGAATAAACAAGTCAAAAAAATAAACTGTTTTCGTCTCCCTTTCACCTTTCACTTTTGAATGAAAACGTTTAAAGGAGGGGGGAGGGGCATATTCATGAATCCCCTCTTAGCCACTCTTTTGAAACCTGCCCTATTTAGTCATGCAAAATTCTCACCAAATACCTTGAAATTTGGAAAAAAATCTGTGCTATATGCAACGTTCTCCAACATTGATCCGTAATATATAACAGACAACTTGTAGAACCGACTGTCTACACCTAATCTAAGATGAAATATACTTAGAACCCCATACTTTATTGTTAGCCGTCGTCTCAATCAACTGTGTATCCTATCGGCTTCATTGAGCTAAAAATATTGCCTTAAAGATGAGGTTGCAATTCATTTATCAATTCATTTTCTTATGTGTGTAATCGTACATGACGAGAAGGCGATGTTGGAGGCCGACGGCGATGTTGGAGGCCGACGCCGACGTTTAACTCACAGAGCGTTAACGGTTAGACGTATCGCAAGCTTATTTCCGGCCTTTTTTCCCTTTCTCTGCTTGTTTTATTGTTGTTATTGTTGTTGTTTTTGTCGTTGTCGTTGTTGTTTTACGGCAGAAATGTACAATCAAGGAAGAAATCTTTCGAGAAAATTTTTTCTCAGGCCTAGGCAGACGATAGCTTCAGTGTTCAAAATATTAACTCTTGGCATTAAAAACAATATTTCTCTTATTCCTTGACAATTTCACTGTATCTTTTTTGACAAAAATTGTTTTCGACGTAAAATAACACAGAAAGAAACAATGAAAGAGGGAAAGCGTATGGGAGAGTAGGATATATGAACCTAAATTTAAACTCTATTGATTTTTCTTTGTTGAATAAACAACTTTGTCCGTGACTGTTGGCATTTTTCTTTCTTCATATATATTTACCCCTAAGAAATAAAACGTTAGCGAGAGAGACTCATATTATCTATTTTTAAAGCGATTGAAAGTTCTACATCAAGATCTTTCCACGCTCTTTAAAAAAGACAATAACGTGTTCATGGGGATGATGTTTAAAGACAAACTTAAGTCGATATGTTTAAGCGCTTTTATACGATACTTTTGGTTAGCTATGGACCGAGACCTCTGAGAAATGCGCATGAGCTATGTCCTTTGAAGCAAGTGGCTAATTATTCATCTAAAACCGGAAAAACTGATCAATATATCTGTATTAAACGTACAACCATTAATCCTTTAACCCCTAAGAGTGACTAACATCTAATATCTCCCCACAACATCAACCCCGAATCAAACATTAAGGTCATGAGAATATTAATAAAGGAAATGATCACCAACTAAAGAAGCTCTTGATTGTTGAACAAATTCTCCTTGTCAGAACCTTCGAAATGTCTAGGGAGTGGTATGGAGAATATGCATACTGATGTTGGGGAGTAAATAATTAACACTGAAATATACATTTAACACTTAAACTCCCATGAGTGACCAAGACAGAATTTCTCCTTACAGTATCAACACGATATTAAACAGACAAGTGATGAGAATGAAGAAAATATCAATTGAGGGAATGTTAGTTGATTCAATACCAAAATCTCTGAAGTAACTTCATGAGAGTTGTATAGCAGAGAGTAAGGAGAATTACTAATGAGATCTTGGTAGTAAAAGGATTGAGGTGTTTATTGAGAACTTCAGAATCACTTTGATGTCAGATCTTACTGTATCATTTATCTTCATATTGAGTTCTAAGGTCAGGTGATGCGATATTCTCGTTTGCGGCTTGGGGAAATATTTTTCTGTGTTATATTGAGTAAAAATTACATAATCAAAGTTAACTGCTGTGAAACTTCTGAGTATTTGGTGTTAAATCAAACAATATCTCCTATTTGACATTTTGGGAAGGTGAAAGGACTATAATCTGAGGTACAACGAAGGTGACATTTCAAGGTTTATCTTGCTATTAGCCAAGATAGACGAAGGGCGTTCATATTGGCGCGTTTTGAGGGCATACATTCCAAAAGTGCTATCTTTAAGTTTTTTGCGTCACTGGAGTCAGATATATTTCCCTTCAATATTTCATCGTACACGTTTACGATATTTACGTAAATCTTATCTAGTTTTAGGCATAATTTAATGACATCATTCGTGTTGCGTGATCTTGCCGGCGGAAGATGCAAATAATCAGAGTAAAGAGGGCAATTCGACGCTGTTGAGGACTTCTGGTTAGTCGTCAGAATATCACTAAGTCACTGACTCTTGTGCCAGTGGTTTTCAGGACTACTTTCACCTGGACGATCGATGGATGTTGTTTTAAATTACATATGATATAGGCTTGTAGAGCAGGCCCGACTCTCCCGTTCAGCCTTATATCTGACTTTTTAAAATGCCCGTGGCATTTACTTTTTTCCCTAATTACTTCCTGTGGATAGAGACACAGTTTCGCTGAATCACACGAGAACTAAGAATGTAGGCGCTCTATTTTTTTTCTGTGTTTTGGAATGCGCAATGTAGGAATGGAGCACTCAGATCTCATTTTATATTGCTACTGAATTGTGATAAAGAGGAGGTCATTTTACATCAAACTTAATTAAGACGCTTTATTTGGAATTGTACCGACCAGGAAACAAAACATTTTCTGGGTTGCAACGGCTTAATTTCCACAAGTCAGAGTGACCCTTTTTAACAATTAGATTATGAGCTCGGGATTCCTATTGCGTGACGGTTGATAAGGGCGAAGCCCGAATTAAATATCACTAGATAAAACGAAAGAAAAGTATTTAATCATTTTGGTATAAATTTTCTGCATGGTCATTCAAATCTTAAAACAAGATAGGCTCAGGATTTTGATTTATTGTATTTACAAATACACTCTGTTACGTTGCTAACTCAGCTCGCCACCTATCAATGAATATCGCAGGATTAATATTGAGTAGCGTAGCCACTAAGGTTGTAGCAATTCTGATAAAACATTGGTAGAGCTATACATGGACTTTTGGCTTAAACAAAATGTTCATTTGATCAGCGTTTCGTTTATTCACAATGAATATTTAAGGTAGAGAACAAGGGTCTTTACGATATCAAAAATACATTTTAACACCCACTTTTTGAGGATGAGTTGCTAATATATTTCTTATACGGAATATTTTCTTCACATCGATAAATAAAATATTTATGAGTATGAATTGAACTTACTATCGGTGGTCAATATTATGTTCGAAACTGTAGTCAAATTTCACAGGTTTCGCAATCTCGCGTTTTGATCAGATTTCTCTCGGTCGTGAAGTCTTAAATGAAAAATTTTTCCCATAACTAGGGAACCAGTTTATGACAAGGGAGATTTGAAAGGAAGATAATTGTCAGGGTAAATTCACGTCACATGTTTTATTCACAGGTGACATTCCTTATGAATGTACCAAGCAAACCATTTGTAAAGTAAACGCTTCGGATCAACTTCAAGATTTTTTTCCTTTTTTTAATGGAGAGATTTTTGAAGGTGACGACAGTTAGCCATCAAAATGATAAAATGCACCTTTACTGAAAGTTAAATTAGTTCAAGTTTCTTTACTTTTATTTTTAATCTCGATGGCATCGTATTTTTCGCTTACTTCTGACGTCACATCCCCAATATTGATCAAAGAGGGTTTTTTGGAACTCTCACCAAGTTCATTCAATTTTCTATTTTAACATGCCTCTAGTCATCATATATTGCACTTTCAGTTCTTCAGATATATTTTTTACGAGGCCGAGAAAAAAAGTATTTTGCATATCAAAAAAAAAGAGCTTTTCTTGTGCAGCAAACTGACATAACTGTATATCTTATTGCGGAGAGCTGCTAGTTTATCATGGTTGATAAATACGGTACATAACACTTAAATATAACGAGAAAGAAAAGAACTTTCTGTCTTGTCTTGCACGATAAGTGAAATATCAAAATATGGTTTTTAGCTCCAATAGCTATAACAGTTGGCCGGGGATTTGGTGAGCATTATAGTGTTTTGATTCCGTTCATCAAAATGTTTTTTTTAAAGTTTTTAAAACTGGCAAACTCTTCAGATGAGCAACCAAGTTCGATGGGCCAGAAAAAGTGTCAAATGCTTCTTAATCCCAGTCTTGTATTACCGAAGAATATGAAAAATTAATCAAAATGCCTTGAATTGCGAGTATCAGCAGTGATTGACAATGTTCACATATTGTCTAAGAACCAAAAATCAATATACAACACAGCTTGATGCAATAGTACAGAAAAAGAAATCACGAGAGTCTCCGTATGAAATCCCTTCAATTTCAAAATTGAATGTTTTTATCTTTTCTCCTTAGTGGATAAATCGTGCCCGTGTTGAAAAACGCGCATACAAAAGCCTTCAATACTATACAGTCTAAGCTAGGCGTATACACACATGTGACTGTACGAAGTCCGCTCACTCCTCAGGACACCCTTTTGAATAGCCGATGAGATATGCTAGACCAATTCCGCGGTTCCTAAAAAATGCGCAGCGACTTCAAGCCTCGTGAAGTATCAGCAAACGGAAGCCGTCCCTCGTACTGTCACCCAAAGTAAAGATGAAACCAGGCACAGTCACCTTTCCACTATCCTTTGATGTAATCAACACCAACTACACTGGACATGTATGTTCAACGTCTATGCTACTGCACGGACAATGTAAGTGCTATTTCAATTAAAACAGCTTTGAGAAAGGACAAAGCGGAGGATCAATAGTCACTATTGAAAATTATTGAAAATCCCAGGAGTAGACGCGACAAGTCTCTTAAAAGAATGGATAGAAAAAAGGTCATATGAATAATTATTCAGATTAAGAAAATTACGTGAGGGCCACTGAAGACTTTCAAGTGCATCAATATTTGTCTACAATCTTAATGCTATCTTATATACTCATGATTTCCTTCATTATTTATCAAGTATTTGACAGACCTGTTTCTCCAAACGCCTTCGAGACCTTCAGCTAAGCAATACAACGTGAAGCGATGTCTTCGTCGATGAACGCGATCACCATTGGAAGTCTGATAAAGAAAGACCTGACAGAGGCCTATTTTCTTCCACAGAAGCCGTCCTCTTATATAGAAGAATACAAATTCTTCAACTCGACCAAATACCGAATTTTCGATTATCCAACGTCTTCAGCAACATTTCGCCGGCTTGTATCACCATGTTACCACCTTGCTGCTGCTGGCGATGAAATTCCGGTCTTGATGGAGCGCGGACCAGAATTATTCTTAAAGCAGCACTGGAAGCTATGGCTCCCTGCTTATCCTACTGTGATTGTAAAATCCCCGGAAGAAGGATTACATGATGACGTTCCTATCGTGACAAGAGCGGCGCTGGAAGCCATCCCTGAAGACAAGCACTTTATACATCCAGATATTCTGTACGAACTTCAACTGAAGAGTTCTCTACTGGATGTCAAGGCACCCACTCCGAGACACATGGATGAAAACCATCTAACCTATCCTTGCTTGCTGAAAATTGACATGAGCAGCGGTGGACGGGGAAATAGGCTTGTAAAGAACCAAATTGAACTGGCTGCTACTTTAAGGAACATTAGAGAAGACTGTGGTTGGCACGGAGACGTATTGTACCAAGAGGTCATCCCACGGATCAAAGAAGTGCCCAGCTTTCAGTTTTACCTGCACAAATCAGGCGAATTATACTGGTTGGGGACCACAATAGGTGGATTCGAAGGCTTTGGCTGGACAGGAGCCGTAGTGGACTGGGACAAACACGAAGAATATGAGAAGCTAGTCTACGAAGAGTTTACCGTTCCGATTAAGAACTACCTCCAAAAGCATGGCTACTTTGGCCTAGTCACGTTTGAAGTTATCATCACTGATCAGGGAAAGTACTTGGTCGATTTAAACCCAAGAATCGGTAGCGACACGACTCATTTACTGCTAGCTAAGTACATGGCCTTAGATTTCGATCTAAAGCACTCGGCAATTTTTTCGTACAACAAGCACGAGCTGTCACCCAAAGAGGTCATTGCGAGAGCAAACGCGATCAACAATAAAGGGAAGGGCCTCGTCGTAGTTTTGAGTGCAGCTGACGACGAAAAAGGATGCGAGTCACACTTCTCAATTTTTGCAAACACGCCAGACGAAGTTCGCAATCTTTACTACCAATTCAACAACAACGAAGCAATGGTATGAGGCCTTTAATCTGCTCCGTAAATGCTCTCTTACAGTAAAAACGATTGATAAAAGAACTTGAATAGGAAGGAGAAGGAAATAAAGAGACAACATATGCTTTGAAAAACCAACTCCATTCACTTGTAACTTGTTATATCGTTCAGAAATGGGCCACGATGCAAATCACTGTGTTTACTGAGATTGGTTTTGTTTGAAAACAATTCACTTTATGCGTCAGGAATATAGATTGAACAATCACTTCCTCTGACAAGGATTTTAGTTCTCTCTGCTGCTTATTAACAATCGTGTCGAATATCTCTAAATCCATAAGCCACATAGTCAGATCTTTCGTAGCAAAAATGTCCCTTTAACCCAAATTCGTTGTTCGTTCACGACTTTGAAGACTAGTAAGAATTATAACCTTATTGAAAAAGTGAGGTGAAGAATTTACGATATTGTAAAATATTGATAAATATACAACTTTTAACGTCTTTGTTAAGAGTGGTACTTCGTTAATAAGATAATTGTTCGCTAGGATGAATGACAATATTCACAGATTTTTTTGCTGCCAGTAAAGAATGCAAGCAATTGTTCCCTTGACATGCGACAAAAATGAAAATTTACAACTTGGGAATTAGTCAATATCCAACTCAAACTACTTTTTGAGGCTTAGACTTCTGGAGTACTATCTGTCATGCAAAGGATCAAAATCCTTTTTGCTTTTCATCATTACCACGAGGCAACTTTCTCTGCCGTCTTTTTTAATGTCGCTTGAGATATGATTATAAACAAAGTAGGACGAATGAGTCTTTTTTTTTTGTAAAAAAATACATTTTCATCATACTGGAAACTTGCAAAACATTATTTTATTTGTAGGAGTAAAAACGTTGTTCGCTGGTAAGATTTTTATTGTTTTCACAACACACGAAAACCAAATGTTGGACCACCTTGGCAAACTCACGAAATATCGTCATTTTCCTCTAATTTTCGTTTCATGTAAATTTTTAGAAAGTAGCCACTTAGCTTCCTTTATATATGACCTTAGATTTCTGCTTGAAGCATTCAGCCATTTTTTCCTCGCCACAAGCACGAAATGTTACCTAAAGAGTTAATTTTGAAACTGATACGCGGTCATCGATAATTGAAAGAGCCTCGTCGTGGTTTTGTGAGCTGCCGATGATGTAAAAGGTGCGAGTAGCATATCTGTAATTTTGCCAACGAGTCGGGAGAAGTGTGTAATCTTAATTATCAACCTATCAATAATGAATCACTGATATGAAGCAAATTATCATATGCCTTTGAGTCATTCGCTAGATCCGTGTGGGCAGAGGAATTCGAGTCTAGTTAAAGCCTGGTTAAATACACTCCGTAAAGTTTTCTTACAGCAAAACGACTGAAAAAAAAAAAAAAAAATGAAAAGGCCAAACTAAAAGAAAAAAAATAATCATATGCCTTTGAGTCACTCGTTAATTCCGAGAGCGCGGCGGAATTCGAGCCTAGTTAATGATGGTGTCTCTAGCCACGCATGTAAGAAGACACTGGGTAAAATTTAGCAAATTGCGCGGAGGGCCACGAAATTCCAACCTAATGCAGATCCTACCGAGTATTTGGCCGTGGCAGGCCTGGGTTGGCCGTGGAAGGTCTGGGCATGAGACTTATCTCAACCGCTGCTTACACCCTAAACCTCTCCTCATCGTGCTTTGAAAATCTTACTTGTGCACAAACTCTCTCGCGCTACCTTTAAGAGCGACAAGTTCTGTGAGATTCATAGGACCAGTGGTCCCGGAAATAGAGGTTCACTCTTAATTAACGTAACTTTAGGTGACATTCTCGAATTTTATTGGCTATTTGGTGAATTATGATGATGATGTAGGCTTAAAATCACTTCTTTATCCTCTTAGTCTTGTTTCTGGCCTCAGAAATCAGTCTTGTAGGTTACTACTTCCTGAGCTACCTGTCTGGAGTAGTAACTTTCCTTTAAAACACACGTGTACCTTTTTTGAAAGTAGTACAACCCTCCAAATAAAATGTTTAACAAAATAAACTAGACGGTATCCGACGGTAATGATATTTAATGTTATTTTATTTCCTTGCCTTTTCAATTTAGGGAAAATACAAGTGAAAAAATTTACGAGCCAGTCTTCCACAAAAAATCTTGTAACTTTCAAAAAGCCTCTCAGCTTATGTTCTGAAATTTTTAGTTCATTTTGCCATGAATTTTCTACCATCCGTTCTTGCTACGTTAGGAGTCGTTGATTGCTAGTGCTGACTGAAGAGGAACAGAAGAAAATTAGATAAATGCCCAGTTTTCCCTAGAAAACGGCAAGCATTCTAATGATCTAGGATTATAGCACTGATTTATTAACACCCACCAATAATAAAATGGGAGACATGATGAGGTAGTTAATGGCTAGATGCTGGACTAAGAGGTCTGGATATGACTTTTCCCTCACAGTGCTCCCCCTTCACCAAACTGCCACAATTGGAATGGGTAATGTTGATTGCAATATGTCTTATTTAGGTTTGCTCTACCCGCATGATACTGGGTTAGATATGCATAAACTATGGTCTACAGCATGTGCTCGCCAGTGAGTAATGTTTTGGGTTTTGTAGATCATGTGTTCTCTCAGGCTTACAAATCTCATACTAAGTAGTATTTTGTTTCGTTTCATTTTGTTAAGTCTCCTTTAATCAGATTGTATTGTTTTCCTTTTAGTCAAACCAGATTGTACAAGTCAGATTAAACAGGTTTTACAGATATTGAGTGGAATATTTACCTACAGGTAAATTGTCAGAAAGGCACCTGATAAAAATGCCGAGAGCCACCTGTAATGAACTGGCATCCACTCCATGTGGAGTAGACTTACACCCATTTATTTCTTGCAACCAAAATAGGGGAATTTCAGATGCCATTTTAGGCCACCTGGCTGCATTGCTTTAAGTTTTCACCTAACAATAAAAATAAATGATTGACTGACCTTGGGCTCATAGTCTGGGGGAAACAACCTGATCTGCAATTATAAAATCAGTTTAGATCAGGAGGTCAGTCAGAATAAGATGTAAAAATGCAGAGTAAAAAAGAAATCTCTCCTTTGCCAAATATACATTAACTACTATTAATAGTATATGTAGCTAAAGCATATTACACTCAGTGAGTACATGACAAAGCTTGGGTACTAGAAACTGGGTAGCAACAAGCTGTTAACCTCTGTACTTCCAAGATATTAAGTCTAATTCATGCTACTTTTGGAATAACATTTTTTAGTTTCATCTTCACCACTGGCTTTCCCTCGAGTTCAATAACATTGTTGACCAGAAGTACTTGCAACCATATCATCACAAAAGATTTGAAGGAGAAAAAGCAAGAGTTATAAATACTCCTGTGTTGCCCTGTGATAAAGAGGGTTGGGGTGGAGGGGAGGGCACTGAGATAAGTTACTGAGCATAAAATTTCCAACAGTATTTAAGTATTGAACAGTAAAAGACCAAATTACCCACTACTGTATCAAAAAAACGGTGGGTATTGATGGAATGGTAGCCCATTCTTGAGGGAGGGGAGGGGAGAGGGGCTGAGTATGACTAAGGAAAGAAGAAACTAATGAAAGCAACAGAATCACTAGCATGGGTCACTTTGCTTGCAGATTCAATGATTTAAAACAGGTGTAGAATTAATAACCTTGACTAGCCTGGGGGCCATTTCATCTGGCGTCCACCCAAAACATGGATGTGAAGATGATACACTTCTTGACCTCCCTCCTTTCCATCATTGATTACAACACGAAAACCTTTGGCCAAATTCTGTTCAGCTGCAACCTTTTTGGCAACCACCAAGAGGTGGCCAAGCAACTACAAGAAAAGCAGCACATTAAAATTTAAATAACGAAAATGTTACAGATTTCCTCATGGCCAATAATTCTCCACTGGGACCAAAACTGTTCAGCTTGGAGGACTGTATTGTAAGATGGATGGTTTAGCAGAGAAGCCAGATTGTTCCATGTCTTACCTGTTCATCAGAGTCTTCTGCTTGTGACAGTTGAGGTATTGGCTTCTTCGGAATTACAAGGAAGTGAACAGGTGCCTGAGGGTTGATGTCCTTGATAGCAACACACTAACAACAACAAACAAGCAAACAAGAAATTAAAAATGGAAAGAATAACATCAAGACATGAGGAAACTGCAGAGAAGCTAAATCATATCATTTTTGAGTCTCCTTAGCTTTCAGTTACATAATCCATTAACCCTTTAACTCTCAGAAGTGATTCACAAGTAACTTCTCCTCATAATTTCTATACATTATCCAGCAAAAAGGTAATGAGAATACTCAGACTTATCAGGTAGAAGTTGTCATCTTGATCTAACACCAAATTCTTGTAACTAATCTACAAGTAAATGTGTAGCAGCTACAAGGGAGAATCAGCAATCAGATCTTGGGAGTTAAAGGGCTAGGTCTTTACTTTCCAAGATGTGATTATTAATTCTCCCTTTAAGCTGTGTACATTTTCTTATCAATTAGTTTCAAGAATTTGGTGTAAGATCAAGATAACTTCTATCTAATAAGTTTTAGTATTCTTATTACCTATTTGCTGGATGATGTATGAATATCATAGGGAGAAGTTATATGTTAATCATTTCTGTGAGTTGAAGGGTTACATTGTCATTTGCTTGGGAATACAAAGGGTAAAGTGCGTCGAAAAGCTGATAAGAGGTAAGAAAAAAAATAACGCCCAGGAGGTATGAGATTGGCTCGTGGCAGGTGAAGATTAAAGCCGAAATTCTTCAGTTAAATGATATAGTTTGAACAAACCTTGATTAAGCTCCTTGCAGACTACCAGGAAAATTTTAGATTTGAGCGCGTAACCTCACTGCAGAATTCACTTTCACTTTGATCAAATTTTCACGCATTGCGTGTAGTTCAAGTGCAAATTTCTTTCAAAATGGATCGTTCCTCGAATCTATTACGAAGGTAGGTCCATACTTGGTTGTAATGTATCGGTCCAAAACAGTTTTATAAATAGAGTAACTACAGCATCGTATGTAAACTAATAATGAGTGAAAAGAAATTAGAATTTTGCAGAACGTGGGCGAGTCAAAGAATTCTCTTTAAGATTGTGGCCTCAAAGATTCATTTCTCTGCATGTTTTCAAGCTTAAGTTTACGCCTCAGATCTAAATTGCAACAATGGTTTTTACCTGATCATCCTCATGGAGAAATTCAGATGGAATCTCTCTCCGAATGATTTTGGCGAAGATGCTGTCTCCTTCCGCCATTGTACTACAATGTCACACCCATGATTCCTTGCAAATGCAACTCATCCAAATCTTCTGGTAGGCGGGGTTGGTTGTCAACCCCAATGAAAGCTAACAAAGCGAACTGAAAATTAAGAAAAGGAAAGAGATGATTGCTCTTGCAAGGAGTTTAAATATCTACACTTGTGATATCTATTTAAATGCAGCTTTCAAGGAAAGAAAAATTCGATCGAAGTCACAAATACGTCGTGTGCAAATGGCGTTACTTAATCGTGTCGTGACGTGACACTAACCAAATCAGCGGAAAGTGTCACGGCAACCACAAAGGCCAGAACCAACGCTTCTAGGCTGTTCTCGTGTTACTGGGCTCTAAAGGAAAGCGGAAATCGCTCTTTGCAAATACTGTCTTTAATTTGGTGGATCGGGCTTGCCCAGAACTCCAACCCAAGCTTTTGTGTTTACTGTCCAAAAACAGCTGACTACAGATTTTTCCTCGTTCGCTGGATTTGTTATAAAAAGAGAACAGTATTGAACAAGTGAATCAGTCCCGAAGCTTCACGATTTGCCCTGGTGTAAATTGTGTCTTTTGACGGTTATAGGTATTTTTTATAGAAGAGAGAAAGCAGTGTTTAAAATGTCTCTACGAAATCGTCTTCTGAAAAGACAATCTTCTCTAGCCATACTGGTTGAGCAAGAAAGGGAAACTTGTGAATCTACAAGTCGTCCGCCGTCTGAGATCGGTCAGGGTACTGAAGACCTAGATGACGCACGTGAGATCGAAGAAATTCCTGCACCAGGAGAATCAAACATAGAAGACGACGGAATTTTACCAGAGGATAAAGGCGACCTAGACGACGAAGGAGGTGATACAGATGTTCCAGTTTCCAGTGAGGACGAAAATGAGCCACTTGCAGTTTCCCTTGCTTCACCTTTGAACAAGAAAACTTTTTCCGTGTATGTCCGCGAAGGACAAGCACGTGCGGCTGAAGAAGACCCTCCTATTCGCCTTTCCCGACGGTTAATGTCAATAAAGAGAAGAGGGAAAGCTCTGCCGATGATTGATCTTACAGAGGAGTTTGAGTTTTATGCAGGTGACTTTCTAACCGTTCGAGGCGAGGATAATGATTTCTACGTCTGCCGTGTGCTAGAAGATGTTCCTGAGAGCGCATCGAGCTTCAGTGTGGCTTGGTTCAATAGAGTGGATGATAATGTGTACGAGGTGAGACTGGAACAATATTTTCGTTATTTCTTTCAAGAAGTTTGCGAATGTTTTGAATACAATTTTATCCCGAGACTGACACTATTGAGGTGACGCTAATTACTGATTTCTAATCAAAATTTATGAATTTGCTTTGATTTGTATCATTTGGTAAATGAAAGTGCGTATCGTTTTAAGAAATAGATGGATAGTGATTGTAATATTCTTGCAATTTTCTGCAAAAGCTGCAAAGCAGAAGCTTTACTAAAGTTTAATTCAACTTTGTATTTTGTGACCGTTTAGTATTGCGTGACTCTGACACACCCACTATTATCATTTCTTTGTTTTCGTAGCCTCGAATGGCTCTGAAGTTTGTTTTTCTTTTTTCTCGGTTTCGTCTATTTTTAGTCAGTCAGTTTAATCAGTTGGCATTTAAATTTGGCATTATTCAATAAAACTTATGATGAAAGCTTTCATCAAACGAGTTTTGATTGTGATTGGAAATAATACAACACAGCTTTAGAATACAGCTGCACTACTATTAACAATTGAACTACAAAGGCACATGTTGGTGAGGGTGGCAAATTTACCATGCTTCCGACATGTGGCTACTTCAACTTCAATTTCTTAAAATTGCCATTCACTTCCACGGATTATATCTTTACATATACTGTATAATATATTATCACATGCAGATTCAATTATCATTTGTTTCATTATAATGCAGCAACACTTTTTTAATAAAGAAACTTTCCACAGAGTTATTGATCAAAATTCAGATGACATGTCTGTAGAGTTGAAAAGGAATCGTCATGGGATTTTTCTCACGTTAGATTTTCATTAATCTGAGTATTTCCACAGTCATTGTGAATTTAATTGGGGAATCCGTTTTGCAGGTTTCTTTTGATGATGTGTGTCACATGGATTCAGTTATTACTCGTGTGGCAATGTCAGAGTTTGAACCAGAAAGGTTTGCAATCTCCAGACAGCACATAAAACAAACCAGGAAACTCTTAAGAGAAGCTCTGGCTGCTGAACATGGAGATGAGGACATACCTGAGGAAGGTGCCATAAACAATGACAGTAATGAAAATACAATAAATGGTTTGAACCCTGGGGTAATAAGTGTTAGTGTAGTTTGATCATCCACGTGATTGTGGTCCTGAGAAGGACTGTTGTAGGTGGTGATGACTGGCATTTTGACAACCTCAGCAGAAGTCATCATCAGAGTCCATTGACTTCATCAGGGTCAATCAACTTTGTTGATGACTTCTGCTCAGTCAAAAGGGGGAGGGGGAAGGGGAGGGGGAGGGGGAGGGAAAGAGGGAGGGAAGGAGCTTCTTATTACTTTATATGGCAGAAACTTGGATAATCTCAGGTTACGAATAGTTTATGTGGTTATGATGTAGAATCTGCAAGTGATGAGGAGGAGGCAGTTGAAGAGGAGGAAGGGGAACCTGAAGAGGATGAACCTCCTGCAAAAAGAACTCGGCGTGGATCCAAGGCTGCCTCTACCCCTACCCCTCAGAAGAAAGGGAGGAGAGGACAGAAAAAGACCACACCCACACCCAAAAAGAGTCCAGGTCAGAAAAGGAAATCAGTTCAGTCTAAACCAAAGAAGGAAAAGAAGAAGAAGGAAGTTGCAGAGAAAAAAGAAAAACCAAGGCGTGCTGGAGTGTTGATTCCTAATGAAGATATTGAACTGCTTGAGAAAGATCCCACATTTGAAACAAGGTTGGTTAAAAATAATTTTCTTAACTGTCTTTTGCATTTGCATGTAAATTCTCTCAAGGCACAGTGATATGAGATTCTTCCTTCTGATGATTAGAAGGATCAATGTTTAATATCCAAGCAAATGTGCACCTACCCAACCCCAACTCAGTGACAGTCTAATGATAACAAGGTAGGGTTAAAGTTGGGCTAGGGGAGGGGTAGGTGACTCTGATCTGATCATTATTTTGAATTCATTTATAATTAATAATTGGTTAATTTTAGTAACATGCACATGTATTGTTGTATGGTGTAAACCTAAGTACCGGTTATATGTCCAGTGGTTTTACTGTCTAAGTGGTGAGCATTAGGGGTATTTTGTATGATTAGTGTGTTTTTTGCCCAATACCCCCCATAGCATATTAAATGGTGATCTCATTACCTTCAGTCTCACTGTGATTGTTTTTTAATTTTTATAGAGATGATGTTTCCCTGATGCCTGTCAAATGGGCAACAAGAGCAGTCTTGCTTAATGACATGAAGATGTTGAAAGAAGTCATCGATGACCGGGAAAATGTTTATTCAGTATGTGCATATCTGATTTTGATAGTTAAATGAATGATCATTTCTTACACATATGTCATTTTTAATCAGTTCTGTTGCCATGATTTCAAAGGACTTATTTAAAATGTTTGTTTTGTTTTTGGCAGGTTCATTGGCCAAGAAGTCCCGAGATTCAGCTGGGTGCAATACATTATGCACTTCTAAACCAAAACCATGAGGCATTGAAACTCTTGCTGACAGATTTAAAAAGTCTGAGTACATCAGAGCCATATCTACCACGCAAAAACAAACCTACAGTGAGTCTTGATCGCATGGATACAGGAACGTAAGTTGGAAACATGTCTTCAATATTTTTTGCAGAGTGACATATCCAAGGAATATTACTTATTATAAGTAGTTTTTTATATTTGCAAGTCATTTTTAATTAACTTAATCTTATGCACTCAGATACAACTTTTACACCTTTGGTCATGCAGTAAGAGATCTATATTCAAGCAGAGGATCCAGACAAGGCAATAATGCTTTTCTTGAAGTAAGTTCAATTTGTTTTTTATGCAAAATTTTAAGAGACATGCAAATGCCATACCTGATCAATCAGGAGAGCTGTGTATTTACCTAAAAAAGTTTATATCTCCTCTTTGGCCAGCACATTCTTGTCATGGACTGTTTATATATTAAAAAAAATGAGAAATGCATTCCTCTTGTAGATTTAGTTGACAAGTGCAAGTATTTTTCATTAGCTACACTGTCCTGTTAATTCTTCTCTAGTCTTCTTTTGATTGAATTGATATTTGAATTTAACTTTTTACAGGATGAGACTAAATTTGGTGGAAGGGGCCATGATCTGTCTGAACTTCTCCACTTCTGCTTCAAAAAGGGAGTTCCTCTGGAGACAGTGAAAGTGCTTATGAGTGAAGTGTGCGCATTGGAAAGATCAACACTTCATGAGGCAGAACAGGTATAATATTATGTTGATGTAATTATAAAGTTTAGAAATACCATATTATGATTGTGTTGTTCTTGTAATTTGCTGCTCTTTTGAAGAGGCCTTACTGGTAGTTAGCTGTGAGAGTTTTGATAGGAACAGTTTTATTGAATTAAGCTGGTCATTATTGAGAAATATGCAGGTAATAAATGATAATTGAATCTTACAAATATATATATATATATATATATATATGTATGTTTAACACATCAAAGTCAGGAATGAGTAACACATATTGCATGGGAATTGTTGCAGAAGTTGCAGTTGAGGTCAATATTATTCGGTTAAAAGAAATTGATGTCCACATATGTGGTACATGTACAGTTAAAATGTTACTTCTCAATTTTTTTTGTCATGGAACCTTATTGCATGACTATTTATGGAGACTGTTGGAGACAAAGATGGATAGCAATAATTAACTTTTTCTGTCTTTTTCTGGAACACAAAAATTGGTTCTGCTGGAAAATAGTGTTATCTGGAAGTGGGAAGTTTTGGAGTAAAAGAATTATTATGGTAAAATTGATTGAAAAACAACTTTATAATGACACTACCTTTGTTATCTGACTTTCACAATCAAGGAAGGTATCAACTGCGTCTGGGTGGCCATCAGAAGTGGAAACAGAAAAGTGGCTGGCTATTTTGTTGATAAGGGTGTGGACAAATTTGGATTTGGTTTCAACTTTTTGCACAAGGAGGTAAAAAAGTAAATAAATGCAGTTTTTCTTTTATGAAACATGTGCTGTGAATGTATGTGTTTTTTTTAACATTTATTTAAAACAAATAAAAACAAAATAGCTCAGAAATTTTGATCTTTAATGAATTTTAAGGAAAAAGCAAGCAATCAAACAAACAGACGAAAGCTTAAACACCACTGGATTTGACATTAACTTAAACAGAGAAATAATGATGTAAAAATGACTTCTGGTCACGTCAAGCAGATTATATTATTTAGAACAATACACCAGTTATCATTTGAAATCTAATGGTTACCCTAAGTAGTATAAATCTACAAGCATTCTTTGAGAAGTGCTGCTATATGATTGGCTACACCCTACATACATTTTATTTGGTAATCCATGCAGAGTGGAATGGGTTGCCAATATTTATGTGATTTTAAACAAACTTAAATACAAATATGAGTATGTCATGCTAAGTTGTGAACAACTATGTATAGTAGACTCTTTATACACCTTAAAATGAGTTTGCAAATTCCCCATATTGTCCTCTATACATGAATTTTGCTATTGTACTTATTAGGAGAATTTGTGTAATAATCACTAAAGAGTTTCTGACCTTGTGATCTTTTCCTCTATTCTAAAGACCTTAATATTTGATTCAGGGGTGAATTACTGACAGGAGAAATTAGATGCTTATAATCACTCAGAGGTTAAAGGATTAACACAGAGCTATAAACCCCTTTTTTAGCCAGATAAGGTTATCACAAGTAAACATTTCCTTAAGTTGTTATTTTACGCAGTTGATATTAGGGCATCAAACATTGCTTTCTTTCAGGTTTTGTTGAATGATAATCAGGAGCTTTCCAAGTTTAGAAGCCAGTCTGTCAAGAAAAAGCCCATGGAAAATAAAGTTGTAAGTACCTTAACACAAGAAGACAATCAATGCCCAAATTGTTATCAACAATCAACATCACTATCCGATTTAGGTTTAATAATCATTTAACACGGTCGAAGTTTTATGATTAAAGAAGGTTCAAAGCTGTAAATAATTCTACTTTGCAGATCTTGCCAATCCATGCTGCCTGCATTAATCCAAATGAAGATTACCTCAAAGCTTTGTTAAACTCAGTACCAGAGTACAGTGTTCCTGACAAAGATGGCTTCAAACCAGTGCATTATGCTGCAGCATGTGAAGGTCCAGGCCCCCTGAAGGTGTTACTAGCAAGGTATTATGGTCACTAATAACTGTTTTAATAGACTGCAGTGTGGGTGAGATATGGACAATAGGATCTAGGACATTGCTCATGGTGTCTCTCTCCAAAAATTATGATCAGCTGAACTGAATATTTTGCTCTAAATCAGTTAGGGTTATATTGTGTGTCCTTCACCTTGTTTCTCCTTTTTGTCACACGGTAATTAATAAAGGTGTCAAGTGACTGTGAAAAAATATGGGCTCAATCTCTCCACTGCATTTTGTAGCTTCTCAAATCTATCCCTAGTGTCTTGATTTTTTTAGGATGTTCATCACCTTCCATTGATGGAAGTTGTCAAACATCTTTCAGGTTAAATTTTTCTTGTAATTTTCCAGAGGAGCTGATCCAAATGACCCTGGACCAAAAGGTTTGACACCTCTAATGATTGCTTGTAAGCATGGACGAGAAGAGAATGTGAAAGAGCTGTTAGCAAGTGACAATCAGGCTGATGGTGATGGTGATGATGAAGAAGAATCTGGAGCAGTTGTGGCGCCTAGGGTTGCAATTGATATCAAGAACAAACACACTGTGGCTGCAATCCACTATGCTGCTAAGCATGGGCACTTGGTAAGTGCTGTTGACAATGGGGGTCAGACCTTAGGGTAAAGGGTATGGTCAGTAAATTGTAATGTGCATAATTACACAGTTATATGATCACTGGGTTCCCTTTAACTTCCAAGATCTCGTTAGTAATTATCCCCATAGTTTCTTTCATACAATTCTTATGATATTAGTTTGGAGATTTTGGTATTGGATCAACTAATAATTTCCTAACTGATACTTTTCTTTATTCTCATCACTTGTCTGCAAGATATTGTATTGATATTGAAAGGAGATATTCTATCTTGGTCATGCATAGGAGTTAAGGTCTAAGCAGAGTTCATTGGTCATGTTCTTATCAGTGAGTATGGTGACCAGGAAAAATTGTTTTCTTGACGCAGGACATAGTCAAGTTGGTTGTTACTGCAGGTGGCAATGTTGACCTTCAGACTGGTGCAGCAAGAGGAAACATGTCACCACTGATGCTGGCTGCTGCTAGAGGACATCTAGATACTGTAAAAGAACTTGTTAAACTCAAAGCTTCGCCTGATAAAAGAGGTTAAGCGAAACATTAGATTATAGCTTTGAATTCAATTAATAAAGGGAAATTTTGGCATGATCCAGTGTTGGAGCAGCCTAACACTGTAAATGCATTTGTATGGGTAGGGAACACTGGTTTTCCTTGAACATTTTTTTAGTGCAATGTATGTACTCCCCTCTCCCTCTTCTTAGCATCTTTCTCAAAGAAACCATATTTAAACTGTTAAATTTGGAAAACAATTCTTTTTTTGCCCCATTTAATGTGAAATTTAATATGTACAATCTGGGCAAGAAATTCATTAACAATATTATTAAGGTGATGATTCATACTGCATTGTTTTTAATAAACTGATTATTATTATTATTATAAATCGAAACAGGAAAGTGGAAGAAGACACCCCTTATGTATGCTGTAAAGAATGGCCACTCCCCGGTTGCAGCATATCTCCTGAGGCTTGGTGTTGATCCATGTGCTGCAGACACATCTGGGAATACTCCAGTGCACTACGCAGCAGCTTATGGCTGGCTACATTGCTTAAAGATGCTGATACAAGCTGGAGGGGATCCTAATGCAGCCAACCAGTGGAAGGCATGTACTTTGTAGATTTCAGATTTACATGAATACTTTGTATCTGCTTAGATCTTTTCCATTCTTACACCTAGATATAGAGTTCAGAAATATTTTCTCATCTTTTGTGAATTCTTTTTCTAGGTCACTCCTTTGGCTATAGCACTCATGAAAGATCAAATCCCTTGTGCTGATTATCTCCTCAGTTTGGAAAATGTGGATGTAAATTTTCCCGATGACTGTGGCCGAACATTACTCTGTCAAAAGCTCAGCTGTTCAACCCTCAATGAGACCTTGTTGCAGATGGTGACATTTCTTGTTGACAAGAAAGGAGCTGATGTCAACAAAGCTGATATTGAACAATGCTCACCTGTAGGTTCCTCCTGTGTTTCCATGCAACCCCATTGTGTGCCCTTTTGTAATTATGATGGGAACTGAATTTAAATAATCTCTTTAACTCTTATTTTTACAGCTTCATTATTTGGCTGCTAACTCCATTTTTCAAAGCGGAAATTGGGTGAGTATGATTCTTTGACACTTGGGAAAACAATACTATTTGTTGTCTCCTACAGGCCTGAACTGTTTTTTTCAGACCTTATTTTCACTACTTACTGCTTATTAGTAGAGTTCATTACTGTGAAGATCACTTTCATATTCATTTCTTAAACTGCAGTTCACATATATAATTTTGATATATTCACAGTCTCTATTTGTTGTGCCATCAAGGGAAATGGTTTATTATTTCTGAGTTTTTTCTCTACAGCTCAAATTACAAGCAAGATGTGTTCATTAACATCACCACATTTAGAGGAAAAAAAATTACTTACTATATATATATGTTAACCAAACTTTGACTCCCTCTCCCTAGATAAGATTTTCTCTATTTTTTTTTTCTTCTCAAAAGGATAGGGACTTGGGATACACCAAACCACCACTACTGAAGATGAATCTTGCTGATGTTTCATGCAAGCTTGCTAAGCTCTTTGTGTCAGCTGGAGCAGATCTGAATGCTCTCAACAAAGAGGGGCAAACACCACTTATGGTTGCTGTCTTGCAGGTTTATACACGTTTTGTTTTGTAATATATTGCAGCAGAGCTTTCTCTTCCTGATAACTGCTGATCCACCCTTAAGCTTAAACCCTTTGTATTTCATACTTTTCCGTCGTAGCATGGAGTTAACATGGCTGAGAGGCTGAAGAGTTGCCAATTTTCCAAACCCTTAAACCCTGCCACCTGCTAACGATTTGCTCCTCACTGCTCTGAGTTAAATTTCTTAGCTTTACTCTTCTCTAAGCTGTGCTTTGGTCTGTAATTAAACTACTGATAAGCCCCCTGCTAGCTAGGAATTTTTACAACGCTGGGAGGGGGGGGGTATAGGCGATAAATGATCTATAATTATTAATTAAACAGGTGTATACGCACATCGATAATGCCTAATATATCTCTGCAAAAATCAACTTCTAAATACAGAGAACTGTGCCATTAGCGTGATTTAAGAAAACTGACTTAAAAAGTGATTGTGCTTAAAAGAAACTGGCTTTAAATACAAGTGGACTGCGAAATAACATGCAGCATGAGAAACGTGAAAAAAGAAGAAAAAGAAGAAAGATGCTAACAAACTTAACAAAAAACACTATCAAGGAGGTATGAAAAAAGAGAATAAAATGAATAAAGACGAATTACACAAAAAATAACTAGCAAGTGTTTAGAATTCTTACAGCTATGAAGGAAAACATTGCTGACAAGAAATCTCACCAAAGAAGTAAGTTCTTGTATTCACCAGCTCTTGCATTGTATCTGGTTTTTTTTTTTTTTCATTTCTTCAGAACAATTTCCCTCTGATTGAGACATTGTTAGAATTGGGAGCTGATGGTTCGGTGGGAAAAACTAACACGAATGGTTCTCAAGTGCTGCATTTGCAAGCAGAAAAGGCTGATGATATCGACCTATCAGAGCTGTACCCAGATGCCACAGTTGTAAGTATAGTTTGTACAATGATGCAAGTGAGGGATTTGCATTTTGGAGCTTACAACATTTGATTATTTTTTTGTGTAACCTGTTGACATGCGCAGTAATTTACTCCTCAATTTACGCGTTAATATCTGCAAAATGGTTGTTTATTGTCATTAAAATTTCCCTATTATTAACCTTACCTTAATTTAACATCTAGAAATAAGCTTAATATTGCATAGCATGCCGCAGTTATACTTTAAATGTTTGTCATTTGTGCCAGAAAAGTGTAAACTATTTTAGTTTGGTTTGTGTCACTTACCCAAAACACTTTACTTTCACATTGCCTCTCTTTACCCAGAAATATATGTTAGGGAAGCCTGTCGAGTTCTTTTTTTGTCTTTTTATGGACCAAGACAAAGTCGAGGTCCGTAAATGCAAGAAAGAATGACTTGTTTTGTTTGAGAGACGGGAAAGAAAGTCAACTGTTTTTGAAGCAAGCAACCTCAGCGGGTAAGGTGGGCTCAAGTGGCCAATCGGAATGTAGGACTCGCTTCGTATTACCCACGGGCACTGCCAGCAGTATAATAATCTTATCCTCTTTATGCCATAGAAACCGCGAGAAGCTGTGGCTGGATGAGCCACTTGAGTACAGAATTTACCTTGCAGATGTCTGATAATGAAAAGTTTGAATAGAGAGGCTTTTTCTTAGTCTAATATTTAAATTATTCAAGGTGCATGGGATGGTCTAACTTATGATGGAAAGAGAAGTTTGTCTGGATCTCTTTCTACTCTGTTGTCTTCCTCAGACTTTATCTGGTAACAAATGGGAGCAGCGGGAACAGCTACAGAAGCATTGGAAATCGTTAGTCATGAGAGCAAGCAATGAAATGATTGAGAAATTAATTGCTGGAGGTGCAGAAGTAAATTGCATCAGATCAGATGGACTCACGCCCCTTATGGTTGCTCTTTCAGAGGTACGTATTTCATATCTTGTGCAAAGCAACATTTCCTTTTTTGGTTTGCTCTGTTGAGCTTTTAATTTGGAGGTCACGAGAATATTTCTAAGATTTAAAATGCTTCATTTCTGTAATCTTATCTTTCACTTGAAATGAAGGTAGTCAACCACATTTGGAGTATAGAAAACCAATCGTGGTTTTTTTAGGTTATTGCAATATTTTGTTCTTTTTTTTCTGTCAACTACGGGGTTTGTTTTGTGATAGAATTTAATTGTGTTTGTTCAGAGGAAATAAGCTGGAAGGGATCCTGAAGGTAGTCAACCACATCTGGAGTATAGAAAGCCAGTTGTGGTTTTTTTAGGTTATTGCAAGATTTTGTTCTTTTTTTTCTGTCAACCACGGGGTTTGTTTTGTGATAGAATTTAATTGTGTTTGTTCAGAGGAAATAAATACCCTTTTTTCATCTGCATTGGTTTCAGTCTCCTTCCCCTTCTCTCTGTCCTCATCTTTTGGGTACTTCACGTTTGGATTTTACTTTCTTACTCTACTTTTCCTTCTCTTAGAATTTCCAATGACCCTTTTTGGCAGGGGCATAGAATGCATTTAAGTGTAGCCCTTGAAAAAACCTTTAACAAGATATGTAAAATACATATCCTGAGCTAGTAGTTTACTACTCTTTCAGTCATATATGGATCAGTTCTCAATGCTTCTGGATCATGAGGCAGATCCCAGCATAGGACTGGAGACGACTGGGAGAAACGTCATGCATATGTTAGCCTCCGAATGCAGTGAGCATGACATGAGGACTTACATGAAGACAATCCTGAGGAAGGTATTGAAAGCATAGAGTTTATTTGTTTCATATACTTTCAATAACTAACTGCCGTATATACTCCGGATAATCAAAAACATGAATACCGAAGAGCCAAAAATAAAACAGAATGGCCTAAAAAAGAAGACGTAGCACAATTATTTAAGAATTAAATAGACCTAAAATACTGTTGAAGCGTGCGCGTCGCCTGATTGTTTTGTCCTAAAACATTTAACAGCTTCAAAAAGCAGAACAGATTGAATTCAACGAGATTTTCATCACATGTGCTTCGGTCTCGAATGTGATTTATTAATTTTCCTGAAAAAAAAATGGGACCAGAGAAGCAAGTCCGGATAATCGAAAAGTCCGGATGATCGAGGTTTGACGTTATATGGATCTTGGCTAGCTACCGAGAGCCCAAATTTCAAATAAGTAAAATCGGCCTAACTAACACAAAAATAGATTGAGAACGCTCAGAATGTTTAAATTAAGGACTCTAGAAAGTTTTGGTATTTTAGGAAAAAGGAAAATTAACTACGCAGAGGGTTTTCACTGGTACTCAAATCAAGAGCGGATGCCGCTGAAAAGGACTCAGTTTATTCCACACGCGAAAATAAGCCACCTATCTTAACACGAGCCCCACTTAAAATAGCTTAACTTTGATGATAAGTGAAGGCCAGGAAATGTTTCTCTTTGGACCTCCGCTCCAAAACCTGTTTGAATCTATATCTACATGATTCCTCTACAATATGCTAACCATGCTTGTTACGACACTCTTCTTTGTTACTAAGGTGCAATGCTCTACTAATTTCATATTAAGTGCCTTTTTTATATTTTAAAAAAAATTATTTCCTTTACTGCGTTATGGATTATTTTGACTTAACCATCAAATTCGTACTTAGACCCGTCCAGAAAACCTTAATCAGATGGCCAATGCGGTTGATAACAATGGCTTCACACCTCTCCTTCAAGCTTGTGAGACAATAGCTTCATCTCCACCCAGTAAGGTAACGGACCGATTCCTTTCAGGGATCTGCTGTTCATTCAGACCTTTTTTTATTGATTTCTCATCATCAAACGAAAGAACAGATAACAATAGAATTGTATATTAAGTATTTAATGAAATTTTGTTTTTCATAATGCGTAACACGTGGAATGTTGTTACGATTATCTTTTAGAGGGACAAATAAGTAAGGTCACCTTTATGCTCTTAGCAAATCTTGCACTTTTTTATTTACTTTAGAGTTTTTTATTTTTTTCCTTCCCTTAGGAAAGAATTGAATTTGTCAAGGAATTTCTCAAGGTAACAGTTGGTGGTTTGCTTGAATTTGTTTTTTCTTCGCTCGTTTGGTTCTCGTTTTGTTTGTTCGTTTTTCTTTACATTCAAAGTACCACTGTTGACTACCATTGCAGCTATGCGTTAACAATGTATGTTACAGTGCACATATCTGACTGTTTTGTTCATCTTGATAAACAGACTCTGATTGACAAGTTTGGCTGTAACGTTAAAGCAAGAGTTGGAAAGATAAACAAAGCCTCAGATGTAAGTGAACATGAACATTAATTTTTTTTTTCCGTTTACTTATCTTAACGTGTTTGAGACTTGGGATACGACAAAGGATTGCAAACCCTTTAAAAGCCAGTTTGAGAGAATTGCCTGAAAAATTTACCACAGTATGTGTTTGGTCCAGAAGTCTTGTGCCATCTTCCCACACGAACAGGTGCCGTGCATAACGGGCGATGTGGTCCCCTCCCATTTTTTCTGTACTTGCGATTGGTCACATGTATATTTAAGTCGCGTTCTCATCGGATCCTTGTGTTATTTTCTGTTGTTATGATTTAAAGCTGTTGTCACTCTGGTTCTTTTCCCACAACACTCATTTGAAACGCCTTCTGTCACTATTCGCTGTTTTTTGTAGGCACACTTGAGGGATCCTGAAACATTTGGTTTGAAAAAAGACCAAGGTAAACAAGTGGAGTCGGAAAGAAAGCCTAGCTCGTGGAGCGATGATGACAGTAACACTGTTATGGACCATGACGATGATAACAGTGTTGATTTCAGTGATGATATTGATGTCGATGAAAGTGACATTGATGGAAGTCATTTTCCTTCGGATGGTGAAAAAGACATCAATCCTAACGGTATATTATATAACGATTTGGCCATTCCAAATTTGTTTCAATAAGTCTATCAACAGATTTTCATGATTTATGTAAGAAATAAATGTTTTGAACACAGATGAACACTTTCTGTTTCTTTCAAAGCTGTCAGAGGTGAAAGAGATCACATCTCCTACATACGTGTTTAATTTTTGCAGCGTCTAAAGAACCCATTAACGAATATGTTTATATGTTTTATGCAAGATATTTCATTTTGCATATGTCTCATATGCCCAAAATTTAACCGCCGAATATTACCAACCAATCCTCTTTTTTCTACAATCTGTTTTTTTCTTTATTTGATTTCATTGATTCATAGTTTTATTTTTCTGTTCTACAGAAAAAGACTCTGCAGAAGATTATGGTGTAACAGGTTGGTAATCACCAAATAAACATTTATTTTATTGAACTACCTCAAACTCAAATCACTTCAACGAGAATCAACGTTGATTTATATTTTAGGCTTTTTTGTGCGATATGCAAAGTTACTTTCATCTTAAGTGAAATTACAAAATATCAGTTGTTTAATAAGGAAAAAGTGTAGGATGGGAAGGGGTAAACTAAAATGAAAACAGAATGGGCGGAGAACAAGATTTGAAAGGTTGTGGTGATTTTAGAGAAGTAGAAACTGCAACTCGCCTCTTGAAGTAAATAATCACCGAGAAATGAGCTAAGTTAATCTCTCTGTTTTCAGGACTCTTCTCCTGCCTTCACTTTCTCGTTTATGAAAGCTGGAATTTCTATTCATTTCTGGAGTTAATTCTTGGATATGTGAAAGGAGACCAGTCGCTTATCAACTCCTTTGACTGTCATGGGCGCACGCCTCTTCATTTAGCAGTGAAGTGGGGAAATACAGGAGCTGCTAAACTAATGGTATACTTTTGAATGTAACACATGATTTATCCGCCTCTTTCTCCCCCTCTCGTCCGTCTAGCGTCCCTCTGGTAACTGGTTCACAAATTAAATATCTGCTGTGCTCTGTAAATTACGACGAGCTCCAGTACCCACGACATCAAAGATACATTTTGAGGCGGGGAACTAGCCTACCTCTTTACGTTTCACTGTGTGTAACAATTTAACATGGTGATATGCTAATGGGTCATACTGTATAGTTTTCGCTCCGGAGTGTCTCATGGATGACACAGAAACACCCATACACCTTCCATCTCTCACACTTTCTCGTGCGTATAGATCGAAAACAACGATCCTAAGGCGTCTCGTCTCCTTATCAAAGTCTTTACACTTGGTCTCGTATGAAATATAGGTTATGGGCATCTTGGAAATGACCTTTAACAATTTGCCGACGTGAGAAGATTGCCCTGTTGGTGATGATATTTTTCTAACTTTAATCCAGATTGAGTATGGTGCTGATGTAAACATAAAATCGCTGAATGTAAAAGAAGATGGACTTTCGACGTCTTTGGTTCTGGCTGCAAGGTAAAGACAATGGTGATCTTTTATGTATGTCACAAATCGGTCTTGGCGTAGAAATTCCTTTCTTCCTATTACCCCTATTATGAATAAGAAGAAGGAAACCTCACACATTTATCCATAAAAACGATTTGTTTTGAAGCATCCGAAATAATCATGAAATGAATCATGAAGTATTGGTTTGTGTGATATGTGATAACACTTCTGTTTTTTTTTAGGCCAGCAAACGTTTCTCTCGTCATCCTTCAAGCCTTGTTAGATGCTAAAGCAGATCCAAATGTTGCTGATGACACTGGACGTACTGCTTTGTCATGGGCAGTCACCAACCAACCTGGTAAGTACGTCTGTTTCTACTTATTTTAATCAGGTAATCAATCGATCGATTTATCATTTAACAAATCAATCAGTCCATCCATCAATCAACCTATCAATCAACTTATAAACTAACAGTCGATCGATTTATCTGAATTTATCTAAATTACGAGACCATTTAAGAATTGTCAGACATATTAAATCCCTCTTAAAAAAAGTGTAATTGTTAATAATTGTCTTGCTGTTCCATCCGGATTTTCGTCACAGACACCAACTCTACGCCTCTAAAGCTTTGCAGAGCATTGCTTGAAGCTGACGCTGAAGTGAACACCGCAGACACTAAGAAGCGCTCTCCTCTTCATTACTCTGTCAACTGCACCACTGGAGGCTTTGAGACACTCACGGAGGTGGAGGACTTGCTGATCAAGTACGGAGCCAACACGGTGGCGCTGGATTTACACGAAAGGATTCCTCTTCATTATGGGTTTGTGAAAATGGGCAACAGGTGAGCTGACTAGAGAATGAAGGGTTGTAAGCTTGTTCCAACCTACAATGGAGGTTAAATGTCTTGGGACAATTAACGCGATACTACTAAATTTTTAATAAATTATACTTCTCCCCAAACAATGTTGAATTTTGTGCGCTTTGTAAACTTTACCAAGACGTGGTGATTGTTTTGTTTTATTTGTAAACTTTATCAAGACCCACGGCTACGTAGACTCTTTTTGTTTTATATGACAAAAAAGCAAAATGCTGTGAACGGTGATGTCATCTATGTGTCAGTCCTCCAATAGTTCAATATTCTTCGAATTCCAAAACCAAACTTTTCATGGTCACTAAATGGCGTGCCATGGGTAATGTCCTTTGTTAGCTATTGAAGTGCACCTTCTTTAACCAAACATTAAAACAGTGTAATTTAGTATTATCAACCGAGTCGATAACGTAAATTGGCCGCCGTAAAGGATTTCGTTTCGACGTTACGAGCGTTAGCCCTTCGTTTTTTCGCTCTGATGAAGGGCGAACGCTTGAAACGTCAGTTTTTAAACTCTTTACGGTGGCCAATTTACGTTATCAACTCAGTTGATAACACCAATTACCCTTTTGAGCATGAAACCGTTCTGTATGAATGTATTGAATTTTTCTCTTTTTTTCTTCGGTTTTCACAGGCACACTGATTATAGTATGTCCGATCCAATATCTATCGTGAGCCTGCTGTGTGAGGCAATGGCTGAACAGGGAAAGGATGTTAAGGCGCAAGTGAATCATCGCGATAAGTTTGGGCAGACTCCGCTACACAGGGCAGCACTCAGAGGTGCAACGATTTGCGCATTAAATCTACTTCAGGTAAAACATCCCCTTGAAATTTGTAAGCACTACAATCAAGTTTTTCCGAAAAAAAAATTATGTTGGGGAGGCGGCATTTGGAGAGAAGAAGGCCTTTTTTTGGGGGGTTTACACATTGTAAACCTTTAGAATCTAACACCGAAGTATCGCTTTGACATTAATCTATAAAAACTAGATTCGGAGACAAATTCTTGAATAAGTGTTCAAAGTTTTGTGTTTTTCTTTTTTTTATGCAAAAATTACACAACATAATTTAAGGCTAACGCCATAATTTTTAGATTCGTTTTTCTTCGACCTGCAAACTTACCTCTAGTGCTAGAGAAACTACATATTATTAGTTTAGTCGGATTGAAATATAACAAAATTCGAATAGTACACAAAAAAAGATTAAGTATGATTGCGAATGGAGGAGAATGACGCGGAGAGCAGAGAAATTTGTCCAAAATACATAAAGCCTGTTATAGCTCCTTATAGGAAAGAATTTTGTTGTCTTTGTTTTTTCGCTCAATTTTCACCGACCAGTTCACCCTCTCAATCTGTTTGCGCTCGACCGGCTGACCGAGAAAAATAAAGAAAAGCTGGAGACTCTTTTTGATTGTTAACACAGATCTAATTTTTCTTGAACAATGTAACAGGATTGGTTGTCCTTGATCATCGATTACACAAATTAACGTTTGCCGTTTGGTTTTTCGTAGAAAGGAGCATCTCTGGAGATAAAAGACAACGACGGCAACACTGCTTTGTCGCTGGCTCTGCGCGAGAGTCATGATGGGTAATATGACTACTTCACTTCCTTAGTACTCGATTGTTATGTGTAAAAGTTCAACGTGAATCCTATGGGATGTTGTGTTTTGGTCTTTTTCTGGTGAGCGGGGAATGCGGAAGACTTATGAAACAGTCAAGTTCGGTGCGACTTTGTTTTAGTGTTGTACTGAATGTGGTAGGTGCGTCTTGATCTTGATTATGTGAATGTAGCTGCTTAAACAAGTGAAGTTATGTCATTCAGATCTCCTCCTTAGTGCTGTAAATAGGCCCACTTATATGTGTTTTCATTGACAGCTTGATGAAAAGGGGGGATGGGGGGTTGGTGCTAGATGGTAAGGTATAGGAACTTATGAGTAGAGAGGGTAAGCCTTTTATTCTCGATTGAACACCGGACTCTGATTAATGGCCGACATCGAAAAAACACAAGGGTCAAAACTGCAAAACTCGGGTGAAAAATGCCGGTTATGTATCGAGAGATTAGAATTGTAAGGGAAGAGATTTTCGGAGGCATAAGATGAGAGATAAAGAGCAGTGTAGGGGGTTGATGGGGAATGTGATACAGGAAAGGTCCTACCATTTTGAGCAAGTGCCTTTTAATTATAACCGCTTTAAGCCTAGGACGGTTTGTTTTGAAGGAAAACAACACTGCTGTACTGTACTTTGTATTTATCAGTAATTTTAATTAAATGTCATTACTTAACGGCATGAAAGCTCATTCACTCAGGATCCCTCTTTTCTCTTTTAGCTGTGCCATGATGTTTATGCAGAGTAACGCACCAGCATCCTGTTCTGTTATAAAGCCTCTTACTCCTCAGGACTGGATAGACTATGAAAAAGAGTGAGTCTTATCCAGTGAAGTCGCAGTACAACGTTAGACGATTCAAACAGAGCAATAGCTAATGCGGAGAAAACTACTTGATACATTCATCCACTGAAATCCACGCCGTTTACCTTTCGCTGCTACTATTACAGATCTGCTTTCCAATGCGAGTTAATGTTCTGACTACAAGGGGTATTCTGCGCGATGATGTGGGTGCTCTAACGGGATGATCGTTGGACATAATTCACCTAACTTTGAGAGCCAAAAGAAGACTTCCCTTTTTAAGTCGTTTTTTTTTTTTTTATTCTCAGGAAGGAAAAGTGTAAGTGGGTATGGGAAAATGTTGTTGACTTGAAGGAACCCAAACCTGACATAAGGACAGCTTTCCGTGTTGTGGTTGACAACAACTGGCAAGGAATCGCTTACTTGATGCTTGAAGTGGCTGGTCTGGACTTTGTGGAAGCTATACAGGTAATGACGCGGATTAATAAATCATTACAGAGAAAAATAAAGTTATTGAGCAAAAAACGTAAACTTTTAAAGGTGGAGAAAAAAATTTGGAGATCCCATGGGAAGTAGTCTCCATTCGCCGCAAAATTGTCTTTTTCGAGAGGCTACCGAGCATAGTTTCACTCCATAGTGGTAATTGTGCTTAGTGTGCTTCAAATATTTTCTGCAGTGCGCTGGAGAAAACGCATACAAACAGCTTTCTGTCTAGAGCGTTTACCACCTGGGATGTGAATTCTGGGTGCTCTTTAATGCGACTTTGTCGTTGAGCCATTTTAAGTATTGCTTTTCACAAACTCAGTTTTGATTATTGAACAAATTTAGCTCCCGATTCAAGCGTGTTTGGGTTTTCTTTTCAGGCAACGCTGGAATCCAACAAGCTGGACCTTGCGTGGACACTGCTCAGAAAACAGAGAAAAGATGCGTCTCTACAGAAACTTGACAAGAAGGACCGCAACCTTCTGCATTTGTTAGCTATTCATTCTGCAAAACTGTGGACACAGGTGGTGGAAGAGGTATGTAGACAAAATTGTACACGTCGCCTGAATTGTCAAGAACATCTTTATTACTGCACTTGACGTTTAGTTTTAGATAGAAAATTCAGGTAATTTGATTTTCTTATCCCTGCATCCCGCCTTCTTCACGACCCATAAGGCTGCAGTCTGAGAACATGGTAGTCGTTTTATAACTGTATTGTAAATAAGTGTCGTAAAAAACTACTTTTTCTTCATACAAGGAGGGGAGGTTCAGTACTACGCCCCCCAACCCCCCCCCCCTTTACTTTGCCCTTTCCCTTTGAAGCTTGAGGCATGTCGCATGGCAAATTTCTCGTAAACACTTCCGGTCGATGTACTTGATATTTATCGAATTTTAATCTTATAACTCTAATGACTGAGAGCAGCTACTTACAGTAAGTGTCCTGTTTTCCTCCAGATGACCAATTATCTTGTTCGAAGGGGAGTCCCTGCTGATGCTGTTGATTCGCAAGGCGCGACACCTTTGCATTACGCGGCATGTAATCACAACTTGGCCTTCTGCAGGTTTTTGTGGGGTATGGTTGCTTTGTGTTTTTTTGTATATTTCTTGTGTTATTTGCAAGAAAAACAGTGCAGCATCCGTAGATGTTAAATTTCATGAAAGAAACTTATGAAATAGAATTTAAAGTCATTTGCTACAAGTGCAAGAGAAAAAGCTAAGCTTCGCGAGTGTTTTGAATTCCCGTTGACTATGATAATAATAGACGTTATTTGATGATGAACGTTACCTGTAGGAAACAAGTCGAATCCTTGATAAGTGTGTTCTTTCAAACCTATCAGCACTGTATGTTTTACCCAAGTTCTGTCTTGATAACGAATCTTTCGATATCGCAATTACCAATTTTCTTCTCTTACTTTTCTGACTTAACCGCATGCAATACAGCCAGCTTAATTTGGCTACTTTTATTTCGACAATCTACCTTTGTCAGCCCGTTGCACGGAGATGTAAGCATCTGACACTGTTCATAATTTGTAGCCTGTGTTGATCAATGTAACCATGTAACATTTACCTTTCAAATGGTTCCTTAAACTCCGTTTCAAATTAAAAAACTTCTGCAAATTTTGTATTGATAACGGTTTTCGTTGTTGCCTTAATGTACTTTAGAACATTCTCCTTCTTCTGTGGACGTAGCCGACAATGATGGTGTGACTCCATTTGCCGCCGTGTTCTCCAAAACAGACACTGGAATCATAACACTTGTTGAGTAAGTCCTTACGGAATGTCAGTGTTAACCTAAACATCATGACAAACTAAGAGAAAGTACATTCACTTGGAAAAGAGCCAAACGAAGAAGAAGTACTTGTAACTATGCATGATCATGATTTTATAGACATTTTTGTGAATTATATTCTCTTTGCAAGGTTCTTTGTGAGCCCATCAACGTGTAATGTGAAGAATTTGGATGTGTGTTACAAAGTCAGGGATAACAATGAAGGAGACAGCGGCGACACCACAACTCCTTTGATAGAGGCTGCAGTGTCACTCAGTGAGAAAGTTGTTGTTGATCTGCTGAGACATGGAGCTTCCGTCAATTTTCCCAAGGTAACTTCCTTCATGTTTCGTACCTTTTCCTTAAAACAAATGCAGAACAATGCGAGCAACTGTGGCCACCGACTTTTCGTGTGTTGAAAAATAAGTGAAAAAGACACTATCGTGTAGAAAACGGTGTAGGGTTTAACGAACTTCGTCAGAGCTCGTCTACTGTTCTACGGGTATGCCACGTATATTTCGAGCGAAATATGGTGACCTTGTCTTAGAATTTGCGAGCCAGCCTGGTCAAGACGCGCGTAATTCGAACTATCACTAACTATCATTCGCCATTTTGAGAACGACAGTTCGTTGTTGTCTGAACATCAATTCAAATAACTCTCGTAGAAATTTCTTTATTCGGAAACGAAAGTTCTATAGGTCTTCGTGCACAGCAATCATTCCCCTGGAATAAAATTCATTTCTTTTTCCAAACTTTAACTTTACTGATCGCGCGTCAAAGCCTTGCAGCACAGATGAAAGCGAGAAATGATGTCATGAGAGGTCGTCTAGGTTTTAGAAAGCGTTATTCTTTCTTTTTTTGGATAAGAAGCAGTTTCGCGTTTAAAGTTAATTGACTGACGACACTAATTCACGGCATTGTTTCTATTTCAGCACAATGGTCGCACAGCAGTCATGGAAGCTGTACGTAACAACACGGTTGACATGGTGAAAGTACTGATGTTTGGCACAGATGACAGGACCATTTGGGCGACAAAAGAGACAACTGATGTTGATCTCGCGTTACAAGATGAAGACGGGAAGTCTGTTATACATCATTGTGTCAACAACAGAAAGGTAATGCAGATCTTGTGACTAACTTAGTTCTGTTTGGCAGCCTTACTGCCTGCTTGCTTCCTCCCTTTGTTCTCCGTCCATTCGTCTGGCTGCCTGCTTGCTTGCCTTTATGTCCCTCTGCCTGTTTGCCTGTATGTCTGTCTGCCTGCTTGCCTGTATGTCTGTCTGTCTGCTTGCCTATATGTCTGTCTGCATGCGTGCCTGCATGTCTGCCTGCCTGCTTCTATGTCTACCTGCTTTCCTGTATGCCTGCCTCCTTGCTTGCCTGTATGTCTGCCTGCCTGCTTGCCTGTATGTCTGCCTGCTTGCCTGTATGTCTGCCTGCCTGTATGCCTGCCTGCCTGCCTGCCTGCCTGCTTGCCTGTCTGTCTGCCTGCCTATGTCTGCCTGCCTGCCTGCCTGTATGTCTGCCTGCCTGCCTGCCTGTATGTCTGCCTGCCTGCCTGCTTGCCTGTATGTCTGCCTGCCTGCTTGCCTGTATGTCTGCCTGCCTACTTGCCTGTATTTCTGCCTGCCTACTTGCCTATGTCTTGCCTGTATGTCTGCCTGCCTGCTTGCCTGTCTGTCTGCCTGCTTTCCTGTATGTCTGCCTGCCTTCTTGCCTGTATGTCTGCTTGCCTGCTTGCCTGTATGTCTGCCTACGTCCTTGCCTGTATGTGTGTCTGCTCGCCTGCCTGCCTGTATGTCTGCCTCCCTGCTTGTCTGTAAGTCTTTCTACCCGTATGTCTGTCTGTCGGTCGGTCTGTCTGTGTCTTATCCATCTGTCTGTCTGTTTATCTGTCTTTGTTTGACTTTTTCTTTAGAATAGAATGTTCAAGAGGAAAATTGTTTTGGTAACTTTGTGTCTGTAAGGCAAGCTGGAGTGACAAGAATGGGTTAGTCAAAAATTACTTTTAACTATTAACTTGCGACTTTTCTATTTATTGGTAGTATGGATCGGCAGAAAATGTTGATTTACTAAGATTTCTGGCCGGCTTTGACGCACCACTTGCACTTAGAGACTCTGAGGGTCATACACCTTTGTACTACGCTAAACGACAGGGGTCTGGAGTCATGAGAAAAGTATTGGAAGAACTTCTTCGAGAAGAGGAGGCTCGTAAGGTGAGTATTCACCCTTTTTTGTGTGGTAAAAATTGCTTATTTAGTCGCCCTCCTCTCAATAACGCTGGTAAGATCAAAGAAGCTTAGGGTGAGCAAAAACACACCCTCCCTATCCTGGCTAGCCCTGAATCAAACTTGACGGTTAGCGAGCGAACCACGAGCGCCCTAGTAAAATGCTGTAACACAAGCTTTCTTAAACAACGAATTTTATTCCGTAAGCACTAGATCTGTCTGTAACTTTCTAGCAGGCAAAAAACGTGTAAATCTTTAAGGTAACCCCTCAGTTCGGGAAAAGTCATGATATGTCGAAGGAACCGAGGAGGGAACAAGTCGTCGCTAACAGGGTAAAAAAGGGACCTACAGAAAATTGTATGCCGAGTAACTGCCAAAGAGGGGAAGTCGTAAGAATATTACGGAGCCTTAGGGTTGGTAAATTTTATAATAGCAAAACAAAACCCACCCCCCCCTTATGATATCTACTGAATGGTCCCTTACACCTTACATTTGAACAGGACACAGAGGAGCCAATGGAAGTTGACTCGGGATTTACTTTTGTCACGTCCAGCGATGATTTGTGGGAAGGTCCAACACCGAACCCGAAAGCTGATGCAGAAAACATGCTCCAAGAAGCCAAAAGACAAGAAAAGCCTGCTGATGATGACGACGACGATGAAGTTGGTGTAGACCCAGCTTTCAGAATGGAGGGCGCAGGGTAAGTAATTTTTGATGAATTTTTAAAACCTCTTTAAGAGTCATGGCGAAATTATAACAGTTTGTATGGGAATATTTACGTATTTTTTCTCAATAACAATACCCCACCTTACTTCCACAGTGCATCGCTTGTTCTCTGACCGCTTACTTTGTTGAAAAGAACCCATTTTAAGCGGTCAGATAACGAGCGATGCACTGCGGAAGTAAGGTGAGGTAATTTTATTGAATTCGACTGTATTTTTTTATTCCTAAGAGAGGTCGTAAATATTCCCATACAAACTCTTCTAATTTCGCCATAACTCTCATTTCGCAAGATGATCATCTTACAGCTGGAGCTTGGGCTGCCTGTGGTTGGATCAACGTCATACTGGGATTTAGCTGCAATGTTACACTTCTGATTAGCAGAGAGCTCGAAAGTAAACAAAACTTAAGATTTAGTCAAAAAAATGTATAAAAAAGTAAAAGAATAATAAAAGAATTGTCTCTCTGCTAAGGTTAAATCCTAATTCTTTAATCTTCTTCCTCGCGTAGATTTTTTCAATACTCGACAACGTCTAGCGCGTAAAGCATTTCTTGCTTTGAAAACTGTTTTCCTCATCTTAAATAGGAATAAACAATTCGTAGTTAGTAGTCAAGGCATACATATTTCACAAAGTTACATTTCCTGAGTGTTTGTTTGTTTGTTTTTCAGGAAAGTTTATGTCGACCCTGAAACAAATATCCCTTACAACATTCTCATGTCCAAAGTAGATGTCAAGTATGGAATGTTCGGATTAAATAACTTCTACAAGATGCAGGTCAGATAACCATTTTGATATTTATTGGTAGGCATGGCTGTTTATTCGCAAGTCTTAGATCGTGCATTTTGGCACGAATGAAAGCTTATTTCTATTCCAACTGAGACAAATTGCAAGATGCTAGGAATAAATATGAAGAGGTTGATATTTATGATTCGGTCGCTGCTCACGCTCCGTACGTCAATACAATCACTTTATTGATTTTCCCAAGTGGGTTTTTCAAAATCAATTTACAAAGTAAAATGTAGGATCTATCTATTTACAATTTAAAAATATTATTATTAATAAAAATCTAGTTCAAAAGTTAAAAGGTTTAACTATCAAAACATCTACATTTAGATATCGATAATTATATACGCTTTAGGGTGTTAAAATATATTATCTAGCTGGCCTCTTTTAGTTCACATTTTGCCTTTTGTTTAAATTGTGCTGGTGATTTCGAATTCCTTGTTTCGGTCGTTAGAGTGTTCCATGTCTAGATAGCTCTAAACTCATAAAAAAAAAATACATGCTGAGTGGTAGCTATCCTACACCTCGGCACTCTAAGCTGGTCTTTCGGTCTAGTTTAGTGTTTATGAATGTACGAGTTTTTGACTAGATTGGAGCTCAGATATGTTGAGCTAGCCCGTTGCAACATTTATAACATTGTGACATCCCGAAGGCTTAGCAACTTTTCAATAGTAAGCCGCCCAAGTTCTTTAAGGACTGGCGTTATGTAGTCACACTTTCTAGTGTTTGTCAAAATGTGTGCTGCAAAGTTTTGCATTAGCTGCAACTTGTGAAGATTGTTCTTCGATGTTCCGGCCCAGACAGTGGAACAGGAAAACAGTTTGCTAAGTACCAATGAGTTCAAAATTGTGTGTAGTACTTCTCGAGAGAAAAGCTGTCGTACTCTATTAATTTGACATAGTATAGAAAACAAAGAGGAGCCAAGTTTAGATATATGATCATTAAATGACATGTTTGATTCAAGTATAATGGCTAAGTCCTTTACGTGTGGTACAGGGGTAAGTTCTACAAGTGAAGACACGACGTCATGACATTAAGCCAAATATTTTCCTTTCCGGTGTAGCCGTCTTTCTCAGTCAATTAGTACACATTAATCACGAAATATTCATTTTCGATTTCAGATTATCTACCACAAAGCTAAGGAGTTGTGGGTGTTATTTAATCGCTGGGGGCGTGTTGGAGACAATGGACAACATCAGAGAACACCGTATAATGACGCACGCATGGCTACGGCCGAGTTTAAAAAGATTTTCAAGAGCAAGACTGGAAACGAGTGGGAAAACAAAGACGAGTAAGGCGATTTGTTGAACTTTAAGCCACGAAGGCTTCAAAACAAGAGCTCTAATGCAAACACACAAACAGCAGTCTAACTTTCTTTACCGCTCGCTCTCTACTCGCCAAGCTCCCGGATATACTTGTCCTTAATACGATTCCGCCAGCTTTGTATACTACAGTCCTTAATTCTCTTCCGTTACAAGTCGTGAGGTTCAGAGAAAAAGTTATTGGAAGTCAAAATTAAGTCTTGAACAAAAAAACAACCATTCTTGTCGTCAACACAATGGTTATTCGTTTTTCAGTTGCTGGTCTCTGTAGACAGCAAATTTTATTCGCCAAGATTTCCCTTAATCCCTTTTTCTCCTCATTCGAGTGCCAACAGAAGAGCTGAACGAATGACCAAAAGGAAAACGAAGTGACCTTTTGAAAAGCAGAAACAGAACACTCGCCCTTTGGACCAAAGAAAAATTTGATTTTACTTTTTGTGTTGCGCTTTTTCGTTTTCTTGTTTCAATTTTCATTTTTTTACCTCCTATTCTTCAGTCTTCTTTCTCGTTGAATTTAAGGCAGTGTTTAGCACTGTAAACCACTTGTTTAATTCAGGCGTGAGAGAAATGTCATGGTTTTGTGGCTCTTTCCACAGATTTCAGAAAAAACCTAAGAAGTATGCCTTGGTGATGCCAGAAAAGAATCCTGAGAACAAACGACAGCAAGTGAGCGAGGTTCTAAAACCACTTGAGCTGACTAAGTGTCCTGCATCACGCCTGAGTAAAGAGCTACAGTCGTTCATGAAGAACATTGTAAGTAGCTGATATACTTCTATTAAATCACTTCCAATAGAGATGTTTCAAAACGTTAAATAACGTATGGATATTATGGGCTGCAATTTTAAACTTTCAGTTATACTTTTCTTTTCATTCAGACCGATGTTGCGTTGCTTAAGTCCTCAATGGATTACGGTTCGTTTAGACTCGATCTCGACTACATGCCATTTGGAAGACTCTCCAACGAAACTATCGAGAAGGCTCGTGAAATACTTAGAGAAATTAAGTAAGTAACTAAAGAGCAGATATATAGATAGCAGTTTTTATCGAAAGGATAGAAAGCAAGCATAATACTGGCGTTAAGGTGCCTTGACGTTTAAGCGACAAGAGTAGCCATTGTGTATTATCTACCTACAATATACTACTTTGTAAACAGAATGAGAAAGATAGTAAGTTTTGAGATTGGTGACGAAACAGAGAAAGATGTTTTTCGTCTTGTCACGAGCGTGCGGCAAAGAAAGCATCCGTAGTCTCCGTGAGAAATCGAACCTCAGACAAGACGAAAAACATCTCCTCCAATATACCACATTGTTAAGTACACCAGTTATGAGATAAAAGTAAAAAATCTGTGAGGCGATGTGGTTTGGAGTAAACCAGGGGTTTTAATGATTTTTCTTGGACCCGGAAAAGGGTTCGTGGGGCGAAACCCTAACACGAGACCCTGCTCGCAAGCTAAACAGGCAGCGGCAGGAGGACTTATGGGCAGTGGTAGACCACCCGTAACCGACTTTTATTAAAACCCCTGATTACACTTAAAATTCTCACAACTAACATCATGCTAAATATACGAAGGATAGCGAAGAGGATTCGTTTTATGGTCTAAAACGTGAAAGTTGTGACGACTTCCGTGCTTCCTCGGCAAGTTATGTTTAGAACGTGGTTTTCTCTTTTTCTCTTTGCAGAACTATTGTGGACACCATTGACAGATATAATCTGGAAGGAACAGAAGAGAAATTTGAAAAGGTACAATGTTCTAACCTTAAATTCTGAAAGTGCTCGCCATACGTCAATACTGGAAGGCTGGATCATTCAATTAGAAAATGGATAGGCATTTTGTTTGTTACGTGGTTCCTCTAAGCCTTAGCATAAACGTAAGCAGAAGGCTAAACATAATTTATTGCTGACTTTCCTCTCTGTTTTCAGGTTGCCGAGCTTAGTAACACATATTATATGTTGATGCCAATGGCAAGGTATACATATGAACGGATAAAACCGCTGAATGAAGCTTCAGACATCGAGACTCACCTGACTGCTCTTTACAATTTGACTGAACTGGCTCTTGCCAGCAAGATCTTGCTAGGTGCACAATATAAGACTAAAGGTATGATGAGGTTTTGCAGGCAATTTTTGAAATTACGTTCTTAACCCTTTACACCCTAAAATTAGTCTGCGTATTCTCCATTCTTTATACATTTGCTAAGGTGCTGAGAAGGAGAATTCTTTTAGCAATAATGGCTTGGCAACTTCGAATATTCAATTACTCGATACCAGAGCAACTGAAGAATTAATTATGCCGGTGCTGTTTCCCTCCAAAAAACAGATGCTAAGTTTTTAGGTTCGTTTCATAGAAAGACTTCCTATTTGGAGGGAAAGTTACGATTTTTGTGCAAAAATGAAATGAGTGGATGGAAATACTTCGCTTTGTTCTTTCAGAGATAAATCCGTTGGATTACGTGTACAAATCCCTTGGATGTCGCATAGAATTGTTGGATCCAACCTCTGATGAATGTCAGCTTATACTGGAGTACATACATAACTCACGTAAGTTACAATATTAGTTATGCTTTATCTTTACCCTTTAGGTGAGTTTGCTTTAAGTTCCTTTACTTTAGGACAAACGGACCGTTAGAACTGAAACAAAATTTGTTTTTAATTCAGGTGGTTGTCAAAGCTTTGAAGTTAACGGTATTTTCAGGGTCTCTCGTTCTGGAGAGGCCGACCGATTTGAATCCTGTGGAGTGCCTGGTAACCACCGCCTGCTATGGCATGGCACTAATACAGTCAACATGATAGGGATCCTAAAACAAGGCCTCAGAATTGCTCCTCCAGAGGCTTCCCGCTCAGGGTGGTCCTTGGGAAAGGTTTGTAAATGAGGTTCATTCAAAAACGGTACACTTAAAAATTGCGTTGCTACGCACGACGATGTAAATTCGCTCAGTTTACAGCTGAATATGCACTGTGGACTATCTAGCTGTCTGAAAATCTCGAAATGAGTGGCCCCTTAAAAGAAACGCCTTTGAAACGCTTTTGACTTCAAAAACAATTTCCTTGTATTTTAAAATTCAAGTGTAACGGTGTAATGTGTAGTCTCCATATTGTAACGGAATTACAAAATATAAAAAGGGGGTCAGTGCGCTGTTCAGTTAAGTCGTTGACTAGAACCTAAGCAATATCAATCCGAACGAAGGAAGCATTTCAAGAAAGTGAACTAAATAGAGACTTTATAAAGCGCTAGAAAACACGAGTGACCTAGACGCAATGAAATCCAGTTTTACATGCGACTGGTTAAGAGTGGCGCGAGTTTTCCATACCAGTAATAGACAAAGTAATTGAGAACCAAGCAATACGGATTACCCAAGTTAGCTGTAATTTTTTTCAAAATTAATGTCGATCGTGTTACCCTTTGCTGCAGGGAATCTACACATCTGACAGCCTGGACAAGAGTATGGGTTACGTGAGTCGTAGAAGAGATGGGGCTGCATTTGTCTTTCTTTGTGAGGTGAGTTTGCCAGACTTCGAAGGGACCGTGCAGAGGGAGATGAAACGAGGGGAGGGGGGGGGGGGACTTCTCTCCCCTTCCCACCTCACTACTGTGTAGTTATGGAAACAAAAGATCGTGACATTGTTTAGATATTAAATTTTATTGAAAAGAGCCATTTTCCTTACAAACCAAATCTCCCACGGTTTCTTCAGGTTGCCCTTGGTAACGTGAAAAGCGTAGACGATCGTGATTATTACGAGACTGCGCCCGAAGGATTTGACAGCGTGTTATTGGCCAGCAGAGAGGTCCCGGATCCAAGCGAAGATGTCACCACTCCATACGGTGCTGTAGTCCCTGCAGGAGTGCGTATCACGCAGAACAAGGAAATTTATAATAGCCATAGCGAGTATGTTGTGTACAAGGAGTCCCAAGTCTTGATTCGTTACATAGTGCAACTGAAGACTACACGACGGACTTATCAGTCATACAGATATCGATTTTAAAACCAAGAGTATCTTTTCTGGGATAAAACCGCATCGAGCAACATGACATATATCTAGCGTAAGAGAAGCAATGGGGTAATCTTAAATTACTAAAGGGGGACAACGTTTTTAAGAAACTGTGGTGCTCCCTCGGCGAGGGATATTAAAAGGTAATTAGGCTTTATCAACTGAATTGATACTGTAAATTGGCTACTGTAAAGAGTTTTTTTTAAAGCTGGCTAATTTGCTTTCATCTCTGAAAGTTATAACTTCAGCCTTTTTGTTCGGTTAAGTGTCAATTTTAGCTTTTCATTCTTTGGCGATATATTTACCCCAATTGTCAATCGAGTCTGTCATCTTTCTTCGGTTTTTGAAACCACTGACTAGGCTCGTCCTCTTCCCGAAACAAACTCTATCTAAATATATTAATCCTTAAGTTTTATCAACACATTATCCTAAACCAAGTAGTTCTTGTGTCATTGTGCTGCTTTTTAAAGAACAGTTCATTGACAAAGGATTATTATACCTTAGATTTCTCCTCTAAAGTGTCGTAAATCAGTCATTCAAAGCATTCCCTTTTACCTTTCAGTTTCGAATATTAGACGTTGAGCCCATTAAGGAAAGCAGAATTCAACTCATAGTTTTTATGATTTCACTTTATGTTTTAAGATCTTCAGTAATAACTTTTAGAATTTAGTTGGTGGTCTTCAATGAAAATAGAATGGTATATAATTTTACATGAATCTCAACAATTGTAGCAAACTTACGAGCTGAGCAAAATAAGCATTTGATCTCCGAGACCCATAATGCAGGTGATCAAAAATTGATATTTAAAAAGATTTTGATTGTTCTTCGTGGAAAGCGCAATAATTATTTAGTATTATCGATTGCCTCACGATGTAGTCACTTTTGGGATGACACTGTGACACTGTTAGAGATACAATCCGACAGTAAGATTTATAATTAGGTACTTATTTTACCAAGTTATGTGAGTCAGAATCTCTTGTTTTTCCTTTTTTGGCTTTATTGTTATCATTATTTTTTTTTATATCTTTAGTGCTCTGTTTTAGCGTATTTACAATTGTGTTTCTTAACTTATTCATCTGAGGAATTGTCTTAAATCCGGATACAAAAATAGCAATGAATCGAAAACTTAGGGAAGATTGACTAATAAAACGAAAATAAAGTGAATTAACCTTGTGCTCTTAGTTGTCGTCGCCATAAATTCTCAAGTAGTGACTCGTGCCAAGGTGTCCACGATATATCTTATGCCTAGCCTTGTTAGAGAGCAAATCCCAACTAAAATCTTTGCTTTTCCAAATCAGTTTGATCGGGGGATTCCTGTGGAACCTTGGTTTGCCGGTTTTATTGCCATACCGGCCGGGACTAGTACTGCACCTTGGTCCCTGGCGTGTGTCATGCTCGATAGACAAGCATGTGTGTGAGGGGAGGGGAGGATTTCTGTTTTTTTTTCCCCCTTCCGATCATTCCCCCCAGCCCCCACTTCTCCTTTCCCTAGCACCACTCGCGGGCTTTCCCTCGTCAATATTTAAAATTAGCATAAATTTACAAGCATCTCACCTCAATTGTTGCAATCTAATTAGCTACGCTATTCGCTGTCTAAGACTAAAAAAAAAGGGAGCTTGTTATTTTGTTAAGTTATCACCGACCCTGAGACAATTAGACTATCCACTTTCGATTCCTATGCGAGATAGTCCGTGTCATCAGCTATCGCCTGATAGAATCACAAGCACATGATGTATTTGTTTAGTAGAGAAACGACTGAGCCCCCATTGTTTGTACAGAACCCTCTGTATTTTCCTTTCAAATTGAAGCTACGTAAACAAAATTTGGTTTTTAATAAAGACTTTCACTTCCTATAAATTTAACTAGAAATGTTAGATAGACTTCGTTACAAGATCTTTGACTGTCTTTACACATTTGAAAACGCTAGATCGTTAGTGATCAAGATTTTTGTGTTAATACAAACCACAAAGTGAAACAGAGCTTCCACGAAATGTAAATTGCAAATTGTTGAAAATTTGCATTTGAATTGCTGTCAAATTCTACAGGTAAAGAAACAGGAGACTTTCACACTAAGATTGAAAGGTCCTTTGCTTCATTAATTCAAATCGGAGATTCTGTTTTACTGCCGTGCTTCTACGCATAATTTTCTTCACACTCAGCGCACCGAAAAGGCCATCTCACTACCGACTGCAGATCTATCATTTTGGTACCATATGGTTCACTGAAGATAAAAAGAAGTCACGCATCCCGCAAACAAAATAACATCATAATTTGACGAACCTTAGACTTTTTTCGTAAATGAAAGATTACTACCCACAAGGAAACGAGTACTCCGATAGAAAAGGGTCGTAACCGCACAAAAATATTATCGAATAAATTTGTCAACAAAATGAAACAACAACGATACAAATTATGTATGATTTATTCAACCGCTCCAGCTAACAAAATTTTATCTTTGATGGGCATCAGTTATGAGCAGTCTTGCCGACGAAAAAATTCGAACACCTCTAGATTGGAAGAAAAAGTGGTTCCTATCATATATTATGATAAGCATAAACCTTAATGCCTGTAACAAATCTTCATCAGCTATTAGTGAGTTTTTCTCTAAAACATAATGTATCTAGATCGCGCTTTCTTCCGTTTTCTACCAGTCATACACAAAATTCTAGCCTAAGTAAAGATTGATTCACTCCTTGTTAAAAAATCATGCATCATTAATTGAACATGTGTACAGAGCAGTCTTCTTTAGACAAGTAAATTGTGGCATGGATAACATTTCCTTCTTTTCAATTTTCTTTCGGCAAAATTGCGCTCGTAACTTGCCTTATACGTATAAAACAAACGGAAAACTGTGTAACATAGACTGAGACATTTTATTCAAATGCCTAAGGATCCCAGCACGACCATCCTGGCAATTATCTCGCTGACACAAATGGGGGATACAAATCTTTCTCCTCTGTGATCAATAGATGTCTACAAACCGCGCCAAATTTAGGTTGATACTACTGCAGAAGATTCCCAGCGCAGAGATCACGGCAGTCATTTCGCCCCGCACAAACAGGGAAAGCAAACCCTTCCCATTTCGATGTTTACCAACCGCGATAAATTCGGGTTAATATCAATATGAATTTTTTAGTTTTCTCTTGAGGTAACAGTTGAGTTCACTTTCGCTCTTGCATTACCTATAGCTAGCAAATTTTCAATTTTAAAATGTAGATTAGGTAGTTAATCCGATGCTTTTTTGTCGCCATATTTATACTAAAGAGGTCGGGTCCTCCTCAGAGATCGTCAAAATGTTGTTACATTAAATGGAAAATAAAACCGTTCGAAGACGAATCCAAGTCCTGTTCATGTCACAAACGAAAACAATTTCTTTGTTGTGGCTTTCCACTTCATTTGCGCATCCGCAAGATAATGATTGAAGTGAGGCTTCGTCGCGCGGCGATTATCTTCCATTCCGGCAACTTCTCTCTGTTTAAAAGATCCTCTTTTGTTACCGTTCGCCGCTGCACTTTTACGTATTCGCTCAACGTAAGCTGTACTGATTGGAACAGAAGACATTTCTTTGCCTGTTGAAGAATGAAAGACACGAAGATTTTCAGTTAAAATGCACCAACGTCTGTTGGAAAACAGAGTCCTTAGACATCTGCCTTTTCTTATCTCTTCACTGACCTCAATCTTATGATGTTTCTTCTAGTGTTTTTTAAGGGTATAATTTCTCGTAAAATCGTAGCTCCCGGGATTTGTTTACCAAATTCACAACACACAAAGCGTATTTGAAATGACGGCAAATTTAAGCCAATCTGTAGAGACAGGTTCCACGAAAAGGTCTTTTAGGAAAATCGCCATAATTCCTTTTTCATGCTAAGCTGGATCGTCTGTGGTAGTTCCAGGGGGTAAATATTTAAATCCCGCTCTCTGACGTAAGAATAACTTTGACCTACGTGTGGATCACAGCCAATCACAATACGTGGAGTGATGAACTTTATCCTTAACGCGTGAAAATAATTTCGAGTGCGTGCTAATTGAAAAGGTAGGCTTCGCAAATAAGTTTCTGACAGATAAGGCCTTAACTTAATCAAGGCGGAATCCGGTTCATCTTTACAAGATTTAAGTGACAACTCTTCGTTTACGTACGTTGACATTCTTCTTGAAGCGCCACATAGACCGCGAGTTTGGGCTCTCAGAAGCGCTGTTGGCGTCGCAAAACCGCGGTAAACTCGTGAGCAGCAGCGCATGAGAGCTTGAATGCTTACGAAGTGTTTTCCGAGTCCGACATATCAGAAGGAGTAACTATTTTGACAAGCTGGTTCAATGCACCGAATCAAGTACACCAAAAGTTGTAGGCAAAATATCAACAAATGATTACAATAAGTTATCTTTGTATATTTTTTTTTACATCGGCATAATCTATACCTAGCTTCTCGCTGCCTCGCCAGTCGCACCGCATGCTCGTTGTGAGCCTGGTAGTAGGCTGCCCTTGATGGTTCTGGCAGAGCAAAACAATAGTGGCCTGCAGGACAGACTTTAGTGCCTTTAGCTTAGTGCCTCATTATTAGTGCATACTTGATTGTATTTAATTGTACCATTTCTCGTTTCCTTTTTGCGATTTTCTGGGCTAGTACTCGAGTCTCGGCAGGCGTGAGGAAAAACGAGGGAAGGACTGAGGACAACAACAGGCTAATACGATTGTTTACACGTTCGACCCGAGTTTGAAAGTATGGCCCCCGCCTTAGGCCGCCGCTCATAGACCTTGTTTGAGACAGAGAGAACAGTTTACGCTGACATCGACCATCCTGGTACCATTTCATATGGAGCTATATGCCACGGAATCAGTAGAAAGCCTGGCATATTTCTTTGGAAAAATAACAATAAAACGTTTCATTTGTCTACTGGTCTATTTATATAAGAAACAATTGCCTTTTTAAGCTCCTGGAGTGCGCATGGCATCTCAGTTGTCTTATAAACCTCCATATCTCGCGATATGACAAGAAAATTCGACTGTGAAAGTTTGAGTGACGTTAAAATTTCTGCACAGCCCCATGCTACATTATGCATTCAATTCTTGGATAGAGAAAACAACGACAAAAGCAATACATTGCCATTGGGAAAACAGATTTGTTTAACAATAGTATGGGGCTGTGTGGAAATTTTACCTGATTGACTAACAGTCAATCGTCATATCAACGCGTTTGTTGCTGGAGTCTACAACTTCCCAAGGGCTGAGGATGCGGGCATTAAGAAGAAATCCACACAAAGAAACAGAGTCAATATTTTATTCTCCAAAACAAAAGCTAACCCTCAGCATTAATTTAGTCACACTCAAGAACGAAAAATGAAGCGCGCATCATCGTCATCGGTGCAGTATTTTTCACAGAGCTGTACAGTACCAGGGTTTTCCTGTTTACAAAACATGCTGTTTAATAAATCAGATCTTGTCCGTCAGTTCAGGAACCGCCTGTTGAAGTAATGATGGCAAAATTAGAGACCTAAACGAATAAAGAAAGCTACACTTAGTATACTGTACTGCAACTCAAGAATAGCAATGTCGATAAAGTAAACAATCTACACCCCACATATTGTTAGCAATGTGCAGAGCCAGATAAGTAACGAAGAATAAAGTACATGTTATTTTATTTCTTTACGAGATCTACATTGTGACGTGCTATCTACACGGTACAAAAAGACATGTTCCATACCTTAAATAAATCTGCGACTAAACCATAGTCAGCAACTGATAAAAAGCAAACAAAGTACCATTTAGGACTTAAGTTACTTTGAAACATAACGGGGCAGGAATGCTGGGCATAAAGAGATTGATATCATTTATGTGGTAGAACTACTGTAGGTTAGGTACATGGTGGCATGAGTAGAGGAAAGAAAAATGAGCAGGTAAACCAAAGTCACACTCAACCAGTGGAGGCAAACTAGAGGCCTAAAGAGCACCAAAAATAACTCAGAGGAGTCCACCTGCTGAAAGATTAATCCAATTGAGAGCCGGAAAAGTGAAGGATTTGAACCTTCACCCTCCTGATTTCAAATTCAGCCTTAAACCTTTAATGCCAGAGAGTGCCTTATGGTACAAGACGCCATTACATGGTTAATATTTATTCCTTTTTTCTGAAATTTTCACAACCAAAATTTCATTGAAAGATCTGCACTCTGAAGGCATAATATCACGGCCTCCTCCAATATTAGTCTTGGTTAACCACCCCTGCAACTTTTGTAACTATTTTTCTTTGTACTCAGTTTTGGTTCTGGTGATATCTCACCACACTCAGTTCTCTGAGAGCTGCAATTTAAGCTACAGTTTAGTTCTATACCCCATATGTACAAAGCAAATGAAAAATTTCGTTGTTTTTCATTTTTCACTTTGGACACTTCTCTGTCTTTTCAGTTACCTCCTCCACACCTGTTGGTGTCCTCTATAGCATACCCCAAAAAATACCTTTACAATGATGTATCATACAATCATGATTTAGTGGTTCATGGTCAAGCCTGGTGGTCAAACAGCTATCACCACAAGTGCAGTGAAACATGGAGAGAAAGGGAAATGAAGGAGACATCTACAGTGCATCACCAAAGGGCAGTAATCTGCAGGTGGCACCACCTTGGACTAACACTGAGTCTATTATTCTACTATACTTAAGTTGCTACAAACAAGCAGATTTTTGTAAAAATGATTGCCACATGCAGGTATCATAAAGTCACAATATACTAGAGCACATTTCTAAATAGTTATTACCAACCTTGAAAGATTGGAGCCTCTGGGTCCTTGTTGATTGCAACAATAGTCTATGGTATGAAACAGCGTAACAAAGGTTAGTTTGCAAATGCATAAAACAGAGTTGTAATTCAAACATACATAAAGGAAAAAAACCTGGTCTCTCACCTTACTGTCTTTCATCCCAGCCAAGTGCTGGATGGCACCAGAAATACCCACAGCTATGTACAGTTCCTATAAAACACATGAATAGAGATACACATAAACAATGTGGTCACAAGGTGAACAGTAATTGTTCATCAAGGCATGAATTTTTCCTCAGAAATGCATTTCATTTGTTCCATCATTACATTGAATACAGTATGTACAGTTGCAAGGCAGTTTCCCAAGGTAACTTACAGGGGCAACCATTTTGCCTGTCTGTCCAACTTGCATGTCATTAGGTACATATCCAGCATCAACAGCTGCTCTTGAGGCACCCACTGCGAGAAGAAAAAACAAAAAAAAAAAGAATTGTTGACAGCATACAAGTAGCTTGTATCCTTATTAGGCAGTAAACTGCAATGCCACATTGAAACAAAACAAACAAGGATTTACCTGTAAAACAATCACTTAGCTTACCTGCAGCATTCATTTTTTCAGCCAGTTTATAGAGCATTTCAAAGTTTTCACCATTCTTCAATCCCCTGCCTGAAATAAAGTACCATTTATGAAATGATATGTACCCATATCAGTCATTATTTTTCTCAATTTCAAAGTTTGGAAATGAATTTCCAACTGAGCCATCATGTGCATAAGAATAACATCATATGCAACACCACCTCCAGAATGTAAAAAACAACTAATGACGTACCTCCAGACACCACAACTTTGGCACTTGTCAACTCTGGTCTGTCACTGACATTCAACTCCTCCCCAACCCATGATGACAGATCATTGCTTGTTTCTGCCGCAGGTGCTGTAAGGAAGTGTAACAATAAAGTTAGCTGCACACTGCCTCTTAACAAGCTATAGGTAAAGAAAGCACTAAAGGGGCCAAGTGACTCATCAGGCCTGGTATTATTTTAGCTTCTTTAGCATGATGTGGCTAGGATAATTACTACTACTTACTACTCCCTCCCACCCCTCCCCTCCCCCCCTTGATGGAATACCAGTTCGTCACAGCTTAACCCAGAATTGTGTCAGGTTCTCTTGAGAGACTGTCAGTGCCAGTTGATATTACTGGATGAAGAGAGTCACTTTGAGAATATGGAGTCTCACCCCAGGAGCTGTGGAAGATCTCTCCATCCAGGAACTAGCACATTAACCATTGGTTCTACATGTCCCCCACACCTAACAAGAAAAAGTTCCCTAGAGTCCTATGTACTACATGTACATACACTAACCCCTTATTATTCAATAACTGGCATCTAGTCATTCATATTTATCAATACAGTATTAAAACAATTCTTTGAAAATGGCCCTAAATGTAATTCATTACCATTTTCACTTGCAACTCCCCCACCAGACGCTTTGGCTGCTTCAAAGGCAGTTCCTCTGACAGTAAACACTTTCACACTGTCATTGCTTTTGCATGTCAACACAGCATTGCCTAGCACACACACAAAAAAAAAGAAAACAAAAATCAAATAGTTTACAATGTACAGTACCGCTCGAAGATAAGCGAACCATTCAACGCGTTCCCCATGCAGAGCCAACACTTTGGCGTTTTGAACTTAATGCGTTAGCGTTTGCGTGTCCATGCAAACGCAAACGCATTTAGTGAAGCTCATTAGTAGATCACACTTTAAAACCATTTTGCATAACAAGAGGCCCAAACAAAGCCGACTTTTTTGTCACATTCGCCTTAGCATCTCCACAGCGTTTTTTTTTTTTCAGATATCTGTCGCAGAATACATTTTGTTCAAAACCGGCGAAGAGCAACAGAACGTAAACCTTGACCAACAAGTAAAATTATGCAAATTCAAAAAGGTTTTCAGTTGCGGATGAAGGCCGTCCTTTGAGTTGGTCAACAATGGATACAAAAGAAAGAAGGTTGGAGGTGGCAAATCTCACAAACTAGTCAAGAGTGAGACTAATACTTACATGTACTTTCTGACATGCAAAATATGTGCTAGAACTAGAAACTAAACAGAGCTAGAAACCAAACTGATCATACATGTACCTGCATAAATTGTTCGCACAAACGTGTCCTCTGACTGAATCTCTATCACATCCTGCAATTGAGCCACATCCAACAATGCAGCCACGCGAGGAAGAACATTCTGGAAAAAAATATTTTAAGACTGAGAAAAAATTTGCTTGGTAGAAAAGGAAATTTTTACCACTATGGGATAAGCATGTTCAAACAAGGATGCTGTGAGCCTCTTCTCTCAATGCTTGCTCAGATTACTTTATTTGAGACTGGTGAAATCAGAGTCTCTTGCTTTTTTTCAATGAAACAACAAGAGTGTAAAATGTACTGTACCTTTCCCATGGCTGTTGCACCAGCAGTTATGTGTGAAAAGTTGAACTGTTTTTGAGTTCCAACGACAAGTGGGGCTAAAACCTCTGTACAAAGATAAAAGGTGCAGAAGTCTTAAATAACAAACCAAGAAGATTTCAATCAACATTTAGACAGACACATTTTAAACATCTATAAAGTGCTCTGGCACACTTAATGCCTGACAATAAATGGGTGAAATCAATCCATGCACCAACTGAACCCTCTAAACTGAGACTTGGGTAATGGCCATGCTTTTCATTGCCAAAATTTTCCCTTAATTACCAGGTAAGAAGCCTTTGTATGCTTCATGCTCAGCTACTAAAATCTTGCTCAATCCCTCCACTTGACTCAGCTCTTCAACCACCTGTAAAGGAAACAGAACACACCAATAATTTGGTAGAATTTGCATGAAGTCATTCAATTTAATGCTATAATGCTGAGCTATTTTTTTACTACTCACTTAATAGTGTTTGAAAGTGTTTGAAAGTACTGTAAATGTGAGTAATATATCTGTCATAAATTATAGTTTCCTTTGATATCTAATAAAAGGGTGGAAAATGTACAAATACTTCAGTAAGCAATGGAGTTTTTCAAGTCACATAGTTTTATAATTCAGCCAAAATTAAAGTGGTGTTTTAAGTAACTTCTTAAACCAAAGTGTAGTCAGTTAAATATTGCTGGTAATATGCAGTATATAGAAAGAACATAATGTAAGAATGAAACTGCACACTCAGGAAGTACTGTAGATTCTACAACCAGTGCACACAAATGTTTGTTAAAAAGAAGTCTACAAATTGCCTGACTGTGTAATAGCACTTAATTCCACAGGGAAGCAATGATAACATTTAATTTAGCTGTAGTTCTCTGTAAAAGTTCAAATACATTCACATACAACTACTAACCTTTCCACAGCTGGTTCCAGCAACAAGGGCTGATACCTCACCACCAAGTTTACTAGCAGCTGCAATTGCATGCAGAGTTATAGGAACAACTGACTTGTTGTTGTGCTCTGCAACAACCAAAGTAGATGCACATCTACCTGACACCAGACATCGCAGAGAGCTTCCCTAACAGGTATATAAATACAAAAATTAAGGAAAGAACTTCAACAATCACTGACTCATAATGAAAGCCTTAACCCTTTACACCCTACCATCACTATGCATATTCTCCATGCTGTTCTCTGTACACTTCCTGAGGGACTGGCAAGGAGAATTTGTTTGACAATCAAGAGCTTCTTTTAATCAGTTGGTGATCATTTCCATTATTCTTGTGATCTTAAAGTTTGATTCAGGGGTGATATTGTCAGGAGAATTTAGACGCTGGTCACTCTAAGGGGACTTAGAGCAGTTCTGATATCCATCGTAGACATTTAAAAGCCAAAACGAGCAAATTGTGCATCAAATCCACCGATCACAATTAGTTAGGTAAAATTTCAACGGAGCCCCATACTATTGTAAAACAAAATTGTTTTCCCGATGGCAATGTATTGTTTTTATCAATGTTTTCTCAATCAAGAACTGAATGCATAATGTAGGATGGGGCTGTGCGGAAATTTTACCAATAGTTGTTTCAGAAAGATTTGTACTTTCTTTCAAAGGAATATCTTGATCTCCATTTGTTACAAAACGACGCAGAAAGACTCGCTGAATAACTATCTTGCGTTTTCGATTCTTCAAGAAATAATCAAGATCTGATTCAATAACTGAGACGATTCTTCAAGTCAGTAAATAGCACTTTAAAGTAGTCACCCTCTGAAATCAAATTGTCTCAGGGCCAATCATTTTGAGTAAACGATACGATTTTTATTATGCAACAGTTACGCATCTGTCTGCTTCTTTATGAAACAAAATATATTTACCTTGCACAAACAAATAAATACAATACATGTTATCTGAACTCATTGCGAGAACTATCTATATCAATCGTTCTTAAAAATCAATTTTATCAGATATGATTCATTTTTTCATAGAGAGAAATACTTACAGGTTTCCCTAGAGCCCTGGAAAGAGTTCCAATCCTTAGCATTTGATCTGAGATAGGTGTAGTTAGGGTTTTATCGACAAAAGTATACGCAACTCTTCAGAATTGCCTGATGATCGCGATCGTCGTCCAATTTAACGTTATGTAAGATCGTTGATTAACGGACATGCGCTAGTTCCAGACTCTCACGCCACAGTGTCGTCACGAGAGAAATCTGTCACGCAATAAATATCTTTCACAAAGACAAGGTCAGACAAGATGCTCTTGCCCAGCTTGCAGAACAGGCGAACGAACGAAGGCAAGTTTCTTGGTGAATATTAAGTGGGCGAGGGAGAAGCCGCTCAAGGAGAACATAACTGATGAAAGAGAAATCGCACGACGAAAGTGCGCTTACCATCGTTTATGCGCGGTTACTATTCCGTCAGGCGCTGAGCTGAAGGACAATGGGAGGACGACTGAGTGTCAGAACGACCAATTACAGTGTGTCTACATCTTAGTGAATGAATGACTCACTTCCATGTCAGTGTTACCATAAAAACTTGTTTTTACACTTCGCGTATCCACAAGTTAAAGAGTGAAATGGGTATATATCCACTCTCAACGTTAACCCTGCTCCAATCTGAAACGCCGATCGAGGAACTTGCTCAGCTGTTATGGAAGGTTGCAATTCTTAGCTCTGCAGTGATTCCGGTGATTAAATACAGCTCTCCTCAATAATCCTCGAAGTAGAATTACGGACTTAAATTAACAACTTACCTTAGAATTACGGACTTAGACTGACAGTTTACTTTCTGCGGAAACAAATGGCCTATTCATGAGCCTGAAAATAAAACGAAAGTGTTAACCAACTTGTCAGTTTCGTTTCCCGTCAGTGAAATATGTGAATAATTAATAAATCAGGGAGATGCTAAGTTTAGAAGAGGGTGGATGTGTTCGTTTGATTACTGTTTCCAAGAAAATGTAAACTTAATAATCCCTTGCAGTTTCCCTATTCGAAATGTTTAGGACAGTGTGCAAGGGAATTGAGTGTGAGTCTTTGAGAGAATGGCGCGAAAAAATGCGCGGGAAAACAACTGCATCCGCCTCGGCGCGCATACCCCACGACAAATGCAAACGTTCAGGAAATTGAAGGAAATTTTTATCTCTACCAATTTTTAAAACAATTTACTGGTTAATTAATTAGTGTCGATGATCCTAATGGCGGCAGGAGCTCGAACGTTTCCTCGTGAAAATGAGGTTCTTGAAGGTTGTGAGGCAAACTTGTTGGTTATTCCCTCAGCAAGGCAAGTTTACCATATGTTCTGTGGATTGTGCATGTACAGCACAATGTTTGTTACGATTTTCTAGCCTTGATGTATACGTAGGTTAAGACGGTTTTTTTTTCTTTGCAGGAGTTCAGAAACTGTGAGGAGACAAGAAACAGACAGTGGAGGCCTTATGGAAAATTTGCTTTGGAAATCAACTACTGATCTGAATAGGCAAGTATCAAAGTGACCTTCGTCAATCATTCTAAACAACAATACTGTTAACGGTTTGTCAAGATTAGTAGGACGTGACTTGACATTTGTCTTTTTTATGTTTGTAAGATTTGCGGTGAATCAAGCTCTTTGCCTGAAGGACCCCTGGATGAAACTAACTTCTGCGAAATCTAGCACTGTACACCAACACGTAATTGATATGCTTTAATCAGTTAGCCCATAGAATTATCAGCTACCAGTTCGGAGTCAACTTTTCCAGTATATTTTCAAATGCCTAATATACAAATGTTTAGTAATATAATGTACCAGAACAAATTAATTCTTTAGCCAGAATGTTTCTTTCATTGGTGTTTTTTCCTCCTCTTCAGTGAGTGCCCAAGAGCTCGTCTTCAGCCATCATCAGTTGGGGTGAGATATGTGCATAACTAAATGAAAGTGATTTACTGTGGGAATTGAGTTCTTCAGCTTCTACATGAAGTTTGAGTTAGCAAATTATAACTTTTAAATAGCTGATAATACAAGAGTACCATCATCATTTTGATTATAACGTGCTCAAAGGTTCGCTTTCTGGTCAAAGTCCATCAAAATATAGTGTTGCTATTTCAAATGCTCCACTCACGATACCATATTGAAACACAGAGCTTGATGACAATACAAGAAAATCCTAACAAGCATCTGGGTTGTTTAGGGTCACATTAAGGCATTAACTATTATTAGCTCTTTTAAAATTAATAATCTCATTGATTTATTTGCATTGCTGTTTAGGTTTGTGGCAAGGTTGTAGCAAGAGGCTCTCTTGAGCTGAATGACTGTAAAAAGCCAATAACTGGAGTTATTTTCAGAGGGAGTATTCCACATCCCTCTAAACTTAAGAAAAAGAAACGGAAACGGTCCAACAACCCCCCAAGAATGCGTCAAAGTCAACAAGGTTTCGATGTGATAGCTCATGTGGCTCAGCTAAGAAGAAAACATGTGGAATTCAACTGGTAAAATATATTTCCAAGCCATACCTAAGCCTAAGCGTAATTTATGCTCATTGGATTTGTGAGATGTTTGCACTCAAACAGTTGTTATTACAAACAAATTGCTCTGAAAATTGTGATATAATATTCAGTAGCTGACCCTGTATACATAGTGAAATCATGTCGATCTGCCTGTAAAAGTCACATAATAACTAAATCTCCCTTTATAGACTATATCTCTCCATTAAATTCTTGTCATTTTTTAATTAATTTTTGACCTGTTAGAAGTTCTTAAGAGATATAATCAGTAGTATTAATATTACTTCAAGAGCATGCCTTGGCCGAAAGGTTAGTACATGGGACCACAGATAGAGTGTTCTTACAGGTTCTAACGCATAGAGTGCACTCCGACTAATGCATGTGTGCACAGACAAAACTGTATGTTTCTATACCCAGAAGTATTAATTGGTTTCAGTAAACTATTTAGGAGACTATTTGAAATGCTGGGGGCAGGGAGTTTAACCTAATACAGATGAGCATCCCATTCAAGGAGAGTACTAACAACCCTTCTTGTTACTTCAAGTAAGAAGAATATCAGCGCTTCGACTCAAAAAAAATGCATGCCCAGTGGTTTACTTTTAATTGAGGATCTAGATAAATGTAAAATATATTAACTCATAGCACAATTTCCATCCTGTCAAGGCTTCCTACCAATCAAAGAGATGACTTAGCATCTTCAAGTCACTCAGTAGAGGAAGAGCCATTTCCACCTGGTAGTACAGGACCACAATGTGTTCCCAGCACTCCAACTCTGCTATCAAGTGAATCATTTGAGTTACATCTACCTCCAACTTCACACAATTCCAAGGAGAGGGCTATGGATCTTTTTAATTCTTACTGCCAGGTAGTACATTCATAATTGTCAGAGGATAGAGAAGTAAAAGTTGAGGTTTATGCTGTCTGTCAAAGCTGAAGGCAGGGACAGTAACACAAAAAAAAACTTTAAAAATATTGCTATGAAGTCAAATACGTTCTTGCTTGCTTTTAAGCACGCATGGAAAAGGAAAAAATTATATTGGCATTAGTCACAAAAAAATCATTTTTCAGTGTTAAAGTTAATCATGTCATTACAACATGAATCAAAGTGACACAGGTTAACTCTTTGATATACTGTGCAGAATATAAGCCAATGATCCTGTGATTCCTAGAAACAGAATTGAGCTGTCATTCCCACAAAAGTCCTCCCTAATTGATGTACACATTACACGATCGCACTGACATCCTTAATAAGATGCATACTTTCCTCTTTTTCCTTTTCCGTACTAACGCTGTCACAGCTGACAACGCCACGAAATTTGCAAGTCGAATCCCCACACACATCCTTATGCTTTGCATTTACACGAGTTATGAAAACAGTCTCAAGTTGTATTATTGCGAATACAAATATGAAAATTGTTGTTAGTGGAATACAACTTAAAAAAAGAAATGATACACTTACAGCACCGAGATTTATAGTAGTAACAACTACGTCTACCATAGCATTCATTTAAATCAGAGTAATGAAATAATGCAATTGAAAGTCCAAGTTTAGTTTTTTCCTTACCCATTGTATTCACGCTGCCAGTGTGGCTGTTCGTATGGCCGATTTAAGACTGTAAGACACCTAAAACGAATCAGTGATTAATGTATTGCAGACGCGTGGATGTCTCTTGAAACAAACAACTCGTCATGTAATTTTAATTTGCATCGCCATTTAGCATCATGTATATCAACTCAATCTGTTTTAGTAAACTTTTCTGTCTATACCGGAATTACAGCTACCACAGATAGTTACTGGGCAATTTTCTATACCCTCGTATGCAGTTGCAAGGCGCGAAAGATCAGTGGCGCAACTTCAGGAAGAGAAACTGCATGAAATATCCTTTCTTATAGCTAATGTTTCATAAGGCTGTTGACATTTTAATGTATCATAGATTAGTCCATAAAATCTTTAGCATTGTATCATACGTAGCTTACCAAACTGGTAAGTAGTTCATTACAAGTAAATACCCTGTTAGTGATTCACTCCTTAACTTAAAATACAGCCACCCGGATACCAGACATACCCAGTTGCCCATCACTGACCGTTTAACTCCAGTAGTGGAACAACAGAGTTTGGCAGCATGGCTAAATCATCAAAATTTTCAATATTTACCAGAAAAACTGTTTCATCCAATTATCTCAGAACCTCCCAAAGAGGAATGAAGGAAAGGTTCTAAACACACATTTTGATATTATCACTTTCCGTCTTATGTTTTTTTACGTTGTAAATTTGTATACTGTGCTGCTCATTTTGAATAATGTAAATGAATTAAGATGAGAAATTAAGCTATCAAATCGATCAAATTCTTTTTTTTTCTTCGGAAGTCGGATCCATCCGGATACTGCCCAAAAGCTGTGCGGAAGATTAAAAAGTTAAATTCTAGTTTTTGCTGTTTCATTTTTTTGTTTTTTTTAATGTTATTTTTTTTATCACACAAGACTTGTAGCAGTTTGCTCTCAGTGATAACTGAATTGGCTCCGTAAAAAGCTCCCTCGATGACGTAACTTTTCCGTGATTGAAGTATTAAGAGCAAATGTCTGAGATGAATGCGAGAAATCAGAAAACGTGTATTACCCTATGGTCTCGTGTAAGCTTACAAACGTGATGTAGTTTGTTTACCCAGATATGCTTCTGTTTGAGACGGATTAAAGCCTGCATGAGAAGACTTGGCTACAGAACTCAGGAGGCAGTCAGCAGGAGGACTCCTAAATGAGACCCAGCAAAACAACATGAGCATATTTATAAGTTTTTGCCATGAACGAGGCATATGGCGCCACCCGCTAGCCGTACATCAAAATGCTCTTCAGCACTTAAAAAACAGTGATCACTTACTTTTCCATTGACAAGTTTAAATGCTTTACGTATTTAGGATCTCATGCAGTGCATGGAACGAACGTAGTACATCTATTGCTACATTCTTGTGTCAGTGTCTCAATTCTGATTTGGTGGTACTGTTTCTATTGAGTCTTACCTACAAACAGTACTGTTTAGAGGATCCTATATCAACAGACATCATTTTGTAAGCATGAATTATACAAAAAATATTGAATCGCTTTTTACCGCTATCACGGAAAGAGTGATTGCGTTTTCTTTTGTCAAAAAGGATCTGAACAACATAAGATGTTTCTACCCACATTTAGATTCATAATGTACCCTTTTATCTTTTTTTTTTTTAAAGTAGATGTTTGGTGGCAGTGAACCAGGTAATTTTCTTTATGATTGTTCTCAGCATTTTAATATTTCCGCAGAATTGAATGTCACTATTTCAAAATGGCAAATCAAAGAATAAAATTAGTTTCGGGAAATGCATCAACGAAATTTCCCCTCGGTACACGTTTCGGTTGAATATGCGGTAATTGTTTTTAACGGATTAGGCGAATATGCATGCCGGGGCAATCTTACTAAGACATTTGATCTTGATGATGAGAGGAAAAAAGCACTTCAAAAAAGCAAAACAAAAAAAACAGGAGAAGCTACCTGTCCTTTGAGTGGTTGTAGTTTTCCCTCTGTTTCCATCTCGAAAGGTTTTTGGAAAGTAATCGGTAGAATAATGATTAGCACGCATCTCACAAGGTTTTCTCGTGTTCAGTTGAATTGCCTCACGGGTCTATCCCCCACTAAATTAGGAATTAAAAAAAATTATAATATATATATTTCCTTCATCAGTGGCGTTTCCCTATTGCTAAGACAGTTATAAATATTTACATTTTTCAGCCTAGAGTCATCTACAATCATAGCTAATTTATGCCTACGTGATATACAAGAAAAGGAAACGCTGACGTACAGATCACTTAGTGTTCGTAATATTACGCCCGCCTCCGCAGTTACGCTCGATTCGTGCTTTGGGTTACAAACTATCCGCGTGGGAACTGGATCTACACTGCGTTGTTAAAATGGCCGTAACATTCGCGTTTAAATAGTATATTCAGTGTTTATCGCCGAAGAGTCCATGGATTTGCCTCCGAGAGGTCCATCCGTTGTTCATGGGTTGAAGTCTTCGCGGGTAAGTTATTGAGAATATCTCAACGCAGCGAAAATGTTTTTAACGTCGAGTTCTGGGCATTTTAGATCTGCCTAAGCATGAAGCCACATTGTCAATTACATGTCTGTGTTTATTGCAGAATCCAAACCTCAAAATTGTTCGAGTAATAGTCGTTGAAGGAGTTGATTTGGCTAAGAAGGACATTTTTGGTTTAAGGTAGAGTATAGCTGATCAATGTTTCATAGATGCAGCAATCTTGATGTGTAAAACGTTAGAAATCTGTCGTAGTGTAGTATTGAAGGTATTATCCCAAAGAATTTCCTTTACTTTTAAGCTTTTTAAGCTTATCATTGAGCACGGTTTCAGGTTTTTGCGAGTTCTGCGATTGAACTTTGACAAGCTTTAATATCCTTATTACCCGTTTTTGTACTAAAATTTTATACGTATAGTCACAGGGTTTGTAGGTTATAGTCACTTTACTGCGAGTCAATTTTGAACTTCTAATTGGTTAAGGTATTTTCAGTTTTCTACGTAAGTGATGTTTACGTAGTTGCACAACTGCAAACCTAAAATTTGCCATCTGGACTTGTCAAAAGTTCTAGTTGGAACGTAATAAGTCTCAATGTTTACTTGCAATATTGATTGGAAAACATGGAACACGAAAGGCTTCCCAAAAATTATTTACTACATTGAATATTTATTGTCACACATATGATAGTCTCTACCCTAAAATTTACATAATTATGTCATATTGTGGTCCTCAGCAAAATCCAAAGGTTATCTCCTGTATGTTAAAATAAGCCATTTTAATAGTGTTGATTTAGAAGCAGAGCCTAGCAGCCATAATTCTGACAAGAAAACTTTATAATACCTCAGTCTGTTTTTTCAGGTTGACCATCATGGAAAAGTATGAAATCCTATCCTCTCTGACTTAAGTTCCTTGTAATAAAATCTTGAACTCTTCAATGTGAAGATCAATACACTTTTTAGATACTCAAAAAGAACTGTAGTGGTTGGCTTTCTTTTTCTACAGTGTTTATGGCCACATTTTAATGGGTATATTTAAAATTTTAGTGCAAATTTTTACAATGTATGAAAATTTAATATGTTTGCTTAATGATGGTAATTCATGACCATAACCCAAGAAAAAAGAAACAAAATTTTAAATTTTAAACCACAAAGACATTTAAACTAAAAAATATTATGTGGCTGCACACTGTACAGGTTCAGATTTCCTTTGTTTGTAGAATCATATTGTCTTTGTTTCATCCTCTTTAGTGATCCTTACTGTAAAGTAAAACTTTTCAGAGGAGATCGGGAGTTTGGAGAGATAGATAGTGTTGTTACTGAAACTATTAAAAAGGTAAGGGTAAAGTGTATTATTTTGATTTTGAATTGTGATGCTGAGCAAAGATACAGTACTGTTTTTAAATTGATAATATTGGACAAGTATTTGTGAGTTATCTCAGAGGTTACAACATTGTGGCTTAGAAAAGGTACAGAATAACCTATTATAGAGGAATGCGTAAACATTGTATGTAATAAATAAATTAAATGTAATTTACTTACCAGAAGTTCCAGGTCTTCTTTCGACTTCCTTCAATTGTCTTACCCTTCCCTTTATCAACACCCTATTTTTCTAGTCTGACATCCTTGGGGTAGGTATCTTGGTACAGATCCATAGTATGGGGTTTGGACCATAGTTGAGGTTATTGGAAGGCATGGTATTGAGTTTTTACTTTCTAGGAATTGCCTTACTCTCTACCAAACAGTATAAGATCTCAAATCTATGATCTGAGCACTCTTTTGATCTTTTTGCTCAGTCTAGTTTTCAAATGAAGGCTAGAATACCTCTAGCATATACAGAGTGTGTATTACTACGTGGCTGCAGTCTAAAATGGCCTTGGGGCTACAGGCAACTACTGTATAACTGTAACTTTTGCTTTTATGCATTTTTTGTAAAGCTGCTTAAAAAACAAAGCTTTTAAGAACTGGGTATTCCAGGTTTGTGCAGACAGATTACTCAGGATTTCAATGTCCCATTGAAATCTCTAAAAGCATAGCTTTGTACCATGCTGTTCATGCTTCTGTACATATTGTTGCCAGTTAACAGAGGATAATTCTAGGGGTCTAAAATTTTACCTGATAGTGAAAAACAAATTTTCTCACCAGCAGCTGTTTATGTAATTGAAACTACTTTCAGTATTAATGGGACATTATCCTTTTGGTTAAGGTAAACAGTTTATTTCTTAGTTGTTATTTCTAGTTTGTAGAATGAGCTATTTCAAATACACTGGACATGCAAATATAGTAAAATTTGGACCTGAGTGTATGCACTATCAAGGTCTTCCTCTTCTTTCATTTTAGACCTTACACCCTGTCTGGAATCAGGGATTTTTCTTTAGGGTAAGAGTTCAGGATTCTTTTTTAACACTGATATGCATACTTAGATGCAATTGTGGCTTTTACAGGTTCATAGTGAAAAGCATGTACATGTAAACATAATTGTGATTTATATTAGAATAACAAATGATTTGCAAATAATTTAAGAAGGCACAATCGTGGTTACTTACATCTAGCCCCATCTAAGTTCAAACTTGAGAGAATTCTGAAGAGTCAAACCCTTGACTGTGTCTCAAGTCTGCAATAACAAATTTTGCAAATCACCCTGATATTTGAATGAGGTTTTTTAAAGATGATAAAATCCCTTTATTGTTTTAACATGATACACCAATTATTTTAACTCTTTTTCCAATAAGTAATCATTGATAACACTGGTTATCAAACTCACTTCTCTTTGTTTTTCAGGTTAACCCTTCAGATAACAGGCTTTTATTTGAAGTTTTTGATGAAAATAGAGTTGTAAGTAATTGTTGAAAACAATTATTCAGCACTTTAATGAACTTGTAAATTCTATTATTGATTTTAAATATGTAATTACCCGTAGCTAGCCCTAAGTGGATGATAAAGTTACAAGCTTTATCCTTAGGAATGAAAAAAAAAAAACCACCAGTTTATGGAAAATGTATTCTTTATTGTTCCTATCTAACATCATTTCACCAAATGAACTCCAAGATTTTAAAGTGGTTTGGATGTGTAATTTTACATGAGCAAATACAGTGGGTAAGGACAGAAAACAGAGAAAATTTAAAGTGTGGTGTAATTGAATGAACAACATTTTCATTCTTTTGGATCCTTTGGACTTGAATTTTTAAGAAGAACTCTTGAAAGGTAGACATCATTAGAAAGCAGAGACAAACAGAGATTGTTTTGTTGTTAAGGTTATCCTCTTATGCCATGTTAACTACTAGAGAGTTAATACATTTAAACCCAAAATACTGTTCTGAAGGATGGTTTGACATTTAATATAAATATATATAAATGTTTTCTCATTAAGCACATGCATTTACTAAAAAGTCAAACCATAGAATAAAATATACATGAACAGTGTTGTAATTATTTAAACTTAAGGATGCACTGTGGGCAGCTACGCTATATACATGTACTTACAATCAGTTGCAAATTGAGGTAAATAAATGCTGCACTTTTGGTTTTCATGAGTCAATGTTTGTGGTTTGTTTTAGACAAGAGATGACTTTCTTGGAGAGGTTGAATTACCCTTGGGTACATTGCCAGTAAGTGCATTGCAGCAGTTGATAATAGTTTAAGCTCTTTTCTGTAACAAAAATCAGGTAATGGTAATTAATTGTATTAATTCTGGCTTTGTTTCCATCAAATTGAGCATACCTCTGAAGACTGAGGAAAAAAAATTGAAAATGGAGAAGAAGAGGAGGGTCTGGAAGCAGGGTGAACCAGGCCTTACTAGAATCCAATCTACCTTGTACATGTACATACATGTTTTGAACATGCATGTAGTACAGTGCCTATTTTCCTTTCCTCACCCCCCCCCCCTCTAATCTCTGATTGGTTTTTTATGGAGTGGATGTGAATGTTCCCTCAAACCTGGTGACATGTACATGTACTCAATATCATCCATAAACCAAAAGCATTTCTTGTGTTTTAGACTGAGGGTTCAAATGTGGAAATCAGACCAGGATTTTACAACTTAAGACCCAGAAGGTAGGTGCTTCTTTGTTCAAAATGACAAAAATGTGACTCTCTTCCACAGTTTTGCCAGTACTAAAAATAATGTACACATTGACTTGAATAAAATTTGCCAAGAAAAAGAGAGAGAAAATGTTGCTGGCTAATGTCTTTGTTTAAGCTTTGAAGTGTGTCAGGTGTAAATGTGTTATCAGGAAAGAAAATTAAGGAAACTTTGTGATTGTCATATTTAATGATTTATTGGAGACTAACTTTATTGATGTTTTGGTATCCCTTTCACCAGTAATAAATCAAGAGTTAAAGGCCATTTGCAGCTATTGATATCATACCTTCCATCAGAGGACCAGTCATCTTCTCATTCAACAACTCCCGGTAAGGCCATTTTGTTACTTTAGATGAATGCTTTTAGGTTTTTTTGTTTTTTTTTGGCCCTTGAGGCACGTATTAACAAACTGAACTAAAGTTATAGTTATCATTATTTTACAGCATCAAACATCAATGCAGATTCTAATCTCAGAGTTGTTGATGATCATTACCAAACTCCTATATCAAATGTCACCAATTTAGTACCCCCGACTACCACTATCCAGGTTGATCAACCTGTGCCTAGTGCACCACCACCACCAGCTGGTATGGTAGCATTGTCATCATCACCACAGCGAGTCCAGGTTGGTCATGTTGTGGTTTTGTGGGTTATAAACAGCACCAGGAAAATGTCAATTTGCAGTCCTTCAAAACACAGAATTTCTGAGGATAGCACTTGATGTTTTGAGATGTTTGAGGCCTACCAATAAATTTCATGACTTTTCAAAAGCTCACATAAATTAGTTTCAATGCAACTACTTTTTCGTAGTAATGTTATTTTTTATCTTCATTTATGGCTTTGAATGTATTCACAGTGCTCCTTTGAAGTTGCATCCACAACATTGTATGCAAAAAGCAAAATTATAAAAAGTTGCATATAGCCTACAAGTATGCTTTCTGTTTGCACCTTTTGAAGTGTTTTTAGTGTAATTTTGGGGTTTAAATGTAGATAATTGAAGAAGCTTTTTTAAAATTTGTTTTATTATTTTGGAAAGATTTTTCTGGAATTAATTTTTTCAGATGCTTGAGAAAATCTATGTCCTCCAGACAATGTACTAATGCATCACTATAAGGTATTGAAAACCCATGACTATGTCTGAAATTATTTTCTAATTTCTGGGCTTTACTGTGAAGTCTCTTCCAGATGTAGAGGAAACTCAAACTTCAAGACAAGAGGAGCCTTCCCTTCCTGAAGGTTGGGAAGAGAGACAGGTTAGTGATGTTCAATCATCATAGTTAAAAAAGGTTATAAAACAAAAAGAAATCAATGAAACTTAAAAAAAAATTCAATTCATAATTTTTTTTTTTTTGTTTTGCATATTTTCAAGGATGCTATTGGTAGAACATTTTACATAGATCATGCAACCAGGACAACATCTTGGAGACGCCCCAACAGGAGTAGGTTAGTTCTTAGTATCAGTCTCCATTCATTTGCATAAACTGTATGTACATTAAAATGGTGTACATGTAGCAGATATGACTGCATTTTAAGAAGAAGGAAGTAATCATTGTTTAATCAATTAATTTGTAAAGATGTGAAAGGTCAATTTCTCTTTAACCATGAGGAGACTGACTATAACAAGACTACACTCTATTTCATGTTCTAATCCTACTAAAATATATGGTTTCCAAGCTTGGCCTTATCTTGATGTACCAAGCCCAGCAATTTCCATCTTTTACCCAAAGACAAGGTCTCTTGTGTAAGCACAATTGCTTTTGAAAACGAATGTTGTGAAAATTTATTCTTATGTGGATTTTTTTTAAGATGTGTTTCTTCCTTCTTGCCTTATGTTCTTTTTGTTCCTTTCATAACTTTGTTTCTTGTAGTGTACTGTTATGTAGCATAACTTTACATACTATAACCATGTTTCCTTTCAAGAATGAAAAATTAACATCCATGGACACGTAGATGATTGAGAACCTAGTAATAAAAGCAGAAAAAGGAAACTGCAGTTTGCAAGAGGAATTTCTTCAATCATACATGTACTGTTGAAAAATTATCTTTTATAGTGGATCAAGACATCAAGAGGAGGTTCAGCAAAACGATGAAAGGCGAGAAAGAAACTTCAGAATACGACGACATCTGAGTGTTGACGGTTCTGAACAGACTTCTAATAACTCGACTGGTGCCAGCCTGGTTTGTTGTAATTTATTTAATATTATCACCTATTTTTAACGTTTAGATGTACAGTAATTTCCTTCATTAAGGCTCATGATTATAATTATCATTCATGTGGAGCATGGAGAAATAAAAATGAGTTAAACGAAGATAAAAATGGTTTCGACAATTCTAAGCTACTGTGTAAATATTGACAAGACTGTAATTTATATCTATTTTGAACATTGCATGATTTGTAGGAGAGTCCCCCAGAAGAGTTATTACCTCCTGGCTGGGCAATGCAAACGGCTCCAAATGGCAGAATTTTCTTCATTGATCACAATACCAGAAAAACAACATGGGTGAGTGTACTAAACATGATATATACATGTATTTCCTTTGCCGGACGTGAGGTCAGTATGTAACCAAGGGTACAGTTTTTTTCCCATATGTACCAATCCAGACTGGTAAATAAGTTTTTTTTTTTTTTGCTTGTTTTTTTTTTACTTTGCCGCAAATGGCGCGGAAAAAATCCGGACCGTACAGTAGTCCGTTTTATTAAAAGCTAGACCGGTTTCGAGTGCGCTATTAGCAATCAAATTCGAAGAAATTCAAAGACCTGTATAATACTAGAGTAGCATTACTGCTGCTTAATTGAATGTTTTTGTCTTAGCGTGATCCTCGACTACATCACCATACCAGTGGAGGACCGTCCATGTCACCAGAAATTGGACGATCAGCAACCCTTAGCCGAGATCTTGGACCCTTACCAGTAAGAAAAATTCTCGTTTTCCCGCGTCTTGGATAGTTTGCCTGTTTTTAATTTTAGCCATTGTTGGCTCCTTGTGGTATTTTTCTTTATTGTGACAGGCCGTTCTGATAACTTTGGCTTTGGTTTTTACAATACTCAATCGAAAAGCGTTCTAACAATTTTATCTGCTATTCTTTCATAGGATGGCTGGGAGGAAAGAGTTCACCAAGATGGCAGAGTCTTTTATATTGATCATAGTGAGTAGCCATCGTTCTATTTCCACACATGACGCTTTCAACATCGCTGATTATAGCAGTATGCCGTATGCTTGTCCATGAACCTAGTATGGGCAAATTATCACCACATGCGCTTAATACTAACAGTTTGCATAATAAGTAAATTGTCATGTGTTTGATATCAACAGTTGGTTTACTATATAAGTAAATCGTTGCATGTGTTTGATTTTCTGTAAAAATTGTTTTTAGATACAAAATCTACTCAGTGGGAAGATCCTCGAGTTCAGATTAACAGCAAACCAGCCCAGGTGAGACTGAAGCTTATTTAACTATTCTATTTAACAATTTTCGGCTGATGATGCTATGCTGTTTTACTTCTTTTCGGTACTATCAACTAAAACTGAGGAATCCAGAGGTTAACTTCCCCCTATCATCCGGTTAAAAATTTTGACCCGCATGAACATATATACTATTAGAGCGATTACTCGATGAGGTTAAGGATGTTAGGGAGTGTAATCATGGCCGAGGTTTGTGTTATCCGCCAAAGTCAAAGGCTGAAGTAGAACCAGGGCCGTAATAGTTCCTGCTATGTTGCGGATACCAATTTTTCAGTATAATTTATAAATGCTTGAAACCTAGTGTCTGAATATTTGTCGAGACGGAAACCGTGCCAGTTACAAGAAGGTGGGACCTTATAAGTGGCTCATTGGAATTGAATCAGTGACACACATAATAACTGACAATAAGTAGAACCTTAAAATAATTAGAAAGTTGTATTTCCTGTTTCCCCAGGCTGTGCCTTACTCTCGAGATTTCAAGAGAAAGTGCGATTACTTCAGATCCAAGTTGAAGAGACCGGTAAGAATCAAAGAAGACATGCCTATGGTTAATGGCTCGCCTTCTCTTAATGCAAGGGAGAAAGTTTAAACTTACGTAATATTTCATTACACGGCAAATTTTCATGCAATCGCAATGACTTTGTCATAGAGAAATGCAAGAAGGACAAATAAAGCAACAAAAAATGGTCTGGATAGTTCCAAGCCATGCTCATAAAATTGATTTAAGCTTATTCAGATTAGTTAACGAAGGTTTCCTTTTCCATTTATCACTTATGATTATAATTATTTTTGTTAATCAACGGTCTTCGTGAACAGTGCCAATCCACTTTCAACAACAATACCCTAAGTTGCACTAGAAGCTCATGCTGTTACTTTTTATTACTCTTAATGAAGTCATGGTGACCTTCAGGGGACACTGAAATTCATTTTATTCTTCGTCTTAATTGTTTTCAGGTTAACGTTCCTAATAAATATGAAATTCATGTGAGAAGAAACAATCTTCTGTTAGATTCATATCGAGGTGTCTTTGTTACTGTCACAAACACTGAGCTACTCAAGACGAGGCTCTGGATTGTTTTTGATTCGGAAACTGGACTTGATTATGGAGGGCTTCAAAGGTAAAGTATCCTATCAGGAACATTTTGTTGTCATGGCAGATTTTCATTCCCTCAGTATGAAGCTGTCTTTCTAAAGCATCGTTTGTCGTCATCAGCGGAATTTGTTGTACTGTTTTAAGGATACCGACTAGACCTGGGGTGTTGACGATATATTTTCAGATGAGCACATGTTAACTATGTATGACAGAAATTGAAAGGATTAAGAGGAACATAACGTTTCCATTTACAAGTTCATTGGGCCAAATTCTCCTAAGGAAAGGAATCCTGATACATTGCTTACCGAGGACTTCTCGTTCTCTCGAACAGGGAGTGGTTTTACTTGCTATCCAAGGAAGTGTTCAATCCATATTATGGTCTGTTTGAGTATTCAGCAAGGTGAGTGGAATAATCTACGTATTAGATTCCATTTTGCTGCTTGTTCATTCAGTTGTAGTTTGATGACTTATCAGTTATAAATTTGCTAAGGAAAAAGTGGCGCAAGAGCGTTTCATGGCTCACGGTCGTTGGCCAAACCGACAGAAAAATAAGTGAAAGGTGTTTTCTTTCATATTGTAGAGGGATAACCGATTTTTGACTCTTTATTTTTTCTGTTATTTACTTTCTAGTGATAACTACACGTTGCAAATAAACCCAAACTCTGGTTTGTGCAACGAGGAACATCTGTCTTATTTCAAGTTTATTGGCCGTTTAGCTGGAATGGCCGTGTACCATGGAAAACTACTTGATGGTAAAACTGGTGTTTTGAGTTTCTTGACTAAGCGCAAAGGCTGTCTGCAGCTGGGGAGGGCTATTGCTGCCTTTGCATTGACTCTCTCATCTGTTTTTCATAGCCTTTTTTTCTTTTACTTATTTAAATGGATGTACAGCTGTAAAGTACAATTTTTTTCTTTTTTTCTTTTTTCTGCAGCCTTTTTTATTCGTCCATTTTACAAAATGATGTTGGGTAAACCCATCACTCTTGTTGACATGGAAAGTGTGGTAAGCCGTGTTTCCGCAATATGTCAGAAAAGTTCTGTTGTTTTGGGTTAAAATTGTTCCAATACGAACGGGTAGTATCTCTTTTAAAAGTTTAAAAACGTCTGGAAGCCGACAAATGAACTTAAAACTTGATAGACAATGGGAGATCGATATTTGCTCCTCGCTGAGGTCTTTTTCTCTTGTCTTTAATTGGTGCTCTGAATCCCCTTTATGAGAGAGAATTCACTCCCAATTGACACATCCTAAATTGCCACGTTTCTTATCGCTTTAACTTAAAGAACACTCACCAAGCAAAACGTGGAGAACGAATAATGCCTCAGGCACGGTCCCTATGTGTCAATCAGTGGTTAGGACCAGCGCAAAAAGACATGGCAAAGAATTTACATGGAATTAATTTATTGCGTATTGTAATCGAATTGGTCAGTCTTATTTAAGTTAGCTTGGGCCGAGCAGTTGTCGCGCTGCTATCATCATTGGCCATTCTGTGTAGCGTTTCATTGTCAAAGCCTTGGTGTTGCATTACTGACCTGTTTATAATTTTTTCCAAGGATTCGGAATACTATAATAGCCTGAACTGGATCTTGGAAAATGACCCAGAAGATTTAGACTTGACTTTTAGTGTGGATGAAGAGTTGTTTGGTCAGGTAGGAAGAAGCACAACGGTCTTTGTTTTAATTAGTTATGCAAAAAAAAATATATATTTATATATCCTCTCGGCCCTCGATTTACTCAAGGGTTTAAAGACTAGTGGATCGAATTGAGTGGAGTTAGAGAGGGTGTGCTTAATCTGGAAAAAGACTTTTGTCCCTTCCAAACCAGTACCTCTGCTCGTTTCATATAACCAAATCCGGACATTGGTCTGGTCACATCCAGACAAACCTTTCTGGTTATACCATTAGCTGTACGTGTGTGAATTATTCTTCTTGATGCAACGGTTGCAAATTATATTTGTCTTTACACTTCTAGGTAACGGTAAAAGATCTTAAGCCCGGTGGATCAGACATTAAAGTCACCAATGCAAACAAAAGAGAATACATCAAGTAAGTTTGACTTAAGAACTACAAGAACCTACGAACCGTATCTCATTTCTGGCACTTCCATTACATTTCTTGCCAACTTTACGAAGCTTAGCAAAGTTTATTGCGGGCCTTATTATTTTTTTCTTTCTTTATTGAACCATCGTCTAAATTATGATTTCAAAAAACCCATCAAGTTATGAAAGTAGCAGAAGCGTGATCATCAACTATGTCAGTTATTCGTGCGAGTGTGTGAATGTCCCGGACGACAATATCAAAGTCTCTGCTTTTGTTTTGGCTTATTTTGTTTGTCTGTTTGTTTGTTGACTTGTGTACTTCTTGCATTTGCTACGTCATTTCAGAAAGAAAATAATTTTTTGCGAAGTTATTTTTTGTTCTTATTTTCCTTTCCACAGTCTTGTCATTAAATGGAGATTCGTAAGCCGCGTCGAGGATCAGATGAGAAAGTTCATGGAGGTAAAAATCTATGAAATAAGCATTAATTTGGATTTCACATAGTAATTATATGTTAAGTAGGGCAATTTTTTTCTTTCCTTGGTGGTTGCTATTGTTTAATGTAACAGTCTCTTTAAAGATTTCGATTTGGAACTTATTTTTTTCTTCTTTTAGGGATTTGGAGAGCTTATACCTCACAACTTGATTCAAATATTTGACGAAAGAGAATTAGAGGTGGATACACTTTTTTTCGTTTGTAATTGTGTAGTACGTACGCACCCAGAAGGAGATAGAGATGTAATTAAGAGCACTTTCCAGCAAAACCCTATTTGAAGTTGAGTAGCTCTCAGTCGTCTCATGAGGCGGAGTAGAGAAGAGCTAGGTTTGAGGTGAATTCTTTAAGTATCGTGTGCAAGGGTGGGTGGGAAACTTATTTTTTTGGGTATTCCTCCAGTGCCAGTTTCTTTGAATTTGTTTCTTCATTCGCTTAAATGAAAGAAACGAAACAAACTGCTGATTCTAGCTCATGATGTTCTCCATTTAGCTCCTTATGTGCGGCTTGGGTGAGATCGACATCAATGACTGGCGGAGGAACACGAATTACCGCGGAGAATATAGTGATAAACACAGCGTAATCGTGTGGTTTTGGAAGGTATGTACATTCATCAGCATTCGTTTATATACAACAAAACACTGTTTATTGTGTATCATCTTGTACGAATTACGATCACCGTCGTATGTGTTGCAGTCGTTTAAAACGTTTTGGTGCTCTCTATAAAATAGATTACCAGATAGAGGGTTAACTTTTTGTGATACCCTTGGCGCATTAATAGTGGCTTTATTTTGTTAAGTTGACTTGTATATAGCGTCTACTACGAGTGACCAGATTTGACTTAAACGTTGGAAGTCTCAATACGGAAAAAAAATACGTCAGCGACATTGTAGTTGCCTTGCTTTTAACAAACTCTGCGAAGTGATATGGACAGTCAAATAAACATTTTAATAGCCGCGATATTGTCGCTAGTAGGGGAAAAAATGTAATGTTAATTTTTATTTTTAATTTCTTCCTTCTTTTGGTGTAGTAAACCTTTGTTGTTTGCAAATACCCGAATGTGATATTCGTGTAAATCTTGTATTGATATTACATTACTTCCCGTCAGGCTGTGGCGTCTTTTGACCTGGAGACTCGCGCAAGACTCCTGCAGTTTGTCACAGGAACATCACGTGTCCCCATGAACGGGTTTACCGAGCTATATGGCAGCAATGGGCCGCAGAAATTCACTATTGAACCTTGGGGTACCCCTCATTCCCTCCCAAGGGCCCATACTTGGTAAGTTTATCACTTTCTTCTTGCGGAGACAGCTAATGAACGTACTACCGTATTCGGTCAAGTTATCCGGAAGCATTTTCCCACTTCATTGGATTAGGCAAATTTGGGAAGGGATATTTTCTTGTGTGAGACACGGTCTAGTTGTTGGGGCGATTTAAACCGGATAGGGAAATCTTGGGTCACATCTTAGAGTCTGTCTGTCTGTCTCTCTGTCGAGAACTGACTCTGACGGTAGCTTTCCGCTCAGTTTGTCAACTGACAATATTCCTTCTCAGGCTCCCCCCTCCTGGACGATCTTATTACACAATCGGTGTTACTATTTTTGCAGTTTCGATACGAGTTTACTCTAGATGATTAGCTGTGGTTTTTGTGAAACAGAAAAACATTCTCATCAGTCCCAAGTTAGTTTCTCATCATTCCCTTACCTCTCTCAGTTTTAACAGGCTGGACCTCCCTCGCTACAGAACTTACTACGAACTTCGGGAGAAATTGCGATTGGCCATTGAGAATACACAAGGATTTGAAGGCGTGGATTAACACAGAATTTTTGCCTTGAACTCGAGATACTATTTCTATTAATCAAATGGAAGTAAAGGAAGTCCCTCTTGCGACTAGAACTTCTTAATCTTCTTTTTCTTATTTCCTTAGTGAATGAACTTTTGAGAAAAAGTTGTTAGATTCTAGCCTGTGAATCACTTCAGGTTTTATCTTACATTAATTCGGTGTAGTTGTTACTGTAATAGTGTTTGTCCAAATTGCTGCCATAAACAAAAACTTGACCTATGTAGAAAACACGTAGTGGTTGAGGGGAGGTCAGTTGTTCCATGGGTATAGTTACCCAACAGTGTGCGAATATAACATAATAATCGAAAGTATTTATTTACCATTAGCTGGCTAAATGTGGTGGGTATTGAGCGCGAGAAAGTAGAGTTGAAACGTTTCGTATTCAGTTTATGGTGAAAAAAAAAAAGAACTCAGGGAAACAAAATTACTCAAGTAAGCAAAGAACTTCTGAAAGTTGAACCTTATTGTGTGATAAATCTTTAAAAGCTACCTTAATTTTTTCATTTGTTTGTCTATCAAAGTGAGATAGTAATGAAACACAAAGAGGATATAATTTAAAACCAAATAGGGACAAGGATGTGCAGTATGGTAAAGATTAAAACGGATTGCTGATTACGAACTTGAAAAATGTAGGTTTATAAAATTTTTATAAAATACATAAACCGTGAAGGTAAGCGATAGGGGTATTTTTCTCAGACAGTTGAAAACTGTTATGTTTTACAGTGATAGGAAAATAGTTGTATTGTAGTAATTCAACTATAAGGAACTCTCATATAAGTAGCTTTAGATGTTCTCCAATCGCTTATTACAAAGTTTTCTAAAGATTGAATTTTACAGTTTATCTAATTTCTTTCCTGTTTCATTTTTCTCTTTTTGAAATTCCTTCGATTTGAAGCTATTTTTGAAAACGGATTTAAAAGGCGTGACTTAGACTGTCGACGTAGCATCGCTTCTTTATGGAGCAGCCCCAAAAGCTACGGCATCTGTCAAACCCTGATGGGGCTTTGCACGAAAGTGTAATGATTTCAATGGCGTTTCGTGATTCTTTTTTAGAATGGTCAAACACCTCCCTGCCAACGTAAACTGACTTGTTAACGGAAAACAAGAAGTCACTGGATACGTTACGATTCTTGATATCTTGAAATGTCTTGTAGGCTGAAAATATTATTTTAACCTTTTAGTCCCTTGAGTGATCATGTAACTCCTCTTCAAAATACTAGCACTTAGCCATGAGTAAAGATCACGCAAATCAAGGGACAGATGAGTAAAAAGAAATAGCGCTGATCTTGACAAATTGTCACCATTTGTCACGTGAACACGTATGTAGATTACTGAGGAGAATTTCTGTGTTGACCACGGGGCTTAGAGATTGAGGTTAAAGAAGAGAAAGGGTGCCCAATTAGGAATAAAAAGAAAGAATTAAAATAGTCGACCCTCGAACGTCCCGCTCACCCGTAGAAATTTGATTCCCTTGATTCCTTCCCAGCCATTACCTCATGATCAGCGTGACGATTCTAAACAAACGATACTTTGCTCAGTGTTGTTCAGGCTTCTGGCGTCATGGGAAAAAATAGATTAATTCATCATTCATTTAACGCTTAAGATTAAAGTCAAGTATAATATGAGTTACCTTGAACTCTTCCTTCCTCTTGCAGACTGATATCAGTAACCAGTTATCGGGAAACTCTGTCACGCTGTCGGTTTTCCCACCTTTCTGGGTTGTTGCAAGCAGGTTAAAAGCCTCGCGGAAAAGTTATAGTTTACGGCTTAGTTGTCAGGGAACAAAAGAACAACACAAATACCAATTGTTGCATTGCTGGTGAGATATCTATATTACTCTGCAGCTATCTTCGAAGATATAAAAATGCAATCTCCGCATATTATCGGGCAACTACTGATTGTTTAGGACAGTCTTTAAAAAACTGATAAATGTTGTTGGGACATAGAGGCCACACGGCAAAACCCAGACTCCGTTGTTTGCTGAAAATTAAGATTACCATTCACGAAGGACCGTAAGAAAGAAAATGTTTTCCTCGATTAGACTAATGAACCAACTATTTTGTCTATAAGAATAAAATAAAAATAAACTATGTAGGCATTTTTGAAGAGCATGACCAAGATCATCTTGATTATGCATTAGGACATGAAAGTTTACTATACTTACTATGACTGAGATGAAGCTCATTTTAAAAGGTTAACTTAGATGAAGAATATTCCAACGCTAAACCCTTGATAATTGAATAAAGGGGATAAGTTTCTAAAGAAACTGTGGTGCTGCGTTAGTGAGAGAGTATAAAAGAGTAATTTAGAATTATCAACCGAGTTGATAACGTAAAACGGCCACCGCTAATAGTTTAAAAGATGACGTTCTAACGCTAGTCCTTCGTCAGAGCAAGTGAGCATGAGTCTCGTATTCAAAAAATAGATGTCTGAGTATTTCATGGTTTGCGTTCAAAACATGTTTGTTTTTTTTTCTTTCCTTTCTGGCTTTGATTACGCTCTAACGGATCCTAAATCAGCAAGAACTTCCTTGATACCATACGGACGCTGGAAACCATGAGCAGGTTATATTTAATTATTGTTATTTTTAGTTAAGGTGTTATTTCACGTGTAGAGGGTGTCATGCTACATAAACCTGAACCCTCTAACCTCAACCATGGCGACTGAAGATAAGCATCAACGTTTTCATTTAGCTAGGTGTTGTTTCAGCATTTGAAAGTTGAGACTCCACGGGCATCTATTATATCACAGTAATGCTATCGTCCGTACATATCATAAAACTATTTCAGATCGACAATGCTCTCATGACAGAATTATGTGGTCTTGAAAAATATACATGCTCTCTAGATAGATCATAAAGAAGCGGGTTTTATATTGAAAGTTTCACGGGTCCCGTATTGAAATGTGTGTTGTTACTAAATACCTACTGTAATGATTCAATTTAGCAAACTCCCTCAAGACGCCATCCCTAACGAGTTTTAAGCTTCAAATTGGTTGCATGATATTAGCGAGTGGAAGTAATTTTATCATTCGAATGCTTGCATTTTGCACAACACTGAAAAAAAGTGGAAACGTGAACGCAATTCCCACATAAATCGATGACCTGATTTATGATCTGTTATGGCTATATCTTCGGCCGAAATAGTTCTGGATTCGTAACGAATCCGGTATACGTTTTGCCGTTTACACACAAGTGGACAAATACGAAATAAAACTTTGTCTCTGTGGTCGATGTCCAGAGGTTTTGAATCCGAAAGTTAAAAACCTAAAAGAAGGCTTTTGAATCGTGAGGGCTCATTCGTCAGTAAACCATTTACCGGTTAGATTGCATATTTCCTCGCTATTTGAAATATTTGCTGTACCTCAGTTCATTGTTAGCAATCTTTGAAACGAAAGACGACCTCTTTTGCCGCTGAAAATACTTGGCTTCAAAGATAATGTTCCTACGCTGCAGTCCATGAACGTGAACCATAACTCAATACCCGGCGAAACACAGCGGGAGCTTAGCAAAAAGTTCATCAAACGGCGAAAACGGCTGGCAAGTTTGTTTTGATCAGATTGTTTTGAATAATTGAATTATTCGCTGCACTTACAGCCTACTGACTTTAAAAAGTTTAGAATAACCTCACTTTTCTTTTTCTGGAACTTGGGCTGCCATGATTGAAGTTGCAAAGTCTTCACGTTGCTCGCTGTGGACATAAATACTGTATGTCCGTAAAGGAAAAAGCAACAGCTTTAAAGAATTATTTATTTAATATTGAGCCGTGTAAGGGTGTTACTAAACTTTGGATGAACATACCACGGAACCTCCGAAGCCTGCGGAACCCATACTTTTTTGTAAAAGAAAGGAATGAATTAAAGTAACAATAAAAAAGGTCTAAAAGGGCGTGTAAACCCAATAAACGTACATTTTATTCTTACATAGCTGTTAAGTGAATATATCAAGTACACCAAGGGCACCGTTCGATTTTTTTTACGTTTCATGTTTCTCCCTGCACTTCTTTCGTGCTCTAGCCGCTTCCTGCATGCTTTATAAGAGAACAGAGCACAGTCAAGGCTTCTCTATTTGATAATTATAATAAAGTTCGGATATAACTCGCTCTATCATTGGTTGAAAGAGCGTGCTCTATGAGAGTGTAGAGCATAGAGCTGAGCTAAAGCTGTCACGTCATCTGCCAATTGTACTATGTTCGACCTTTTCCGGGACCTCTTTTTAGCTTTTTTCCGATAACTGAAAGTGAAATTTCGGAACTGAAGCGAGCTGGCAAGTAGCAACAGAAGAATCAAACAAAGGCTTGTAAACATACCAGGCGCCGTAATTTACATTATTAAAACGTGAGCAGATACGAAAATCCTCAAAGGAAATACAAAATAAACATTCCAAGTTTTAAAGATTTTCACGCTCAGTTAGATTGCAAGCTTACGTATGGTTATAAAAATCAAACACAGCTAACACTCGTATAGTATATAAAGTTCAGTGTTCAAAAACAAAACAGAACAAAACAGAAATGATGAAAAATATAACCAAACTGGCATAATTGTTAAAATTCATACTAATCATGACGGTGTCTGAGCGAATATAATCATGCTGAAGTCCATCGCGGCTCGCTTATCATGGCGATCTCCGGTCATCACAGTAAAGCAAGCCTCAGAAACTACATCGACCGCCCTTCGAGTGAAAAAAAAAGAGCTTGCTCTGATATCCTTTCCGATACGTTGAGTGGAAAGTCACATCAGTCACTGCAGCCGAGTTTTGCGGCGCTGTCATCACGAGCGATCTTCATGTTCCGGTGAATTCAGCTGTCGTTCATTCAAAAAACACTCGCCTTGAATAGTTTGTTTTCTACCCTGTCATGTGAAAAAACTCGCGTGTTTTTATGAGCCATAATTCGGCTGAAGTTCACTGAACATTTCACTTCAAGATTCTGTATCAGAGACTTAAAAACTTCAAGCAAAAGTGTTAAATTCGACTCACCGAACTATTTTAGTTTGTAAACTATCGAAGAATGTAAACTTTGAGAAGAAGTGGGAAGAAACACTCGACTACGTCTCGTGTTTCTCCCTACACTTCTTTCGTGCTCTAGCCGCTTCTTGCGTGCTTTACAACAGAACAGAGCACAGACAAGGCTTCTCTATTAGTTAAATGAAGAGATCTGTTACAATAACCATTGTTTTTTACGAGGTTTGATAACACTGGGAATTTATAACTACGATTTGCAGTGAATTTTCTTTAATTAATATTATTATAGAGAAATAGTCTCCAATATCAACTTCCTCTGATTAGTTGCCGCGTGCTAGATCAGTTTTCTTGAAAGCCTGTTGGGATTCTATTTTGACTGGTTGGCCTCAATCTGACTGTCAGCTTTTAAAGAGTGGCCGCTCTCTTTTAACTTCTCAATTTCAAGTCAACACAGTTTTTAAACTTCCCTATGAACTGCTTCCCTTTTCGATGAAGCTCTGTTTCAAACGACACGTCATACATGGTTTCCCAGCAACGAAGAAAGTGGGTCTTAAATAAACTGTTCAACAGCGATTCGCTCTCAAAGACCGATCTTAGTCCTCGTAGTGAGGAAGTGTGTTGTCTTGCTGCTGCTCATCAGATGTAGCTCAGTGTTAGTGTACCGAGATGGCGCACAACAAAGTGAGAAAGACGAGCCTTAGAGTGTTTCTAGTACTTTTTATCTGCCCTATCGTGGTACACGGAACCCTTTACAGTAACGGGCTCTCAAGATATGGGTATGTCTCTCCCCTTTTTTCCCTTTTTTTTTTTGGTTTTTTTTTTTTACTTTTTCCTCATTCATTTATTCCTTGTCATACTTCTTATTTTCGTCCGAGCGTAAATACTTGCTAATGAGATGGTTGGCTGCGTGTTAACCTGACTTAATCGCTGACTCTGATATCCAAAAGGAGAACTTTGAGACCAAATTTGCCAGGGATACGAGGATAACAAAACAGAGTAACACAGCTGAAACGGGTCACAAAACAAGATAGCGACTCATATAAGTATATCACGCAAAACACTCGAATGGTTGAAATGTAAGAAAACGGGTAGCAGTAAAAGATTCGACAGAGAAAACGAAAATTGAAGGGTAAAGCTTGATATCAGATTTGAAAATTGTCCATTTCCATCGCAGTGGAAGTAAGGTATGAACGCACGCCTTCATTAGTGCTATCAAATGACAGGAGAATTTATCAAGGCTGTGAAAGAGACAGCTTCAAACCACTGACGAGCGCCGGACAACGTTACCCTCTCTCAGACTGTATAAACACTGATTTGCTTTTTGCCAAGAATTAATAATGATGTTGTGTCTGATTGTTATTCAAGATTTTTGCTTCAAGAATTTTGGAATGGTACGGGTTTTGATAATAAAACCGGTCAGCAGTGCAAACACGTAGGGGCGTAGAAACTCGTGAACAGAGTAAATTTCACATTATTTCGGAAACGCATATTTAAGAACTGTTTTAGATTCTGTTTGTGAATTTTCTTAAGGGAATTGAATTTCTTGGGGAATATTGTTGCCGTTCAAAACTTGTTAGATTTTGCAATCTCCACTGAGTCTGATAAGCTGTTGTTTCAGTCCCCTTCAACCGTTGTTTGGTCACGTTATGCAACGCTTACACCAAATCGCTTTTGTCTAAGGAGCTGGATCTATTCCAAGTGGAAATACAGTTTTCGGCACTTGATATATTAATGCATTATTAAAACCTTTAATTCACCGAAAATATATTCTGTGAACTGCTCATCAGCTTTTCGAAAAAAACCATGTGACGCACAAATTTTCTGGTTGCTAGCAGCATTTTTCTACCCAGAGGTTGATCGT